TTATTTACACTTTTCCCTTTGCGGTTTACCCCTCATTTTTTCATTAAATAAATATTAAATTACACAATTAAAACACACGCGGATAGCAATGTACCATTTTTCTAAAACTATCTTCTTGTGTTTGTTACTTTGTTATTTTTGTAAGGTGTGTCGCAATTGTTACACTTACGTTTGTTATTTATAAATGAAAAAGAAATAATTAAGCACATCCCATGAACACTTTCGTCACTTGCGGTCTTAAAAAAATTGCGTTGAACAAACTCGACGTTTATTGTACGAAATTAATGACGCACCAAACCATTCATTTTAAAGTGGCGAACATAAACAGCGATTTCATGAATGATCTTCTGGCGGTTTTTCCTTGTTTCGTATCACGGAACGCGTATGCGTTTAAGATCTTGCACACCCGTTTCTAATTTCCACTTATCCCGGTCTCGCATACGAATTATGCCTGTGTGTGTACACTTACAATGTTATATTTGTCCGTGTCTGTTAAAACGTCCAACACTTTCGGATTTTACAACCAGCTTGCGAACAGCTTGTCGTATTTTTGTTATTCCTTTTTAATTTTTAACCCTACCCGTTTGTCTCTTACGCTCTGTCGCTGCGCACGGCTTCCTTATGTAAACATAAGTGTGTGTGTGTGTTTCCACCGTTTCGTTTTATTTTGGTAATTATTTTAACGTCTTTTATACCGTGGACGTAGGAATACGACGATGGTCCGAACACGAAAAGACATTTTTTTAGTGGATTTAAATATTTCTTTTTCTGCGAAGGAGACACCACATAGTTCTTTTACAATTGTAATTTTAGTGTGTTGAACAATATACTAAGATTCATGTCACCAACAAAATCAATTCACTTAAGCAATTACAATGCATCAAACTATTTGATACTGATCAACAAATGTACTTTAATGTTCTAATGTTTTTTTTTTTCGATGTATAGAACTTTAAGTTGGCATTATTGTTCAAGATGGCGACCGATTTAAGTGATTTATTCTCAGTTTGGTTTGGCAATTCATCGTGAATAGACTCACGCCTGAACAACGCTTGCAAATAGTGCAATTTTATTTCGAAAATAATGGTTTTGTGCGGAATACGTATCAAACAAACAAAACAAACAAAATCGTCCATCAGAGCAGTTAATTCGATTAACCATGGAACGTTTCGCACCACGTTTACTCTTATTGACAACTCGCATCCCCAGAGACGTCGTATGGTGCGTACAGAAGAAGCTATTGCTGCCGTAGAGGGTAGCATTGAGGGAGACCCGCCATCGAGCACAGGAATTGGATCTGCGTCCATCCACTTTATGGAAGATTTTCCGGAAGGATCTTGGTTTACGTGCTTACAAAATCCAATTCGTGCAAGAATTGAAGCCAAACGATCATCAAGTAAGGCGTAGATTCGTCGAATGGGCCCAAAACGAGATTGCCGTCGTTCCCGATTTTCATAAGCGAATTTTGTTTAGCGATGAAGCGCACTTCTGGTTGAATGGCTACGTCAACAAACAAAACTGCCGCATTTGGAGCGAAGCTAATCCTCAAATGTATGTCGAAACACCGTTACCTCCAGAAAAACTGACTGTTTGGTGCGCTTTATGAGCTGCTGAAATCATTGGTCCGTACTTCTTCAAAAACGATGATGGCCAGAACGTTACAGTCAATGGTGATCGGTATAGAGCTATGATTACTAACTCTTTCATTCCTGAATTGAATAACCATGATGTCCAGGAGATGTGGTAAGCCACAAACGCTTGACCATTTAGAAGACAACATTCGTCGTGTTATTGCCGATATACGGCCACAAATGTTGGAAAAAATGATCGAAAATGGGACATCCAGATTGGACTACATCCGCGCCAGGCGTAGCGGTCATATGCCTGAAATCATATTTAAAATGTAATGCCACAAGATTATCTTTCGGATAAATAAAATTCATGTCAATCGAATAATCCATCGTTGTTTTATTGCAACTTAAACTTCTATACATCTAAAAAAAACACCCCTTACAATTGAAATATATCTTGGTACATACTGTGGAAATGATATTGATGCTAAAAAGTATTTTTTCTTCCGATGCTAAACTTTTATGCCAGAAACTCTTATCCAAAAATTTAACAGAGGTATGCTATTCTCAGTATGCATGTACTGTGCAGAATTGGCTATTAACCCTAACATTTGGAAAATCTAGTCTTTACTAGACTATATAAATAAAACCAACGCATTTCCAAGTAAATTTAAACATAAATATTTGTGCTGCGTGCCGATTACTGTGCCAGTATTTAATCTTCTCAATCATATTTTTATAGCTTTATACCTTTGATATTGACAAGGCTCGTGAACCTGAGGGAGTTCCGCTATTCCTAAAAAACTGTTGTTTCTTTTTCAAAACCAATATACAATAGACCTATAAGTATAATCGGCACATTTTGCCACAGCGTGTTGAATCTTAATTAATTAAGGAACAGTTTTGTTAATTTCAAGTTATTACATAAGCTTAAATTAATTGGAATGGATGAACATGGTTAAGTGGCTATTTATGTTATCATAAACAGATTTTTCAAATAATTGATCTTTAAAAGCGATAAACGTCATATCTGGGTTGCCCCAAGGGTAGCACCTTAGGCCCCTTCTCTTTGGTATAAATTAGAATTAGAATTAGAATTAGTCTGCTTTTGTTTTTTATTGATGACGTTTAACTAAGCTTTATTATTAAATCAACTAACGATTGTGACAAGTTACACTTAATAACTCAGTAACTTAATTAATTTATGTTACAGAAATGAAAACTCATTTTGATAAATAAAATATTATTACGAAATTATTTCGAGTATCAAAGATCTAGGAGTTAATTTTTGAAAGAAACTTCCACAGGTTATTGTTGTCCTTCCTTACATTGAAAACGTCACTGACCACATATCAAATGTTCTAAAGAACTATTTCTTTAGAACATTTGAGAATGTCAAAACCAGATTTACAACATGTCCAAAAATCTCTCAACATCTTCGATCCGTTAAAAACAAAATTCCATTTGAGATGTTTACAGCATTTCATGCATATGCGGCAAAGGATACATTGGATAGAGAGGACGAAAAATATCAGCTAAGCTCAAAGAACATGAAAATGCCTTAAGACTAAGACAAATAAACTCATCAGCAGTTGCGGAACACAATCACGAAACCGGACATAAAATTTTATTCGATAAAACTAAAATTCTTTCATGTAATCAATTCTTCTACCAATGAAAAATCCAAGAGTCTATAGAAATTTATAAGCAACCTAACAAGCTTAACCGCGACACAGGTCTTTACCTGTCACCAATATGGGAATCACAATATATAATCAGGTACAGAGTAAAATGAGAGCCAGTTTCAGTCAAGCTCTGAAGAAACCAACAGAAACGTTAGCAAGTTCGACCCAACAACAACAACCCATCCAAAAGATTTGTACATAGTCTATAGGAGTTACTCTATTTCATTATATGTTATATTATATTTCATATGTTACACGTGTTTGGACCCTCTTTTCCGATAAAAGCGACATCTGCGGGTCATAGGAGAAGAGACCTTAGAATCTTTTATTTTTTACTTAATAAGTTATTAACATTTCCCTTTTGTGTTTGTTGTCGAAATTTTAATTTATAATTAATTGGGCTTCTCCCTTCGGTAAATATTTAGACCAATATTGAACAGTTTATACCCTAGCTTTACAAATAAGTAGAACATTAATAATGACAAATTCGACATTGTTATAAGATTATAATGGGATGAACACTATTGTTTTTTGATAGTCTATGGTGGCGGACAGGTATGATATCAAATATTATTTATTGAGAACTAAAAAATTACTACAAATTATTTTGCTCGCAAAAAGAAAAACTTTGCCATGAGCGTGTTCAGTATAATGTCGCTTTGAAGCAGTAAGACCTTGCGACGTTCAACAGTCACCGCTGACTACTGACAGTTCATCAAAGCGACATTTTTTCATGAGTATTAATCAAAATACGTCCCCTGGTATTAAATTTTCAGGAAAAAACGATATGAGTGTGGGGATCACTGTTTAAACAGAAAAGTGCCAAGTTTGTATGCAAAATTTCTTTACGTAAATATTATAGTCGTCGGAGGGGCATCAGTTTCACAGTATTAATGGCCCCTATGTTATCTAATAGATATATGATTGAAAGCGAATTTTTGAAATTACTTTAAATTAAAAAATATTGTGTTAATGTTGTTTTCAAAGTATTATCAGCAAGCAAGGCGTATTAAGTACTAATACTTTTATGCTAAACACATTACCGACCTTTGCGACTACAATCAGCGTATTTTGGTAAAGCCGACGGAAACAGAACCTCAACTTCCAGGTTGGGAATCCATAATGAACATATTTGTAATTCAAAACGACAATGAAGTAGGATATATTGGTATAAACGCAGAACATAAGTTTATCCTCAATTATTTGCTCAAACAAATGGATGAATTGATATTGAGACAAAATTGGAAATGTTGTATATAAAATCTCGTATGAAACATAGTGTACCTATTGTGAGATAATGATTAAGTTTTGTCATATTTTACGATAAAAGTGATATATACTTACACTGATATGATTATTGTACTTTCCACTTTGCTTTCTCACTTAATGATTGCGCAGTGAAGTAAATATTTCGCTTATTATTTAGTTCGGCATTTGTTTTCTTAACCATCGGCTGTATTTACACTAGGCGAGTAGTTTATCCGAAATATATTTCGACTTTTGACAATCACGTTTCTTTGATAGCTTAAAACATAACACATACGTCTGATTCTCAACAAAACCGACGAACAAAGAGTCCTTTGAAACAGTTTGGTGCATCAGAATAACATCATAACTCATTATTGGAAAACAACATCCGGAATTAGAATTAGAAAAAACAAACGATACATGTTCCAAATAGAACCATAAAAATATGTGTATAATTTTTACTCGTGCTTATAAGTTTGCATAATCTTTCTTTCAGATTAGTTACCGAGCCGTGCTGTAGCCCGCAAAGTGGTCATTCTTCGTCCACTTGTGGATCGCCACCGGCTACTGGCATCATCAATAATGGACCGACTGCTGCTGATCCTTTGACCAGCTCTGCTGCAACCTGCCTGGCAGCATCCACGAATTTTGCAGCTGTTGCGGTCGCTGGCTGGCCGTTATTGGATGCACCGGGTAAATAAAGTTTTTTTTTTTATACGCAGCTTATTCTGCGAAAGAATCGTTTCTTTTTGTTAGAATGCAAATCCAGCTTAAGCAATTAATATTCCACGTGCTATTAAAATCAATATCCGTGCAGTTGCCAAGCAAAGGTAAACAACTTTGTGGTTCCAGAAGTTAAGGTTAGAAACAAAAGTTTTGTGGAGCTCTTTTTTAAGGTAAATTGAAACTTTTATATCGTAGAATTAATTATTTTAGAGCAGCCCCAATCCTTGCAAATGTTAAATAATTTATATATTATGTGTTAAAGATGTAGACATAATCTACCGTCCCTAGTATTAAGGATTGTTATATATTATACCACCTCTACAAACAAAATAAATTTTTTATTATTATTATTATATTATATTGTTTAGAAAACATAAATAAATGTCCTTACGAATTCGATAAAAGTAAAAAGTCAAAAAGTTTCTAGTATTATACGTCGGCGCTATACAATCAAATTGAATTTGCTTTTTATCCTTATTTCCAGGTATCTCTGGAACTTTATTTCAAATTCACATTAAAATGAAATCATTGTGTATATACCTAGAAAAGTTTTTTGTAACAAGAAAAACTGTACCATGCTGAAATAATTCAATAAAAATCATGACTCAATTAAAACATTTAATGGAGTCAAAATACAATACAATACAATGTTAAGCATTTTTTATAGGAAATCATAATGAATTGTGCAGACGATTGTTTAAGTAGAATATTTCGAACCAACTAAGTCTGCAAAATCAGATTGTAGGGAGTGAAACTTTGGAGGCTAAAACTATCAAATCAACTATGGCGTAATAATGGAACAAACTAGCGCTAAATTAATGCAGTTTTTGAACAACCCGAATTTTTAGTTAACACAGTTAAATACCGAATTAGCCATATACAACGTTCCATTAAAATAAGAAGGTTGTTACTTCATTTGTAATTTCAAGTGCCGCCAGCGCATCATCTGGAACATATTTCTTCTGGCTCGAAATAAGAATAATTTTAAAATGTTTGCTTAAACTATATAGGTTTCCTAAAAACTTTCCTGTGGGACCGGACCCCCCGTATGGCCTACATAACAGCTATATAATTAAGCAAAACGGGCAACCATGGAAATACGCAGAAACAATGTTTTACGACAAATTGTTTATTGTTGTTCACTAGAAATATTTACAGTCGGTGTGATTTGTGATAACATAGTCGATGATAAAACCAAGAAAGAAGGTGGCTCAGTATTTGATCTAGTTCCACTGGTATATTTTCTTCTTTTGTTACTTGTTTTACACAGTTAGTCCAGCTTTTTACTGATATTTTAGCTACCTCTTGCCGACTTACGTTTATGGTACTATCACTAAATTTTTGTGCAGTGTTATTTCTTCTGATATGCGCTTTCAACTCAGAAGTTTTAAATAAAATGTCAAGTTTCTACAAATATTCGTTACGGTCCATTTCGGGCAAGACCTACTTAATGCAGAATAAACATCTATTGGGTTGGGTTTTACCACGGTCTGCGGTTAAGGTACTGTAAAATACGTCAAAGCAATAAATGCACTATATTTTTGGCCGTATTATACCTTTATGTATTATTACTCCTCAATGTCGTACACTCCACAGAGATGCACTATTTATCGGATAAAAAACTGCTGCTGAAACTCGAAAGGCCGCCTTTAATTATTATTGATACGACATCAGGATCTCATTCTATACTTAGTGAAATGCATTTTTTAATCAAAATATTGCATGTGAGGAAATGCACGATGATACTGCAGTAGCAAGATGTTTCATCGTAAATACAAACTAAATTTTATTAAGGGACGTCATGATCTATTATTACAAAGAAAATACATGAATCTATCTCTCAATATGGCCGTACTAGTTATCAATTATAAATGCCAAGTATAACTGATTGTGTTTCTCTTACTCTGTTGAAAAATAAGTGGAACCAAGATGAAAATCTGTTTTATTCTGTCTGGCATTTTATTGCCGACTATGCCGTCACAAATCTTACTGACTACTTAATGCGACGAGCCCTTCAATCACAAAATGGGTAGCGACAAAGAACGTTGTCAAAGTAGACATTTATCGGAACCTCTTTGAGGTGTTGAATTCATAGAATGACTGAAACGCGCCATACATTTCAGCTGACCAAGAAAACGCTTGCCCCGACCGCCGGAAAGCCTAAAGCTGCTCTTAAATCTAAGGCCCCGGTCAACGTTTTCCATGAAGGCAAAGACGTCACGCCAAAACCTCTGAACCCCGAACTGTTGGGGTTGTGTAAAGAAAGGCAGATCGGTATTTTCGACGAAGGTTCGTTGTCTGCGAGAGAGAGCAGCTCCGTCGCATTTGTGGCCGCCTCCGAAGCCGGAACGATAAAATTTCGCACCGAGCAACTCGGTGAAACTTATCAAGGAAGTATATTCGAGGCTTCGGCGGATTTTTTCGAACCTTCCCTTGTCAGTCAGTTGACGGATACAGATCAGGAAACCTTACCGGTTGAATCGGACACCGAACTCTTCGACAAGATTGGTTTGGAAACAGAACCAGATATGAAACGCGCGCCTACCCACGTCAGCCTAACGTTAACGGAAACGCATACGATTTTTATCCTAGACTTACCAAGCTGTATAGCTATCAAAAACTCCGAAGAGGGTGACCTAGTTGAAGAAAAAAACAAACAATACGAATACCTTACCCAAGGAAAAGGTCGTCACAGAAAAGTAGTCAATGCCGAAGCGCAAACGGTCAAAGTGCTGAAGAAATCTCGCAAAACTGCGCCAGAAGTTGTAAGAAAGCACAACACTGCCGCGTTTGCGTCCAATTGGGAGATGTACGACACCCTGCTGACCGTCGAAGACGCCGAACCGAACATTTACAGTTCCGACGACTCCGACAATGACCTTGTAGATTACAGTAAAATCTCGGAATCTGGTTCCGTGGAGAGCTACAGAATGTCTAGCGACGAAAGACAGCTGTACAAGCTTATGAAAAACAGTAGATTCTTGGAGGCCGTTTGCGTAATAGAGCGATTACTAGCTAATAATCGCTTCTACGAGCAACAAAAAAGATTTAGCGGTCTTTCGGAACCCGATGATTTACGGGAGGATATTCAATACAAATATCGTTTGAATTTACTCTGGACATTTTCGAACTCGCTGACCAAAGGACGCTGCGTCAGTTGTATGGAATGGAACCCGTTGAATGAGGATTTATTGGCGGTCGGATACGGAAAATTTTATTTCGCCGAGCAAACCACCGGAATGGTCATGATATGGAACATGAAAAATCCCGTGCAACCGGAACGGACTTACAAATTCGAAAATCCCGTCACAGCTTTAAGTTTTTCTAGCAAGGACACCAATTTGCTTGCCGTCGGATTTTACGACGGGCGCATTTTTATTTTAAACGTTACGAATCGCGAGAAACAAATAATTGCAGAAAATATACCGTCCTTCGAGGTTTTATGGGACGTCCATTGGCGTCCGAACCCCGACAAGTCTACAAAACGCGAACAAATATACGCGTCTTCTGACGACGGAAAAGTAATCGTTTATACCATTGAAACGGCCAAAGAACTACAACAACAACAAATTATGAGAGTCGCAAAAGCAGACGGCGTGCTAAAGGGCTACAGCTCCATGAGAAAGTGCTCGAACTTGAACGTGCCGGTTTCGCGATACGCGGGCGCCAGATTACTGAGATGGCACCCCATCGACCCAACCATTTACTTGGTTGCCACCAACGAAGGGGTTGTTCATAAATGTTCCGTAAATTATTTGGACCAACATATGGATTCCTTTTCGGCTCACGAAGGCCCTATCAACGACTTGCAATTTTCACCATTCTCAAAGAAAATTTACGCTACTTGTGGCGACGACTGGTATGTAAGACTATGGGGTGAAGGTATAGCCGAACCATTACAAGAACTGTACGTGACGATGGCGTCCGTTCAGGATTTGGACTGGAGCCCCACCCATTCGACCATATTAGCAACCATATACGACAAAAGCATCGTTCTTTGGGATTTTCAAAGAAAGTTTTATAAACCTCAGTCCGAGTGCCAGTCGCCAACCAATTCCCGAAATACAATCGTTCAGTTTACGAGCAGCGGCAGGTGTTTGGTTGTGGGCGATGTCGACGGGAATGTTCACGTTTTTTCGTTAGAGGATATGCCGTTTCCCGCGTTCTTCCAAGAAAGTTTACTTTTCGACGTTCTCCAGAAAAGTTTAGTGACAAAACCAAATTTAATGCAGAAAATCAAGAGGATGAGAAAGAACCTGAAGTTAGATTAACCGCAAAACAATTGAAGGCACTTTTGCGACGAAAAGTTGTTAGAATATCGCAATATTTAACATTTATTTGCTATGTTAATTTAAAACAAATTGCAAACTTTGATTAGGTTGACCATTAAAATATGAACGTAATATTTGTAACAGGTCATAAATGTTGGAGTATAATCCTGTTTATTTTGCTTCGATATAAATAAAATGTAATCAGATGTTCTTATTCGTCCTATTTCCGGTGATTTTTTACCCGAAAAAAAACCGTTATGTATCCTAAGTACCACCATAAAGTGGCGAAAATATAACTAGATTGGTGCCTCTAAAACAAAAATCTAAAATGAGAACATTTAATAAATAATAATAATAATAACAAGTGCGTTATGTTGTTGTTGTTAATGATAATAAGAAACGATTGTATAGGCGTAGTTCTGTTCAACATCCCAATAATGCTGACTTCACACTAAACCTAAAATCCCAAAAACTGAATAATAAACGTGTTAAAAGTTGGAAGTATTAAAATGTACTGTCATGATAAAAGATGACTGATAATAAGTTGAATGCTTTTTCAGTTTTTAATATTCTGAGGTTATTCGGCAGATTGTTGATTACTTTAGTCTCGCAATAACAATAAGAGCCTTTGAAAATTTTCGTTGAGTGAGCTGGAGACCTTTGAGCTAAATAATTATGTTGGGTACGTCAGTGCGAAAGCAGCGACTTATACGGTACCCTTTGGTGTAATTGCATTAAATAACCTATATACCGCATGTATTGTATATTTAATCACTTGTAATTTTTGAACTCTGTACTTATCATAGGATGTTAAGCAGAGTCCGTAGACAACATAAATGTCATTTGGAATAAAACCAACGATTCAAAGAGTAAAGATTTGAGAGGTCTAGAATAGTATATTATGCAACAAGTGCGGCAAACGGCATTTGACTCACGAGTTTATTTGACATGAGCGGAGCGCAACGAAACGAGTGTTTAATAAACGAGTGACTTAAAAATTGTTACCGCACGTGTTGCATGCTATGCTTTTTCTACGACCGTTAGTTTTTGGATATATTCTCGCAAAACAAGACGAAAACATTCACTGACATGACCGTCAGAATTGACAAACGTCAAAATTCCAAGCGTGAGAAATATATCCGAAAACATCCTATTGCTCCCAAACCCGTGCGATAAAATCCCGGAAATGTCCGAAGTGGCTCGGATTCGAGGGAAACGAAACTGACGTGGTAAAGTGACGCTTCCCGCACGCTAGATCGGTGTGTAATTAGGTATTTTACATACGGGAGTAGAAAAAATATGTTAAAAGATTAATTTGCGCTTATTTAGACAAGCGGATATATATGTATGTGGAGTAAATGTGGGGTAATTGGACATTTTTTGGAAAAATCAAATCAAAAACAAATCAATACATTTCCGCACGCTATTGCAATTGTAGTAGATTGCAATCAAATGAGGAATATACACTTTCTCTTATTATTGATACTAATCGTAAATGTGTAAAGATTTTTTGAAGCGACGATAGCGGTGGCTATTGAACTCCTGGTGCCCCCTGAAGTTTCTTGATTTTCGAGCCCGGACATGGCAAAATTTCTTGCTTAAAGAACTTGTTAGCTTCAATTTAGTATAAACGCCATTTTTTTTTCGTTTCGAGAATAGAAGGCTGTTTTTAAAAACATCCATAGCAAAATTGCTAAGAAAAGTAATATTGTTTTTTATAATACCCTAACATTCATAAATTTTAAACACCATAATTAATTCGACCAATTACCAGTGCTTTGGACAATTTGATTTACTGAAATAATGTTCCAATTTTATTTATTGTCCATACTAGTGCAAAATGGTACAACTTTACAACATAATATTGACTGTATTTAAATGCAAACTATTATACAAACAAGCCTATACAACAAACAAGTTTCTCTGTCAAATACTATATCTTTTCCAGGTGTCAAAAGTGAGATTAAAAGTCCCGGATTAGCCGAAACGGACGTAACAGGCCTCGCTTCGCAAGATTCGGCTTCGTCGTCGTTTTATGGGCCATCGGTGGATTTGGGTGCCGCTGTATACGACAAAGATTATCCACAGGCGTATGCAGCGGCATCTGCGCATCAGTACTACAATAGGTAACCATTAAAATTCAAACAATTCAGCTCGCTGAGATCCAAATCTTCGGGAATTCGACAAAAACACAATACAAAGTTTTCTACACATGAAACAGTCATTCGTGCTATGTTTAAGTTTTTTTTGTTTAATATTTTAGAAATATTTTTGAATTAAGGTTGGGAGCATGTCCTAATTTCTCTCACCCATTATATAATGTGGTTCTTTGAGACAGTATTTGAGACAGTCTATGACACAAAACTTTTCATCTGGTTTCCATTAACATAACATAACATAAAACGTATATTTTCAGTCGCAAGACAAAACGTTTTTTATTTAATAAGCTGCCCATGAAGATATTTATCGGAAAAAGGTTCTTATTGTTAGATTTAAAAAAATATTATGTTGGTAGGCTGACTAGATAATGTTATGGTTATGTCTTGCTTGCTGGACTTCGATTATTATAGTCTGCGGTAGAGCAGCGTTGTTTTGTTAAATATTATGCCTGTGCGTAAATTAAATAATTGAGAAAAGTGATCCGTTATTATTTCATCCATCCGGCGGCGCCTGCTACATTATTTTTTTATTCTATTGAGTCTTGTGAAAATATCATTTAACTTGTCTGCCTGTATAACATCCATGTTTAAAATTGGATTTGCGCAGTCTAATGAGTGTTCTATTTTCTGACATGTCATACCCCTTATTGTCATGGCAAATAGTTTGAATAAAATATTTTTATTATATTTTAATATTTTCTTTAATATAAATAGTAATATTTATATTTGCCGTATAAAAACATAACAATTTTTCTTCTAAAATCTTCTTCGGGGAGCAAGGACAACCTCTTTGTCAACATATATTTTAAAAAATTGCAGCCTTCTGTTCAGATTTAAGAAAATTTACATTAACATAGATTTAAAAAATAAAATCAAAATTAAGAAAGACACGGTTAAACATAAACTTTAAAAAAATATAACTGACCAAAATATCATAATGGAAAAGTGAATTCAAATTTATCGAACAAAACAGATTTTTTTTCAGTTTTATAATGTTCCAGCGCAAAAAGGGTACCATCGAAAAAATATCTTGCGACACATTCTCATCAGCCGTCATTTTGAAAGATGTAAACCCTAAAACGTGACCTAACTTTTTAGTAGATATCGTGGGCAATTTAAGAGTCTGTAGATCGGCCACGAAACGTTTGCGGACACATATTTATCGGAAAAACCAGCAAAAAAATCTCTAAAATGTTATTACTGAACATTGAAACTCCCCATATAAAACAACACGTATGCGAATTTATGAACACCCTCTTAACTTTTAAGTTTAATTTCTGTATCTCACTGATTTCCAACCTCCGTTTTATTAATTAGGCTTTGATTATTGTATTCTTGTAATTTTTATTTTAAAGATAGTAAAAGATGGGTATAGACAAACTTGAAAAAGTTTGGGTTTATTTCTTGTATCGAATTCCAAAAAAAGGATATTATATCACCCTACAAAACTTTATTTTTCGGAAACAACTTTACGCTTTATCCCAACCGTGGAACTAGCGAAACCTGAACAAACTATATTGTATTCCTTAAGTAAAAGATGTATATTTAAATTACTCCCTAATCTAAATCTTTATTATTATTATTATTATTGGATTGTCGTGGATGACCAATCAACGCATGACAAAATCTAAGCCTAAATAGCTTAAAAATAAAAAGTTGAAATGCATTTGTCATTCCTTAAATATTCGTTGAAATATTTTACCGTTTTAATGATCTCTTTTTTAAAAGAACGTAAACACAATAATCAGTAAAATAAACAGTCACATCTGTTTGAAAATCTCAACAGGTGGGCATTAAATTATATCGTCTCAGTAGGGTCTGAGCCACACAGGCTAAAAATAAAGTTCTTTCATTAATTACTCCCTTGAAATTATTTATATCCTAGCATTTTCTTTCCTTAATGAAAGGTATGGTGTATCACAAAAAAATTAAGTGAGATAACGAAAACAAGTTTGCAACAAACCACACAACAATTAAATTTAAATTTTTAAAATTTCATCCACTTCAAATTTATGCCATCCTATTTTTAGCAGTTTTATTTTGATTTAACTTTAACTTAATTTTTAAATTTAATTTTTAAAACGTGCTGTGAAATGTAGAGGAACATTTCTTTCAGGCGGGGTCCGGACTCAGCCTATTCGGTTCACCAGTCACTATATTGTCAAAACTACGAGGTGACGACTAACTTTGAATTAAACTTTTTCCACCAGTTTTCGGAAAGCTTAATGGAAGTTAATATGTGCATTTATAAAAAATGTTTAAAATATTAACACACTTGTTGTTTTTGTAAAATCTGTACTTTATGGTACAAGGAACATAACATTAATTGATAAATATACGGAGTGTTTTTTACCCTTTCTGCCAAAAGGAAGGAGGAAAATTCTCACCTTATTTTAAGACAAAAATGAGGCACAAAATTGTTTATAATGTTAGCTAGCTTCTCAAAATATTAATATATTTATTTATATTAATTGAAAAGGTATATTTAATTTAAAAAATGATGAAAGAATCTATTTAAAACAGCGATTTTTCAATAAGAAAAAATAAAGTAAGGACAGTGATTATACACTACATTTATTTGGAAATTCCAATCACTTTTTTGAAAAAATTGTTTTTAGTATTTTACCTATAACATATATAACATAAACAAACTCGGGTGATTTTGATAAATACTTTTTTTTAATACCAATAAAAGTTTTTGACGTCATAGATAGCACTTACACATTCATTCGAAATATTGAAATACAGGATTTGCGAAAAGTAATTATGATTTATGAAAAAGATATTCGCATCAGCAAAATAGGGCTACTTACAAATGAAAACAATTGCGATTTTTCTTAAATATTCTGGGGATCGCTAGAGATCAATCATTAATTTTTTTTTAACTGGAACCTCTGACCTCTATGCAAATCCAGATCATATATGTTGCGATTTTTGATATGAAACCTGTCAACGTAGGGTTAATCAGTACTGAACGGGCAACCAATAGCAAAATTTGTGTTCTATTTTATACGACCTCAAAAATGCTCGTTGGAACTGCCAAATAAGCAAATTTTAACCCGAAAGCTTTCACAACCACCACATGAAAAATATCAATAAAAAATAAAAAATTTCTGGCTCGACACATTCGATTACGAGAACAGAACTAGTTACTTTTAGTCACTTGTAAAATCCCTGTGCCCGGAGATATCAAAATTGGTGAAATACAAATTAAAAACTGGATAACCACAGAATTCGGATTTAGTTCCGCCACTCGCCTATAGATGACACACCAGTATAGATTTGGTGCTATATAACAGCACGTGTATACACGGTCCCTATTAACACAATTTTGAAAATTTGACTCCATCAACTAAATAAATTTTGGTTATGCTAATATTTGAACAAAAATTTACTGTTTTTTAACACAGTTACAATGCGCATTTGAGTTACGTGCAAATTAACATTAAAAAAAAAATGGCCAATGCCTGATTATACTTTGTCAGATTTCAAATAAAAATTTGCCAATGTATATTATATAGGTCAGAAATATTAAAGCCTTAAAAGTTCCTTTAAACCGAACCCAAAAGGACTAAAAAAATATATTTTTCAGCATGCAACAAGCATATGGCAGCCCCAGCTCAGCGGCAGCGCAATACATAAATTCCGCCAGCTCCAGCGCTTTTTATAATACCTCTTCTTACCCGTACTCTACTCTAAATGCATCACGTGGCCTCAATCCTTCTTGCAAGGGCTCCACTGGATACATAACATCACCGTATGCTTCCCCAGCTTCAGCGTTTGGAACGGCTTCGGCTCAGGGGAGCCAGTATTCGCCATATTCGACTTACGCCACTCCGAGTGCCAGTGCAGCATCTTTTGCACAAGGATTTACGCAGGTACTTAGCGTCTTATAATAGCCAGAGAGATTTTTAAAGTTTCTAACCTTGCAGGGCGTAGAATACGGCGCATACGGATCAACGTACACTGAAACACAAGCACCGCAATATGCATCATCGTACTACGCGTCGCAGTCCTATTCCCCGTACGTTAGTTCACCTAGTTCTAGTGGCAGCATAGGAACATCCACTTACCAGTTAACCTCGTCCCTATCGGGTTAGTAAATAGGTATACAGTATGTCCAAGATTTTTCGTAGACATCGGCCTTTATTTATTTAAAATCTACTATCCTTAATGCACCCGCGAATGATTTTTTACTTTCTTGTGTTTTCTATTGAAACAAACTGAAGCAAAAAGTTTAAAAAATATTTAAAAAATTAAAGCTAAGCTAAGCAACTTTTGAAGGAACAACATTTTATTTCATTTAAATGCATAAAAAACAAGAAATAAAGTTAAAGGGTCTTAAAGCATTAACACATTTTCTTAATAATTACTATTCGGGTCTAAAGGCCATCGTCAGTTGGAATTGCTTCCTAACGTTTCACGCTTCTTCAGAGGTCTTTAAATCCTCGATGTTGGACGCAGGCTGTCTGCTAGGACTGTCTAATGAGGGCAACAGTTCATCAGCTAGCCGCTAAACGGTCAACGAAAATAATGTTCCTATTTTTATCTTAAAACCAAAGTAGACAGAACAAAAAAATATGCAATTATAAATTGCAATGTATACAATTTTTTTAAAATAAATGAAAGGGATTAAATTTAAGGAAAAACTTGCAATGTAATGACATAAAAATAAATATTTTTTTATTTTATGTTTTATTTAGAAGCTCTTTTTTTGCTTAATAGTGGAATAGGCCATTTTCCAGCTTGTTGACCTTGGTACCAAAAATTAATCGCGAATGTGTATATATTAGCAGACAAACTAATAAGAACGCCTAATCATATTTGGATGTATTGATGATGGCCAAATTTTATCAATATTGCGAAAATACTAGTAATACAGCAGTTCAAAGCTATTCAAGATTTATTGATCCTCAGTGGCCTATCTTTTTATACTCTCCGTAGTCTGTGGTCTATACTTATTTGATCTGTTTAAAAAGGTAAACCATAGACTGCGAGCAAGTTGTTAATCTAGCCTATTTAATAATAATATAATAAATACAATTTGTAATGTTATTATGTCCATATAGTGACACAAGTTCCTCTGATGAAGGTAATCTATGATAAAGAACTATTTAATACAATATAAAACTCTAAATGCGATATTTTCATGTATTTTAGAAAGTCCATCAAATGGTATTCCCTTAGTGGAAAGTCCTACATCTCCTGTCAAAATTGACAATTCAAGAAGGTCAAGGGAATCATCTAGCAGCATTAGTAGCGAAACCCGTGTCACCAGAGGCAGAGGCAGGAGAAATAATACAGTATCTCCTACTGCACCGGAATCTACAACAGACCGAGTGTTCATATGGGACTTGGATGAAACGATAATTATTTTTCATAGTTTATTGACTGGTAGTTATGCCGCAAAGTACCAAAAAGTAAGTTGCAGTTTATTTTAGGAAGTAGTATTTGCTTATTTACAACTAACATGACTTAAATATGCCAAAGTTTATATTGACATTTAAATATGAGAGTGGTTTTTGCAGGATGCTCAAAATGTCGTTCAATTAGGATTCAAGATGGAAGAAATGGTTTTTAATTTAGCAGACACACACTTCTTTTTTAATGATATTGAGGTAAGAGTCAGTTAACTAACCTTCTGCCTTAGAATACAAAGTAAAATCTTTTTTACCTTTCTGAACTTAAATTTTGCTATGTAATATATATATATAATTTAGAACCATTTTTCTGTAGGAATGCGATCAGGTTCATATTGATGATGTGTCATCAGATGATAATGGTCAAGATTTAAGTAATTACAACTTTAGTACTGACGGATTCCATGCAGCATCAGCTGCAGGCACTGGTAATCTCTGTTTGTCTACTGGGGTTCGAGGTGGGGTAGACTGGATGAGAAAGTTGGCTTTTAGATACAGAAAGATTAAGGAAACCTACAACAACTATAGAAACAGGTATGTGGAACTCGCTAGTTTCATAGTACAATGACAACTCAAAAAATGTTTTTCTTTACCTTATACTATTAATATGTACTTATTTTCAAGTTAGGGGTATTCTTAAAACTATTAGACAGTAGATATTAGATTTTAATTTATTTTAATTGCCATGAATACTTGACCCAAAAAAGGTCTGATGCTGTGACCCTTGATAGAACACCACTGCAAGAATAACTTGAGTATAGTTAATTATTTTGTAAACCTTGTTTACATTCTCAATGATTTTAAATTCATAATGATTTTAATAAATGATAAAATATGAAAATTATTGAAAATATGCTTGTTGTTAGTGTTAAAGCACAAAATTACAATCCCCAACGTTTTGTACTGAACCGTATCAATTACTGATGAAATTTTTGTAATTTTAATTAATTTAAATAGGTATTTAAATAATGTCATGATGCCAATGTGTTTAATGGCTGATGCAAACTTTCAATTCAATATACTTCACAAAAATTGTTCACAAAATGTTTATTAAACACCCAACACAATAAGTTTTGACATTTCATATGAAGGGTGCTTGATGGTGCTATATATACACTTATCTTATTTCATTTCGAATTTTGACAGTGTCGGTGGTCTATTGGGCTCAACTAAAAGAGAACAATGGCTTCAGCTAAGGCAAGAAATCGAAGTAGTCACTGACAACTGGCTCACACTAGCAAATAAATGTCTGACACTAATCAACTCTCGGACTAATTGCGTGAATGTATTAGTAACCACAACTCAACTCATACCCGCATTAGCAAAAGTGTTGTTGTTTGGGCTGGGCAATGTGTTCCCCATTGACAACATTTATTCAGCAACCAAAATCGGTAAGGATTTATTTTGTTGTTGATAAAATTGAGGTACTATACTTTGCCTTTTTTGTAGGTAAAGAGAGTTGTTTTGAGAGGATTGTAACCAGATTTGGCCGGAAGTGCACATATGTAGTAATAGGAGACGGGCAAGATGAAGAAGCTGCCGCGAAAACTTTAAATTTTCCATTTTGGAGGATAACGAGTCATAGCGAGATAGCAGCTCTTTATAACGCCTTGGATATGGATTTTTTATGATCATCCTATGTTCCTTGATTTTTATGCCCATGTAAAAATTGTACATTTATAAATATTTTAATTGTATGTATGTATATGTTCTAATTAGGGAGTAAATTTTATGTTTTTAATATATCTTTTTATGGTTTTATCTGCATTTCAATGTTTGTTTACGATGAAATGTGTTAACATTAGATCAGTTAGACCAATCAGCTTTTGTATAGCATCAAATTGCATTGAAAATATCTCATCCGGCAAATGCGGCAAAATATATGAAAAATTTTCCAACAAAATTGCTAGTGCGTAGAGATCATTAAATGTTCTGAGAAGACGAGTTAAGTGTATGGAAATCGCTGTTTAGAAAGAAAATGTCGCAAAGTGCGGGTTAGAGAGTAAAAATCATTCCCTTCTCTATGAAAATATCGATGCCCCCTATGGCCTAACAATTTTTACCGTGGGCTACTGAATTACCTAATAGCCGTATGATTTAACCTAATAAAATTAAACAAAGGACAATAAATATTAACAAATCATGGCTGACAACAATTCGATCTTTCATTTCACTTTCATTATGAATACAGCTAAAAATACTTTGGAAATTTTCTAATCGTTTTAAAAATTTGTTTAGTTTGCTAGACCATTAACTTTAATTACATTAGGTATACATAATTGAAATTTACTCCTTAATAAAAACATGATTTCAAAATGTGGCGTACCAGAAAGCTGAACTTCAATATAAGTGTTTTTTGGTTTTCATTTAATTTTTTTTATTATTTAGAATACTTTGTTCATTATAACAAAGAATAACACAGGTTAAAATTTTGATAAATATTTAAAATTCAGCAAATCACCCAAACACCCATTTAACATTTACTGTACATAGGTTTCGGTAATGCATAGTCACATATATAATCACTTGAATTGGAAAAGAAAATTATCAGTGGTGGGAGAATGGGGATTTGAAAATATATCTAATACATGCTATATTACAATATTTACTACAGTATTGTATACATATGAAAAACGCATTATATTGATAAAGCTTTCTGGTAGTTATTTGACTGTAAAAAAATATAAATGTTAAAACTCGCAATGTATTCAATTGTTATTATGTGCCAACATTGTTTTTTTTTCCGCAACTGAATTAAATACACAGAAATGCAGGTACACGACGGCTTTTAAGTCAAGCTAATGAGTTTTAATTAATTTAAACATTAAGTATCCTCAACAGAAAAAACGCATATTCTTCTAACTAGCCAATGCTCTATTTAAGACTTCTAGATTGTATATCCTTTACATTTTTTTCATATTTGGCAAGTCTTCCTTTGTAGAAACTTTAAAAAACAAACAACCAAAAGTTCACTCTTTCTAATTTGGGGATGATCTCAATTAACATTTACATACCAATTAGTACTACTGACAATTATTTGCAAAAATATTTTTAAATCAAATATTTTTTCATTTGAAAAGTAGAATTTAATTAGTATATGATCTCAAAAATCCAAATTGAAATAAAAATAAATATAATAATCATATACTCTAGGTTTAGTTCTATTTTTGCATTTAATCAAAATGGCACTTACCAAAACAATAAAATACTAGTGTAATTTGTGTAATATAAAAACAGGTTGTTTCTTAAATTGTATTAAAAATTACAATAAAATATTATGTATATAAACCAATGGTTATTGATTTCCACCTTTTCATATTTAAAAGTGTTTGATCCAAGAAGCAGACCAATTAAAATATCATACCTTTGATTGTACTATTAATCTTCAAATAAATATGCTGCTAGTCAATTCAAGTTACCTAACTTGTTTTCATTATTGATAATCCATAAGTAAAAAAAAAACAATAATCCCGGGTTTTTAATTGAATAACATGTCTGTATTTATTTTTTCAAATATGATCAAAAACTGTTGTATCACCAAAAAACTAAAAAAATTTCACACCTTGATCTTCATCAGACAAAATCAACTCACACTTTCGATTTTGTTCCAAAAATTGCAATACTTTAATCAAAACTTCAGTTGGCATTCCACAAAATTCTTCGTTTTGGATATCCTCTCCATTTGAAATTTCATATAAAGTTAAGACTGTATTTTGCATTCCTTGATTAACTACATATTCATATATCATTGTTGCCCACTCCTCAGCAGTATGCCAGTAAATTTCCCATCTATTTTTGGCCTTGTCAATTGGAATGGCATTTCCCGATTTTTGAAGTTCCAACAGTATAGAAGCAATAACACTTGTTTCAAGCTTTCTGTTTATGTTCGTATTGTTAAATAATTGTATATGACTTGCCTCTCGGATATCTATAATATAAAGTCTGTACTTCTGGCAATATTCTAGGATTAGGTGTTTCCAAGTGGCAACCTGCTTAGCTCTTGTCTCTGGATGCGGCTGAAGTGTGAAAAATGGTGGGAAGTTGTACTGCCATGGCCACTCAATATTTATTTCGCCCATGAATATAAAAATACTCTATTAAAAAAACTAATATATAAACGAACCTAACAATCGAGACCGAACAGAATTCTTCTTTTTGCGACTTACAGGACGCATGCATGAATACAACTATTGTGTGTCGTTTTCGTTTCTTAAGTGTTTGGTCAAAGTTTTAAGTGTTGCCGGTCCCGCTGTCTTTGCTAAACACGCCGGTAAAAGGCTGGATGGGTTTGGATAATCCTGGATGGAAGCAGGGTAGTGTGACTATCGAGATGCAAATATTCTCGACGGAAGTCGGCAATGAGCGAATGTCCTTAGTAAATATTCCGATGATAAGTAATTTTGAAGAAAAGAAGAAATTTAGTTCATGCGTTCATTTCAGACATGGGCCGAGGTTTTCGTTGAGACACACAGTCAGAATGGTAGAAGTAGTAACATTATCAGAAAATCAACAACTTCACTGCCACTAATAAGTCCGATAGTTGAAGCATTTCCTTCGTATTATATCTCTTACCTAACATTTATTAATGTTTCCAACAGAATCTGCTGTATTGTTGTTTTTACTTGCGTTACTTCGTTGTGATTTTAATGCATGTTTTGAGTAAGCAAGTGTCACACGGTCCTTCTTGTTGGCTCCACTATTTTCGTGATTCACGCGGTTTGTGGACGCAAAAAAAGGTTATTTTGTGAGGGTACCAACGTCAAGTTGAAATCATAATATAATTTTAGACAGTCAATTTTCTAACCTTTTTTTTTTCCTGAGTAATCCTCGAACCTTCCATATTACTAAAAAAATTGTAGACAGATGCTGGCAATGGGAGAGTGCATTTTATAATGTTGCCCAACTTGAGATGGAAATAGGAAGAAGAGATCCCAACTTTTGATTTTTTTTTTCTGTTGTTTTTATGAAAACTTCTGTGAACACAGGTGAAGTAATTCTATATATATTAAAAAAATATATATAGAAAAAAATATTTTTGCTGAAATTTCCTTCCATAAAAGCAGGAACGAGGTCCTGAACAGAGAAATTGCATGAATCATTTTTTTCTGTAGATTTACCCATAAAATTATTGCATTTATAGTCGTATCAATTTCAAAATTTAGAATTCAGAATTTAAAAATAGAAAAAGAAATTAGGTTCTCAACTTCGCTATTAGTTTCTTAAATGACACTGTATGGCGCTAACGATGCTGTTCTGTTATCCAGGAGCAAAGTTTTTCACTAGTGTTGGGTCAATTGTTCATTTTACGAGGACCGAATCAGTCAGTGACCATTTTCGAAAAGGACCGAATCATTTCAATTCAATACTTTTTGATGCCAACATAAGCGTCAATAGTCACTGAATCCGAACAGTCCGAACGACCGATTCAGATTCATTTGAATTTGAATTATTGTTGTGTCTATATGTTGTTTTCTGTTCTAGTCAGCATAATATTTAGCTGTATTCTGCTTTTTATATATAGTAATAGTAATATATTAATTTGGTTAAATGAAATACTTGTGTGGAAATAGCATTCAATTCAACACATAAGCAAATCTACCAATCGATGTCGCAGCTCAATACTATAGAATAATTATAAAAATACTTCCATTCCTTTTCCGTGGCCTGTCTCAGTCATTCATTTAAATTTTAAACCATTCAAATCAATCGTATTCCTGAGAATTCGATTTGTTTTGGTACGGTCCGTCGATCTGTCGAACAAGGTGATCGAATCGTTATGACCAAGCAGGATTCGGTCGTTCGATCCTATGAAGTGATTGAATCAAAGTGACCGAATCAATCGCGATTGACACAACTCTATTCCCGTCTATAACCAATATAATTTTTGTCTATGGTAACATGGATCTTACGTTTTCATTTTTTGTATTCATTTTTCCGTTGACTGTTAGCTGCTATTAGTCCACAATTGTGATAGAACTTAACGAACGCAAAGTTCTCATGAAAAAAATTGAATTATTAGAATTAGAATGAGTATTATCGCAGAAATTCTTCATGTTGCAGCCGAGGTGGATGTAAATGATGTTAATAGAATGGTCCCGGAGCTAAAAGACAAAACAGAAAAGTTACAAATTGAAGTATTTGATCATATCGAAAATGTCATTTTTAAATTTAGTACACCAGCAAAATCTAAAGAAAATCGGATGTTATTAAAAAAGGGACTGCAAGCTAAGCAAACTCTATCAGATCTGAAACACAAATCAGAATTTATTGCAAATAAACAAGCAAAAGAAATAAACACAAGTTTAAGCAAAAACCTTCTAGATTTAGAAGATATTGATTTTACATTGAAAATTGTGCTTAATGTGCTTCAGATATTAGAGTTAATAAATGAATTGGATTTTACATCAAGTAAACAAGACTATTTAAAATGTTCTGAAATTTTGGAGGATTTGGTAGAAAGAATAAATTCAGTCCCTGACATTGAAAAATTTGAAGTGATTGATGAGCTGAATAGGGTGGTACTGCAGAAGAAATATGAGTTTGTAGTATATTTGGAACATATTCTTAATGAAAATATTAGCATAAAAGATGAGCCTGATAACAAAAGTGTAGTGCTATCAGTAAGGAATTTTAACAATGATGTTCAACTTGTCATAAAGGCACTGTTTTATGGAAATAAAACAATTGGGTTTCTTCATTGTTTGGCAAAATCTCTATGGGAACTAATTTTCATGCCATTATTAAGTTACAAAGTTTCTATCAGTGAAACTGAAGAAAGTGGCTTTAAAAAGCTAACATTGCAGATCCAAGACCAATCACAAAAATCATATTATGAAACAGTGTTCAGTAATTTGAAACATATACTAGCATTTCTAATTCAAAATTTTAAATATAATATTAACGAAGATATGATTACTTTGGAGTATATTGGAATGGATATTAGTGATAAATTATCAGAGCTCATTATTAACAGTTGCCTCTGGGATACAATTCCATCCACCAAAGAGGAATTAAGGAATTTTAAAGTTGTATTAGATCAAGTCGGTGAATTAGAGCAAGCTTTGTTGGATGCTAAAATTTTTAACAAAGACACTTTGTCCATTTTGGAATACGTGAAGAATGTTGATGTATTATTTGTGAATAAAAAATGTCAACAATATTGGGAAACTGCTAAAGATATTATGAAAAAAGATTTGCATGATGTCATTGAAGTCGGTGTTCCATATGATTCACAATATCCGCTAGGTTTGTATGTTTTATTTATTAATGATTTAAAAGCTAAATAAGTTTTAATTAACACCACAAATTTAGATTTAGTATCACAGAGATGCAATTGGGATAAATGGGATTGGGGATCTTTAAAGAGTTAGTTTAAATTAGGAAAACGTTGCACATTTTTATTCTTAACAAAATTCTTCTGTTTCTTAAAGCTTGCATTTGGATGAATAAATACCCAATAAACACCCATCATCACTTTAAGAAATCAGCTTCCTTATCCACTTTTAGTCACAGGTTTGTGAGCGATTGGATGTTTTCGGCAATAGTATTTTGACGTTTATCAGTTCTGCCAAAAATGTACTCAAAAGCTAATAGTCGTAGAAAAAGTATAGTATACAACACGTTGATAAACTTCTCCAGTCACTCGCGCTACTTGTGGCAAAAAACCTGTGACTAAAATAACTTATCAAATTTGCATAATATATTATTTGAAAACTTTAAGTGTAAACTTAATAAGCTATTCCATGTTAAGATATATTAGTCTATTTTTTGTGATTATACAAACCAATTAAAGGAATATTTTTGCTGAAATTTGCTAGAATTTTCGTAAGTACTTTTTTCTGGCCTAATATTAGGTTAAAAGAAATTGTGTTCAGGGCAGTTCAAAAGAAAATATTATCCTTTTGTATTAATAGACTTATCTGTTATTACTAAGATATTATTATAATTAATTAATAATAATAGTCTACTAAGATCGAAGGGAAAAAGATGTGTCTGGGAACCGTTTATAGACCTGCAACTTTTAACTTACTTAAATGTCTTGACTGTTTGGAAAACGTCCTTACTCCACTTATTCCTCAATTTGATTTTTGGATGTTGGCCGAGATTTCAATGTTGATCTGTTAAAAACTAATACCCCCGCATATTTTCGATTTTCAAATACTCTCACCAACTGGTTATAGAGCCCACTCGGGTTACTGGTTACACTATTTCGCTTATTGATGTACAGGTCACGTGTAATTTATCCATGTGTGGAAATATTGGAGTTAATGATATAAGTGATATCTGAGATCACTGTATTGTTTCTTCTAACCTTAAGCTGCAGAATGACCGCCATCCAACATTTTTTTCGGATCTTTACAGATTTTCGGCATTCGATAATGAATTGTTTATGAATAGCCTTAATAGAGAACTAAGAAATTTTGTGAACTTCTGTGTGAGCGTCGAAGAAAGGGCATATTTGGCAACTACATTAAAGGCTGGACCTAAAAATTTTTGGCGTACTTTGAGGCGAATTCAAGTGCAGGTTAATCCTACTTTAATGTCTGAAAACAATTTAGGTCAACCTAATAATTTTAATGTTGCTTTTACTTCTTTTGGAGCTGCTGGTGGTATTAATTCTGGGTTTGTGTCTGCAAATTATACTAATAAACAATTTGGTCTTAGTTTATTCCGTTTCAGTGTCAAACAATATCGATATTAAAATGATTCTTTTGACTACTATTTAGCCGACCATATCACTTTCCTTGTTAACAAGTGTCTTTTGTCTGGAGCTTTCCCGGACTCTTGGAAGCAAGGTGAAGTTGTACCCGTATCACAGGAAAAGTGTCCAGTGCCCAAGTGGCATTAAGGAGATTAGACCAATTGGTTTGTTGCCAACCATCTCAAAGGTTGATCAACAAATTGCAGCTAAACAAGTTCGTCAGTTGCGTTAAAAAACAGAGACTCCAACGATTTCAGAATGCTTGTATTCGTTTTAATTATAATCTTCGAAAATATGACCATATTTTCCATTACCTCTTTGATTCGGGTTGTCTCAAACTGTAGGACCGTAATAAGGTTCAGTTGGCCACCTTGGTTTTTTTTTACTAAACTCCAATCAGATTCCGTCGTACTTAATAACACAATCGATACCCCTCAATTGTTTGTGATATTGCGCTCTTTTAGCTATAACGCAGTTAAAATATTTAATGAAATACGTTATGCTACAATAATATTATTATAAAATAAAAGTATGATATTGTGTGTGTGATAATTCGTGCTTATTTAATTTGATATTTTCTTTATTTACTCTGTTTTCTAGGTTCTTGTGTTACAACTTATATTGTAATATTATGATTTCTAATAATTATTATTATTGTCATTTATTTTTTATTTTCCTTTTAGGTCGCGAAATGAATGACTTCCCACAGTGTTCAGTTTCTAAAAATGTTGAAGAACTTTTAAACCTAGCAAAATTACTTTTGGAGGAAGCAATGCATGAATTTCGAGAACAATGCAATCATTTATTCTGCGCTGTCGAGAAAATCTTTGCGATGTACCGTGAATTAGTACCAGAATATCACAAGAACTATTTGCAAAGCCTTCCGCAGCAAGTGGCATTATTTCATAACAACTGTTTATATGCTGCGCATGTGCTAAACAACTGGAACGCAGAGTACTGCCTCCAATTAAGAAGTGAATCAGTTTTTCACGATTTTACGAATGAAGCAAATAAACTTAGGCTTGTTGCTGTTCAAACTTTAGGTAATTTTATGCAGGGACAGGAGAAGCAGATCAATGAAATTATGTCTGGAGCATGTCTGAATGGAGCTACCTTAGAAAAACTAGATCCTATGACAGAAAAATGTGTTAGACAGTGTTTAAGGCAACAAGAACTTTTAAAAACTGTTTGGCAAAAGGTTCTTTGTTACAACACATATAATAAGAATATTGGGTGTCTGGTGAACACACTTTGTGTGTTTGTCATAAAATCATTGGTAAATTTTGAAGATATATCTGCAGAAGTTGCGGACCAAATGGCTGATGTTTTAAAGCTGATAATTACAAGAGCACCCAAATTATTTGCTAATCCTAAAGAAATTGTGCTTTATGTTCCATCGTGGTATAAATTTAATGAAATGCATTTTATTTTAAGTGCCAGCTTGATGGGTATCAGTGACAGGTGGGCTGATGGAAAAGGACCATTGGCATTACAATTTGAATGTGATGAACTAAAGCAACTTATACAAGCGTTGTTTCAAAATACTGATAGAAGAGCTGCAGTATTATCAAAAATTAACACAATTTGAAAAAATTACCTTGTCTAAAATTTATTTCCTACCCTATCCTGTCCTTGGCTAGGCCACAGTATTCAGACCTTCCTTACCGTTTATGTTCAGTGTGTGAATAGCTTCTCCAAGAATCAAGAAATCAACTTTCAATGGTTTACCCCCCGGGACACTAATTTCAATTCAAGATTTGTTTGGTGGCGAACGTTTAAAATTTCTTTCGCAACGCGATTGTAAAGTGTAAACCATACACAGAACATTCTAAACTTGTAATTTTTATTAACAGCAAATGGATGAGCTAATTAATATACCAGGGTGACAAATATATTTTCATAAATTATACTATGGGTAAACATCGGTTGCCATATCGTTGCCCTGATACAGCATCCATTGCCTTCAAATGTAATACGACAGAATTCACTTCTTCCAGTCGTCCTTTTCGTAGTCCCATTTTGAAGAGATACCTTCAATGGGATTTACTTGCAAGTCTAACATACGCCTAAGCTGCAATTCTCTGCTCTCCTTCGAGAAGCTCTCTGGCAAAGGGGGAGTTACTAAAAACAATGAAGCATTTTTCACTACTAGATCATAAAATTAAGTTATTTTGTATAATATATAGGAGCAAAGATTAACCAAATCTAAAGGTTATATATCCATAGAAATATTAAAGAACAATTTACAATAAAAACCATTGGGAAAACCAAAACATTTATGAAAAATAAAGCAGCTGGTTAAGTGAAATTGCTACCAAGAGCAAATAACTATACAACAGCATTGAATCGTTATAAATACAATATTAATCTTACCAAATGTCCTAAGGCCATAAAACAACCACAGAGCAAGGGACATGAAAATAAACGCAGTACCAAGCGCAAATTTCCATTCACCGGTTGGTGCAGTGAATTCAGCATAGGTTTGTCTAAATGAAGCTCGATATAGTGCCTTCTTTTCTTCAATTGAGAGGTTTTTCCAATCTCCCTTCTCTTTCTCCCGAAGAGCCTAAAACATTTCCTTTTACTTAAGTGGCAATATACGTGGTGATTCACATTGACTATCCTAACAACAGTTCAGGAGAACTGAAAAAGAATTTAAATTTGTCCTTATATATGTATGGAAGTTGCAAATCAATAATAAGTTACTACAATATAGGATATGAACGTAAATAATTATAGTGTTGTATTGGAAATTCAAATGCTGTGTTTTGCTCTGGAGAGGCATAATTGGCGAGATTGTATTTTAATCCCATACAAGATGTTCAAAAGTTGTGTAGAAGTTATAGACTCAATTGCCATTGTCATAAATTTAGGGATTTATTCAACAAGCATATATTCAAACCTCTTACTAAAACTAAAGCAAATATATAAAATTTATCTCCTTTTAGTAAAATCATTTTTATAAAGAAATAGTTAAGCCACAATACTTTTATAAATTAAAGCAGCAAATGGAAATTTGGTCATCCTGTGACATAACAATCATAATTGTAATTAAACTTTCTTGAAAATTTCAGTCACAATTGATTTTTTCTAGAAAATTACCCTTGATCCTTTGCGCCTCTTAATCATTTTCAAAAAATCCTTTACTTTAAAAAACCTTCGGAAATAATTGAAGGACTGGATGCATTATGTGACAATTTCTTTCAAGGTTATAAAATTGAAACCCAGTATTCTAATAAAAAAAAACGAATATGTGAAAAAAATAATGCTGATGATTTTTTTAATTGAGGTATATAAATTTTTACTTGAATTTCAGGTGTTGGCTCCTTCCATCTAATTGCTGGTAGTGGAAATTCAGCTTTATCCAGATAATTTGGTTGACCATTATGACCAAAACCTACAATTTCCCTTTTGCCTATTAACGTGCGGCTGAAAGATCCCATTTGCGCAATTTGAATTTGATGTTTTGCTCCCTTACTTCTAAGAATGGTTCTAGTGCTCAGGGCTAATAATGTGTTAGCCATGGTTTGGGGCTGAAAATAATATAATAATAAATGCGATACTGTTTGTATTTATGCTGAGATCCTATATCATATAGGAGAGGCAAGATTACCTAATCAAGGTATGATTAGTTTATTTTCGACTTGAGGCAATCCAAACACAAAAAAAGTATATGATACGTATATAAAAATTATTGCAATAATTACACGACTAAATGTTCCGCTAAGCATAAAAATATAAATATGATTCGGATGATACGCACCTAATAAAACACCTTCAAAAATGGAGGCCACAGCTATCAGACAGCCTTCCTTCCTCTTTTTCTATTTTACAGTCCGTTGGGCAACCGTTCACGGACACTGGCATAAGAGGACTCATATGTGTACACATGAAACAATTCCGTGACAATCGCGACGAGAGCTTAATTTGTGTACGTTATGCCTATTACGAAGCGAAGTATTGCTTATATCAATTGTGCTTCTAAATCGGCGAAAAGCATTTATTTTCACAAACTTGTAGATTTCTCAAAATAAATAAGAACTAAAAGCTCAGATTTTCACGCAATTATATATTATGACATGACAATTGTTTCGACAACACCGTGTCTTTATCAATCACATTTGATAAAGACACGGTGTTGTCGAAACAATTGTCATGTCATAATATATAATTTCGTGAAAATCTGAACTTTTAGTTCTTATTTATTTTGATAAATGGATTTTCATCAAGTAAAAGCCACCTCAGTTCAATTGTAGATTTTTCTATGAAAAATTAAAATAAACTCGAAATCACGAATTCTTAAAAGTCTAAATATAACTTTTTCTACTACCGTCTGTAAAATACCTAATTACGCACCGATCTAGCGTGCGAAAAGCGTCACTTTATTCGTCAGTTTCCTTTCCCACGAATGTATTTGTGTTTTTTTGCTAAAATGTACCCAAAAACTAACGGTTGTAGAAAAAGTATAGTATGCAACACGTTCGGTAAACTTTTTTACTCACTCGTTTATTAAAAACTCGTGAGTCAAATGCCATTTACCGCACTTATTGCATAATATACTATTAAAGAAGACTGCCGTCAAAATTAGCTCTAAATGTAGGAGAATTGTACAGAAATTGGTTTTAGAGAATACAGCCTAATTTCTCTTGGTTCTAATATTGTAATTATGAGAGGTTTTTTTATTATTTGCGTCGTAATATAATATTATGCAACAAGTGCGGTAAGCGGCATTTGAACCACGAGTTTATTTGACACGAACGGAGCGAGTGTGTAATAAACGAGTGACTTAAAAAGTTTACCGAACGTGTTGCATACTATACTTTTTCTACGACCGTTAATTTTTGGGTACATTTTCGCGAAACACGAATACATTCACTGACTTGACTGTCAGAATTGACAAACGTCAAAATTCAACTCGTGGGAAATATCTCCGAAAACATCCGATTGCATCCAAACCCGTGAGGCAAAATTCCGGAAATGTCCGAAATGGCTCGGATCCGTGGGAAACGAAACTGACGTGGTAAAGTGAGACTTCCCGCGCGCTAGATTGGTGGGTAATTAGGTATTTTACAGACGGAAGTAGAAAAAAATATTTTTACATAAAGCTTAGCCGCTTGCCAGTAGCAGACACTTCAAAATTTAAAAACAAAGTTCCATCAAAATAATTAAACCTATTTAGCTTGAAAAAATTGGGTCGTGTTATCATCAAAAAATTGCAGTTAAAAAGACATTCATTTCTAACAGCAATTTTTATCTGTTAAAAATACATATAGAAATTGCATCTATAATTATAATTCCACTGGCTAAATGGTTTTGGTTCTCCCAAGAAAATCAAAAACTGTGATTTAAGAAAGAATGAATATATTCTGTGGTTAGATTTGACTGTGTTAACCTTGGATGGGAAAAAGAGGTTGTGTTTTGTATGTTTCATATTTTGGGCATTATTATTTTTTTAATTAAATGTGCAAATAACGGTGAATATTTAATTTAATTTCACCGCTAAGTCAAGATATAATTAAGGTAGGGTACATTTTCTCCATAGCTGGTGTTTCTTACAACTATTTTTTATAGATATTTATGGTTCGCATGTCCTTATCTGTCTCATGACAAATAAAGTTAATAATTTGTATTATCTATTCATCTTAGCTCTTATATGATATTTTAATTTTTGCAGTTACAAGGGTTGTTTTGCTTTGGATAATAAAGTAGTTTAAAAATAAATTTAATAATTTTGTTTTGAGTAAATACCAATTTATCCTTTAATTTAGTACTACAGATTAGTAGTTTTTTCCGCTTTCGATCAATTTTGTTATTGTTATTATTCTTTCCTAATTTTAGATGGCTGCCGTAGGTGACTTGTGGGTATCTTGGTTTAGCTGTTGTGTTGCTCAACCACAAAAAAGGAGACACCGAATTGATAGGTTTGATTTACAAAATTGTATATTTAATCCAAAAAAAACTTGACTTCATTTTCATTTAGCTTTAACATTCCTTCCATTTAAATTAAAAACATATTCTTTTTGCATAAGCAACTAGATTTTTATATTACTTTATATTATATTATTTAGGTCTATGATAGGCAACCCTACAAATTTTCAACATACGGGACACATAGGGAGTAGGGATGTAGAAATGCCTGGAGATCAACTTATGGCCCTTCAGAACCAGATGAAAAGTAAAGGTGGCTATGACCCTACCTATAAAGTAAGAGGGAATAATAATTAAATTACATTGCTATTTCACACTAAAAAGCTTTTGATCTTCTACCCTTAACAATTGCATCATCTTGGGTGGAATATCTTGAGTTACACAATTGATCAAAAAACAAAAAATTCACTTTAAAATTGAATTAAAAAACTGTTCAATAACACCAATCATTGACCCTCCCCCACCTCAATCTACTGGTATCGAGAATCCAGGAAACTTTGGGCAAAAACTGATTTTTGATTCATAAAATCTGAATATATAATAAAATAGGGAAGTTTCCGTTTAAGGCTTCAAAGTTACCCCACCATGGGATAGGGTAGAGGTCATGTTTTGTGTTCTTGAACAGTTTTTGTCCAATATTTGAAGGCTTTTTTCTATTTCACCATTTCCATACATTTTTGTAGCTATTTTAGATTATGTTAATCTGATTATTAATACTTTAAATTTTAGGAAGCCCAATGGTGTCCATAAGGTGCACAGAAGTTTCTTACGTGCATAAATGTATTTATTTCAATTTTTTGGTATTATCCAATTACAGAATGTTTGTTGTAGCTTTGTATATAGTAGTTATATCATAATAAGAACATTTCCTATTGGTTTTTATTGTAACCATTTCTTTGTTTTACTTTGTGAATTTTGACACTATACTTGCAGCTCTTTTGTTGATACATATTTATATAATTTTAATGATGCCCATTGATACTATTTTCAGATGTTTTTGGCAAATTCTAAATAACATGTTTGTTTGCAAAAGTATTTTGAATGATGTCAGATTTGTTGTAACACTGACTGCCATGTATCAATTGATGCTTCTTACAGACCCATAACAAAAAGATTACTCAATGTTGGTTGCATTCAGGATTTTTGTGATTTAAAAACACTTATGATTAACTTTTTATTTTCTACTAGTGAAACAAGTTCCTGTATAGGTTTAATTTGCAACCGTTGGTATAAATTACTGATTTAATTTGTTTGCTCAACTTAATGTAGTAATTTACTAAGCGCATTGTAATCTCACTGATCCTTGTTAATTCAAAAAGTTAATAGGGTGGACAAAAATCTGATATTTGTTGATATCTATAACGGATATTAAGAAGAAATTTTTTTTTTTAAGGAAAAAGTATTGGTCTAAAATTTTGTAATTATTGATGTAATGAATTTTTTTTTCTGATCAGTTCTTTGAATTTCACAGTTTAAGGGAAAAAATTCTTGTAGCAGTGTTTTATAAATTAAACTTCAATTTCAGTAATACATCACTTTACCTTTGTTGGTACATTTTGCACCAGGCCCCTATTTACTGTAGCATATATTTAGAAAATTATGTAAATAGTATAATGTATATATTGGTGGAGATTTGTTTGATAAACATGGTTTCACATTGTTAATTATAATTATCAAACATCCTTCCCTTAGCAATTGATTGGTGCTCTGTAGTTCACTAGATTGTTTGACATTTGCACACCTTCATAGTGCCAAAAACTTTATTTATACAGTATACATATATATTTTTTAAAGTTACCTACAGACTTACAATAGTAAAAATGAAAAATATATAGCTAACAGATAATAAGACAAGACATGCTGCGAGGCTATCTGGGTGGCATGACTGTTTAAGGTGTGTGTCTATGAAAATGCGTACTATTGCAAATTCTTTAGGTAACTTACTGTATTTCTATTGTATTCTATATTACAGATATGTATTTATTACTAAACTAAACAACAAAAAACCATTTAGTTTTTTTTTAGAAAATTCATTTGACATTTAATGAATTTGTTTCATTGGATCTTATTATAATACAATTTCCCATTTGAAAAATTGGCATAAATTACAAAACAGGTTTTCCATTGCACAATCCTCTGTAGGATAAAATTCTGTAGTATTTGTGATATTATGAAACAAAAAGTGTACACTTTGGTCGCACAATTAATTTATTATACCCTTGTAATAATTATATCCAAATTTAAAGTGTAATTGTTAGTTATTGATCAGACTGGTACATCTAGGTGATAAGAATTTTTGCACGATTGTAAAAGCACAAAATAGATTTAAGATTTAAGCAATGCAATAAAAAAATACACTTAAATTTTATATGTCCCCTTCAAAATAGGCAATTATATTTAATTTTTTTTTTCTAAAATAATAAGTTATGTCCTCTAAACTGTACTTATAAAAAATAAACTTATAGACTGTTTTGAATTTGCGATTATTCGTTATCTAAGTGTGATTGCATATTTTTTTTTAGCTTAAAACATCTACGATTATTTACCTGCCTTTAAATGACATTAAATGTTTAGCTATTAGATAATATAGTGGTACGATAAAAATTGATGCCGTAAAAATGCCACATCCAAACTTATTGATCATCTGTCAGTGGCCATGCTGGTTGTCGAATTCCCCAAAGTAATTGACTAAAAAAGATTTTTAAATCTCGCGCGTGCGCATGACTTTTTTTTTACATATTTGTTTCAAAGTTCCTGTATTACTGGCACAGGCAAAACCTCTGTGATTCTAGTAGCTGTGTGGTTGGACCTATGCTCTGTTTTTTAATGCTCGAGTTATCTTAACCGAATTCTAATGGGGTAGTATTTTATCTATGATGACTATCAAGGATCCCGAAAGTGACAATGGTAGCTGACCTACCTGTAGGTCAGTGTTAAAAATTAAAATTACAGTTCCTGGGAAAGTTCGTTCTTGAAACTGGCTAGCCCATCTGAATGTGTTGCTCAGAAACGAATGAAACTGCAATTTCTAAAAACGAGAAAATTCTTATTCTCTTATGCACTGGAAACTGATAGGAAGACATGAATGCTGATCTTTCTTGGAAGACTATTTCCAGCTAGATCTTATTCCTGCTGGATCTGTTAAGAGTTGTGGATAATTCTAGCTACCACTTAAGAAAAATACCTTGGAAAAAAATGCCATCATTCATTGGATTACTTTAAATAAGAAGCAATTTCAAATGATGTATTCAAAAAGGAGCTATTGTAGATTGTCAACCTCTTTATACCAAATTTTTTGTCGACGAAATCATTTAAAAACAAAATATACCACACCACTTTTGAAATGATGGAGGTTGAAACTCTATTACAAGAGAGATTAAAGCCACTGGATTTTTAAAAATGGAGTAAGTGCATCGAACCTGTGATTGAAATAGAAGAAAGAATGTATGTATCTATTTTCATATCAGTCTAACTTCTATGTAAGTTCTTATTTCCTTAATCTTAATATCTCAATTGTGCGGTCCATCTCTATAAATATAATCGTGTACATGTAACAAACTACCTGTAGTAACGGGATCCGTCAAGTTTCCTCCCCATATATATTTGATGTTACCATAAACAATCGCACCTATGGGCAATTTTTCCCTATTAATAAAATCTAAAATTGGGGGTAAACTTGATGTCCTCCTCCATCAACAAGAATTTTCAAGTCTTCCACATTATATTCTTTGAATTTTTCGCAATTTTGCACACCCAATTTAAAATTTTGTGCACATACCTGGTTAAGACCTTTCAAAATTTTTCCCGACGTCAACCAAATTACAAATTTCATGTACTAATAGATTTTTTTAAATTTACGGAACCAGTATTAAATTTTGCACAATTTCTCGGGAACCCAACTAACCCAATTACACCAATTTTACACCATTAGTCCTATATATAAATCTCCATAATATGTATTTAGAGGCGGGATTTCAATGGAATCTTATATAGGTTGCATGGTCCAGCTTAACTTTTTCATTTTATGCTTTTGCCGATAATACCGAAACGTATGAAGAAACTATGAATAAATTTTGGCATTCATTCAACATTCACATGCGCGAGATTTAAAATCTCATTTTTAACCAATAATCGTGAAGCATTCAACAACCACCTAACGTACCTAAAACAACAATCATACCGCTAAGTCATCTTTAATAATTTTGGATGTGGCTTTTTTTGAGGCAGTATTTTCCTAAAATATTCTCGTTAGATTTTCCGGGAAAAACGAGTTAAGTATGTGGAAATTTCTGTTTAGGAAGAAAATGGCTCAAAGTGAAGGTTAGTGGGTGAAATGTAGAGGAACGCGCAGAAAACCATTACGGTCGCCAAAAGAATATCAATGCAGCTTGTGGCGCATCAGTTTTTATCGTAGTAGCGATAACTGTATGGCATGAGTCTATTGGGGACACCCAGGACAATCCGAGTCTATTTGGCCTCCAACTATCATGAACAACGGAAATGGCAGGGCCAAACAACACTTGCAAACTTGGACATAATTAAACTGATACCAAAAGATTTTTATCAAAGACAGAGTGAACCAAAAAGCAAAAACCCCAAGGTGCAATGCCGCCCACAGAATCACTATGAAACATCATCTTATTGCGTTTTACAGAATGTTTGGTTCAACTTCCATTGAATATATATTTTTGCACCTGATATGCAAATGACCCCGGTAGCCTTGCCTAAGTTAACACTACCTGGGTATGGGCAAGTTGTTTTTTGTTGTACATCATCTCAAAGTTTATGAAATTATTGTATTGGACCATGACACTTGTAATTTCGTCCAAATTTATGTCAATCCTTGCTGATAATGTTACTTAGAATGATCTTGGCAGTTGTGTGCAATAGCAGTAAAAAAAAATATTATTTACTAATCAGTGAATTCAATCTAAACGATGCAGTTTACACAAAAACTAGAAAGCCGTTTTTTAGGGCAACAACACACTGGGCCTAAAAAAACTTTAAACACAAAAAAAAAAACAAAAACTAATGAAAACTAACCAAAACTTGGTTTAGTTCTTCTGTCTGTTATTTGGTGATTACTCCATAAGGCAGTGGGGCAAGTTTAGAACAAGGTTTTACACAAACAAATAATGATAATCAATACAACACCCAAGGCTCCCGGAATCGAATTCGCGACAACCTCTAGTAAATTGACCCAGCTCAGCTTGTCTGGTCTATTAACATTAGTTTTTTAATTTTTAATGGACAAGTTTACATAAAGTCATTCGGCCAGCTTTCAAAAACATCCGCTTAAGACAAATACTATTTCACAAAATTATAAGCACTGCGCCTCTATCGATTCAGTTAACGAATATACAAAACACTATTTTAAATCTGGCGACACAATTTTCTACCGTTTCTACATTTATGGAACTGGGCAGAAGCAAAATCCGTCATATGCAATGGTTCCCAACACAACCCAGTGCTTCATAATAAGGCAATTTGGCCAACTTGCAAACAAATTTTTAACGATTACAACACCCAAGGCTAATTACATTAAAATTAGTTACAAACAAAGCGACATAGAAAAAAAAGACAGAGGATTGCATAGAAAAAAAGAGGAAGAAGAATTAACCTGACTTTTCCGAAGGAAATGCTCTTTATGGTTTGTTTTTGTTAATTGTGCATGTTAAAGTGGTCCCATATTTTTAAATATGAGCATAGAAGTAATTTATGGTTTTTTTAAATCTTTCTTAAGATAATTTCTATTTTGTAGGATTCTGATGATTATCAGGAAGTTGTTAATGTAGAGAATTCTGACAATAATATGCCAGGAAAAAAGAAAAAACGGAAAAATAGCCAATCCAGTGAATACAAGGAAAAAAAAACTAAAAACCAAGACATAGCTTCAAATTCTAAAAAGAACCTAAAACCACCAACTGTTGAAGAGTTAAATAGACTTAAAGAAACGGAAAATTTATTTAACAGCAATCTCTTCAGGTTACAGATAGATGAACTTATTTCTGCAACCCAAATTAAAAATAAAAGGAAGCATCAACTAGAAATTTGGTTAAATGATTTTCGGAACATGCTTGACAAACTCCCTGAATACAAAATATTATTGTCAGAACTTAAACAAGTTGCAAAAAAAAAATTATCAAGGCAAGATAAATTCATTAACTTCATATCAAAAAATTATGTTTGTCCATTGCAGACAGATCAGGATTTGATGTTGAACTTTATAAGACCTAAAGGGGTGGAGAGTTTTGGTTTGTTTGAAAATAATTGCTTACCAGGACCTACTCTTGAAGCACATATTAATTTAAAAATTCCAAAGTCTTACCTTAATGCAAAGGACTTTCTAAATAACAGATATTTTGTAAAAAAATTTTACTACTTACTTTATATTAGTGATAATTTGGCAGTACATAAAGTTGATGTAGTGTATTATGAAAACAATGTTCTTATGCCTGTTCTGAAATTGCAACTCACCGAAGATGATAAACTTAAAGTATTTTGTCACGCCACAGCAGTAGAAGATTTTTTTAAACCATCAAGGTTCTTGCCGGAAGTAAACAATATGAAACAAGATTTGTTCGAATGTCAAATTATTAATGTAGACATACTTAAAGAGACTCCTACTCCTCTATATAATAGTGCCATAGCGATTGATATCACTTTAAGTTTAAACAGTTCTCTTGTCAAATCTACCCTCCATGAATTAGAAAACATTCAAGAGGGAGTAAAATTGCTCTACATCTGGTTAAGGCAAAGAGAGCTTAATATTGGCTTTGGTTCTATAACTGATGAATTACTTTTATATTTTATAACATATTTAATCATTAAGAAGAAAATAAATAAATATATGAGCTCTTACCAAGTTATTAGAATATTTTGGACTTTCATTACTACTGAAGATTTGGAAAAAACACCCATTAGTTTGACAGAGGTAGCAAGCAGTATTACAGAGAGTTTTAAGGGGCATTTTCCATTAGTATTTTTAGATAAAACTGGTTGTTGCAATTTCACATCATTTTTTAATATTGAGATATTGAAAAAGTTAAAAATGGAATCTGCATTGGCATTAAGGCATCTGGAACATGGCAGTATCGATTCATTTCGCTCATTGTTCTTAACGAAATTGCCATTCCCACTACAATATGATTTGATTTTAGAGTAAGTAAATAAATATTAAGGATATTTATGAAAATAAAAAAAGTTGTGACCCATTTAAAATAATTTTTTTGATGGTGCTACATATAGTTCACCTTTGTATATGTTGAAAGCAATTTTTTTCTTATTAATTTTTTGCGTTTCAGTTTGACAGAGTCTCTTCCTTTGCCTGAGCCAACTGTTTTGACTGATCTGGAAAAATCCAAAGTTGTAGGTTACAATAACATGTATAATTTAGATCTCCTAAGTAAAATGTTGCGGAAAGGGTTAAACAAACGGATATTGAACTTGGTACCGAGAACTGAAGTAGAGTTTTCCAAAAAAAATGCACACTCAATTACCAAATTAAGTTATGGAATCAATTTAAATCCAGAAGAAGCCTTTAATTTTATGGAGTTGGGACCAGCATTAAATGACCACCTTAAATCAGATGAATTTAGAACATTTTGGGATTATCTTTCCAGTGATAGAAGGTAAACAGCTGTGCTATAGAGTAATAATCTGATATTATGGTAAATTTTCGGTTACTATTGTTAATTTCAAAATTTCTAGATTTCAAGATGGAAGTACAAATGTTGCAGTATATTTTAAAACTCGTACATTAAAATCTAGGAGAGGAATAATAAAAAGAATTCTTAAATTTTTGCTCAGTGAAAAACTCAATTTAGCATTTCGTATCTACTATGATGAATTTGATGAACTTTTAGTAAGTAAAAGAGTGGTGTTCCCATACCCTGTTGGCACCAATGAGGAGAATTGCTTAAAAATTGTAACCGCCTCAGATCGGCTTGGAAAAATAATACGCGATTTCCAGATGTCTCTCAATATTAGTGGAATACAAGGAAACTCTGACTCATTTCAGTAGGTGTAAGGTATTGGTGGTGATTTGATAATCTCATATTCTTTTTATAGTTACAGTGAAGTATTTCCGCCAGGTGCTACTACATATAGAGGCAAAAGTTGTACCTCTGTACAAGGAAATAATATGGTATTTACAGGGAAAAAGATTGGAATGATACCTACATATGTACAACCTCTGGAATGTGTTCTTCAATTAGGTAAATAAAGATTTTAACAATTCTCCCATGCATCTTCAAATTAAAGTTCTATTAAGAAGTTTTTTTTTATTTAAACACTTATTTTAGAACATAGTTCCAAATGGCCAAATGACTTAGAAGGTATTAGGCACATCAAAACACAATTTTATTTGGAAATTGCTTCAATGCTACAAAATTCCCACAACATTGTATGTCATGTCACCAAAAATTATTTGGAAGTGCTGTATGAAGGGTTCATATTTAGGTACAAGCTGTATGTTCCAAAGGAGGTATCCATGATTAAGAAGCAAGTTACAGAAGATGGATTGACAAGATTCGTAGATACTCCCGAAAGCTTAAACATCGAAAAGAATTTAAATGTTTTACCAAAAGTAAATATGGCTTTGAAAGGGTAAGATTTGATATTTGACATTTCAATAAAAAATTGGAGATATTTTTGTGTAAATATAATTTTAAAATTTCAAAAGTTGCAAACATCCTTGGTTTTTTTATAGTGTATAGTTTGTCTCAATAAAACTCCAAAAGATAGGTATTAATTAAGATGAGGGATCACCTTATCTGTCCAACCCCTGCCTTCTTGCCAAGTATGAATAAATTATTTATTCATGGTTTACTGAATTCGATTCTCGATGATGGTCACAGTAAACAAAGATGGCGTTTGGGAGTATTTCATACTGTTTGCCTGATACCTTTCGCCAGCCTGTATCAGCGGCAAGAAAATTCATAGCTCTGTTGACAGTTTTTGTTGTTTAGTTTGTGGAAAATAGTGCGGTAACAATATAGTAATGTGGAAGAAGACCCTGTTTCGTAGGGGAAGCATTAATAAATGCAAAACATATTATTTTACTTGGGGATGCAGCATAATTAGATAATTCATAGGCCTTTAGACTAGCCAAGTTAAAAGTATTTTCTTTGAAATAAGGTGTCACTTAAATATTGTAGAAAGCTATGTATCCATAAATCGCGTTGCTTGCAGTTGTAAAGCTGATTTATGGGGACGTTGCAAATATGTCGCCACAGGTTTTCCTAAAGTCTGCCCTGGATAGGTTTAAAAAATATTACTTTAACCGCAAAAGCTATTACTATTATTAAGATAATTATTATTTATTTTTCTGGATAGATATCTATCAACAAAGCAATTCAAATGAATCCATAAAGGCACTGAATCCCGAACGGTACCAAATGAAGTGTGTTTTAAACAATATCAAAACCAATGAATTGAATTGTAAAATTGTTAAATTGCCAATAACAATACGTAATAAAATCATCAAATTTTTATTAGGGTAGAGTCAAAAAGCAGGAAAGACAAAAGACTTTGAGATGCACTGTACCTAAAATGTGTCTTGTTTAAAAAACCCTATCTGCTTTACAAAAGAAAATATTAAAATTTTTAGTTTGCAGCAACAACATCCAAGTTTTGGACCAGGGACAGCCCTTATCAAGAGGTGGCTGAGAAGCCAACTTATTGATGAGCATTATCTTCCAAATGTAGTAATTAATTTACTCAATGCATCTTTGTACATGAATAGTACACCGTTTAGTGAAGCAAACACTCCTCAAATATCATTTTTGAGATTCTTGAAATTTATATCTGAATTGCAATGGTTCATTCAACCAGTCATTGTAAATTTTAATGAAGAAATCTCCAGTAAGTATTTTAAGTATTTAATGGTACATTTGATTATTTTCTATTGGTTTTTAGAGGAAGATATAACTGAATTAGAATCTACTCTTCAACACAACAGACAGAAAGTTCAACCTTTGTATATTATAATTCCCTATGATCAAGGACAATCCATTTTTACGAAACACTCTCCAACAAAAGAAGTTTTGCACAGGATAAAATCACTCTCTGAAGTTGCTTTAGATTTGATTATTAACAGAATTAACGAGAGAAATCTTTTTGATATAAAGGTATTCATATCACTGTAAACTGTTTAAAGGTGTAGTAAAGAATGCTGCTGTTTTAGCAACTGTTTCTTGCAAATTGGGAGGGATATGAGCTTTTAATACATTTGAAACCTGTTATGAATCCGCGAAGACATGAAGAAGTAAATGATGATGGAAACAGTAAAATTGAATTACAGGAGTATAAGCATACGGAAAATGAAAAAATACCAATTGTTGATTTTGACCCAGTTCAAATATACCTTAACATATTGAGAGTGAGCATTTTTCACTATCATAGTATTACAATTATAAAATCTTAATTTGTAGGAAAATTATGGGAAATTTGCCTCATTTTTTCATAATACATATGGAGGAAATACTATAGGAGTATTATGGAATCCAAAAATAAAAAAATCAGTTGATTTTAAGGTAAGCACACTATTTTAAACAAGGTTTAATGAAATTTATTTTTTAAATTATTAAATATATTAACTAATTTTTTAGGTGAGTCATTTGAAAGGAAGAAAGTTGATTGATAATAGTTTACATTTTAACTATGATGCTATTATAGATGATTTCTATGTATTGGGAAACCATTTGGTTAAATTTATAGAAAAACAATAATTAATAAATTAAGTACTATCGAATACTAAACAGTTGTGTTTATTTATTACCTAGGAATTCATATTTTCTATAACCAATTTATCCGTTTTGTACATTTGACTGATGAGTGCCTAAAACAAATTCGCCTAAATTAGAACTGGCAATTATATTTATTACAATTACCTGTCTTTTAATTAATTCTAAGTTATTTTGACCCTCTATTAATTTAGTACGGATTACTTCTACATCCATCAAAAACTTATTTTCTCTAAAGCTGTCTCTTACTCGGCGAACGGCATAGCTTCTATTAAAATGAAAAAAAAAATCCCCATAACTTTCAAAAAAATCATGAATGTGTACCTGAAATTGTAAGAGGCAAACTGCTGAGACTCTCTTATCAAAGATTTATATAATGACAACAATTGCTTTTTTGACGACATTTCTTAGTATGTTTATTCCTCTTGTAAATATTCCTGATTCCTGTGGCTACTCCATAGTTTATAAATAATAAATTATTTATGATAGTTGAAAAAACAGTGTTGTCAGATTTTTCTTCCTTCCTTCCACGGCCACAACTACTTTTACCTCTGTTTACCACGACTGCTAGGCCATAAGTACTATGAGAGATTTTTGAATCAATATACCCAAATGTCAAATTAAAAAGTGGCCCAACAACTTTCTTTTTGCAATATTATTATATTGCTGTTTGCAATTTGATATGCATTATAAAACAAATGCATCGGTGAATGAATTATTTGTTTGACCAATTTCATAAAAAAAGCTTTGTTTTTTCTTTAACAACAAAAGAATTGGGAATCATCAAAATTTTTGTTTATAGAAGCTGCTGTGAATATAATTTTGTGGTCTGTAGAAGTGGCAGTAACCTTTGAACGCATGCGCGACACGCAATCAGCTGTAACATGTAAAATTGTATGTATGGCTGACATTTTCCGAAAAAGTGTTTATTTAGAACAGATATTCCATTTATATAATGGAAATATGTGAAGTTGTACATGAATCATGTTTCTACGAAAAAACAAGAAATGATTTTGAAACATTCGTATGTAATATGCGTTTGTGTTTGAAACTTTGGTGTCGTTTAGGAGTTTTTGCAAAGAATGTTAAATTGGTGTCCAAAATGAACATATTTGGCATTAATTCTTAGCTTAATAATATTATCATTATCGATAAAGCTGCCAGGAAGACGTTAGGATGACGACCATGATGTACCCTTCCCTGACAAAATCACAGAGTATGCGTGCAAAACGCAAATCTGCTGTTGAGTTGCTTGCGGAAAGTAAACCCTTTTATGTTAAGTCCGAAATTGTGCGGGATACCACTCAGCAATTGCCTTCAAGGCCCCATTCAAATTTGTATGGAACTTACAGTCGCAGTAAATCTGTCAATGTCTCAGGTCCTATTGGTACTTACAAACCTCCAAGCTTTTGTCAGTGTAAGTTTCTTCTTCGATTTAATAAGTTGCCTTGTTTAAAATTTGGGAAAACATTTTAAAGTAATAATTTAATTCATTTTCTGATGAAGGTGGTGTTGCTATTTTTTTTTATAAAAATTAATTTGTATTAGGTAGAATATAAAAAAGCTCTTAAACAAAACTTTAAAAAAATGCTGAACAGCACAAAATAATAGCAAATTCTAAATTAAAGTAATGAAATCTGTATTGCATTTTGTGCCGGAATTATATTTCAAAAGTTGAACAGGTTTTTTAGTGGCTTTTAAATCGAGGTCCATGGTATCTAGGTACCAATTTTTTTTTATTGCAATTGACTAGTTTTAGTTAGCATAAACCACACAGAAGGACCCTAATGCTTTATATGCACTCCTAATTCATGCCACTAATCAACCCTTGAGGATCCAATAAGTCAGTCAGTTCTCACCTATTGAAATTTAAAATACATAATTTATCAAACACTAAAACAGACAAAACTCTTACAATTATTATAATTTATTTTGAAGTTTGTGGTTTATTTTAATTTGCCACACAAAATAGATTATTTACACAAAATGGTTGGTTAGTTAGTTAATTTCCTGTTGTGAATTAATAGATTTAAACGATTCAGAGAATAAATAAAAAAACGTTTTAGATATGGCGGTCTCACCCTCTCGTTCTTTACCTCCTTTAACCCATCGCAGATCTGTCCATCCCACTATTTCTGGCGTTCATGCGACAGGTTCCAATGATTTACTTCAGAATAGATTGAGACAGTTGCTCGTTTGCGATAGTGCTGAAGAGCTGAGAGTTGATCAGGTATAAGGATATTGTGATTCATTATTAAATACTTAGAATTTATTCTTTTAAGATGGCTCCACTAAGTCCTCCTGCAGAATATGCAGCACAGAGGTGTCACAAAAGTCTTCCTGATTTACACTGTAGAGGCAGCAGTGGAAGTGGAGGAGCTGAACCTAGCTCAAATAAAAGTAGCAACAAGAGTTTATCAAATAGAGACAGTGGTGGCTCTAGTGGACATTATACTCAAAGAAGTGAGCCAGCTCCACCCCCTAGACAAGTAAGAATTTGTCAAATTTATTTCTGAGTGAAATAAATTGATTATTATTTACAGTATATGGATCACTTTTATTTTTACAGGAAATTAGGCGGGATTCTGGCTCAAGTACTCAACATAGTGGAGGCAGTTCATATTACTGTTGTCAAGAGCCAGACTGTAGAGCTGCACGACAGTCAATATATCAACCGCCACCTCCCACTAACTTTAAAAGGCAAAAGTGTCTTAGATATAAGCGTGATAGACCAATCCTACGATCCAAAGTAAGCTCTGATATCAAAACAATCTTTGGTAGACAAATAAATATCAAAATGTACGTAACTAGGTTGTAAAAATATATTTTTTAGTCAGATATTAGTGATCGATACTGGCGTCCGCCTGAACCTCCCACTAGCCATTTAGAACAGTTCTTTGAGCACTTAGGACTCACTTCAGACAGTTATGAAGATATGCTAAGTGGAAGTGGACAATCATCAGACAGCCCAGTATTTTTCTCGGATGTATCAACGATAGATTCGTCCCGGCCGCTGGAAAATGTAGATTGCTGCCCTCCACAAGTCAGGTTTGTTGAGCAAATTTTCACTGGCGGCATAAACATGCCAAAATTTTTTGAAATTATTGATTTTTGCTCATATTGGTGCTTTTGAAACCTCTATTTGCGAACTTTACAAAAACTTATGCTTGCCCTCTAAGTTTGATACATTACATGTTACGAAACTTTCTAAATTTTCAACCAAAATAGCATTAGAATAGTATTAATGAGGTCTTTCAATATCTATATGTTCAAGTTCTGATATGATATTTTCGTAGAGATGGGGATGATCTTCCGCGCATGGCTCTGCACTTTGGGCAGCATTTTGTTTCTAAGTAGTGATGTCCACAACTCCTTTATGCATGAAGTTTTAATGGATTCCAGGCATAATTTGAGGAAATACTGCCCTTAAAATGCTGCATTCCCACTTACTATCTGTCAGCAGCCATGTTCTTTCTTAACTACTGCAAATGAATTTTTTTTCCAAAAATATGCAGGGTCTCTATATCTCTAGTAGCTATATGGGTGGCACTAGAAGAAATGTCAGAGCTATTTTAGGCTTTTAGATATATGGTTGTTTTGAAAATTTTGTTTTTTCAGAGTCTTTTTAGCTCGGTTATGAGTAAACTTATGGAAAATGTGAAAACTGGTCTGGAAAGGATTTTTTACGTTGGATCCAGTGCCATGTCAATTGTGTTTTGAAACTCAGACATTTTGTTATATGGACTAGCTATCCACAAAGCATATGTCTTTTTTTTTTTGAATAGGCTATGGTAAAAAAGGTGACTGTTTTACTAATGTACTTTAGACGTCCAAAAATCATGGCGTTTCATAATTATTATTTTAAATTTTGCCTTCTCTTCCTCCTGCCGCCGCTCATGTTAACCCAAAAGTTATAGAAAAAAAATGGTAAGTTAATTTTCTAAACAGAATGCCTTGGTTATTAATCAAAATCTCATCCTTCTAATTTTGTTACTCAAAGAGAGGTATCAAAAAAATGTGCCAATTGATAACATTGTATTGAAAAGATCAGGGCAGATCACTTGCAATACGGGTTTAGAGGCGGAATTATTTTCCTAAAATTACAAGTTTGCTTAAATGCCGTTGCCCTGCTTTTTAGTAGTTTCTTTTACGGCCTATTTTGTAAATCCAAAAAGATTTAAATTTCTATTTTTTAAAATTGCAAAAAACTTTTGACCTTTGTGGCGATTATACAAGAATCTGTGTTGTAGGTTTAATATTTTGAAAATAAAACAAGAACAGAAGAAAAATTGATTTCAAATAGTGTTGCGTGAGAAGTGAGCATTTCAGACCTCCCTCCTAGTTTAAAAAAATGAATGTTTTATTTGTCACACTTTTTTGAGCCGTTCTGTATTAATTTCAAACTGTGCATCCATTTTCTCATAATTTTTGAAGCCAATGAGATAATGAACTTTACTCTATCTTTGACTCACCCTGTACAACAGGGTTGGTATGATAATTATTTTTAACTTATTAATTAATGTCAATAGGGTCCAAACTCTAGGAGATTGCATCAATATTTAATTATTAGTTTTCTCTGAGCACTAGTCAAAGTGAGTGCAACAAATAAAAAAACCAAAGAGATGTCCTCATTTTGTTGTTAATAAAACAACTTAAGATACAAAGCACATATCATTTTAAACTGATCAATTTCTTTATCTCTTTACAGAACCAGTGAACCACCTTCAATTGTTGAACGCAATGCTCGTATAATCAAATGGCTGTGCAACTGCCGCAAATCGCAGATAACGTAAGTTGATATATAATTGTGAGTAATGAGACTAGCAAGAAAAAATATTACCTTGTGATGAGTTGCCCCCCACTAGGATTGTTTCAAAAAAAGGCTATTGTCGCAAGGTGTTTTTTTTTTAATGTCATTCCACCTGCTTTGTAAAGTTTTTTAATTTTGATAAACCAAATTGTTGAGAGAAAAACAGAAAGTGATCAATGAACAAAACAAACAAATTTAGAAACCATTGTTTTCATATGTTGGTAGTAAAATTTTCAAATTTAGCTTAGAGTCACAAGGAATTGTAAATTCCGAATCTCTCAAAAAAATTGCTAATATTATACTAATTGTTATTCACATTTAACGCTATTCTGAATGTGTCTACTTAAGGAAGCTATCAATCAATCAAAACATGCTTTATTCTCAAAAGGATCTTGTTGATAAACCTAGCGTAGCTACTATTACCGGGTTATGATATACTGAATTACCAGAGTGGAAGTGTTTTTATTGTGTTATTAAATTCTTATATCAGGTTAATCATGTGGAAGCGCAATAATATTTTAATAGCTGATCTTTGATGCAAAGTAATTGAAGTTAATTGAATTTTAATCCCCTCATTTTATTGCTAAACAAAATATTTAAAAATATTTGAATTCACTACTTTGCCGAATTTGTTGGCCGCATAATTATTCTTTCGAAATGCAGTTTCATTGTGCTTCGACAAAAAAAATTTATCGCGTTTGCGACAGACGCAGGGTAATTTCTTTTGTATTTCTCTTTACCAAATGTCTTGCACAACTAAAATACCAGCGAAATGGAGGGATTGAAACGATTCACTCATCTATATTTGGCATTTATATTGATAATTTGGATTCGTCGCTCAAATATATAAGCTGTTATTTTCAATCATTTTTTACTTATTAAGCAGGTTTTAAGTCTTCCTTCTTTTGCCTCCAATTGTTGCAGCTGAATATATTTCAGATGACTATTAACGTTTGAGATTTTACTATTATTATAATTATTAATAGGCATTAGTGGTGGAGGATCGGCACATGCAATACAGAACTTGCGATAAATCACAGGGAATATTATATAATCAGATGATATGATGAAATGCACCTAATATGAGACACCTTTTTATTTTTTTAAATAAATAATTACTTTTAAAAATAAAATACTTTTTACTTACTTTACTTTAAAGCGCTAAATTTATTCAAACTATTAATTACTTTTGTAAAGTAAAAAAAGTCACTTTTTGTTATTTTGAAAATTGGTCTCCTAAGCTGAGATAGTTTGGACTCCTAATAAAGGGCTGTCTCATAATAGGATACCTCGAACAGTAAGGAGATTAACTAAAATAAAATTATTGCTTTATTTATTCTAAAAGTAACAAAAATAAGGATGTAACAACACTAAAATTTAATCGAAACAAAGCTTCTTTTTCCCTTGTGTTTTCTCGCCCCCAGGACAAAGAAATTGTGTGCCTTCAACTTTGCTGCATTCCTCGTGGCACCACATAAAACGAACGGTACATCTAATCCACTTTTCACATCGAGTGTCTTCGGAAAATCTTCCCTAGCAAAACAAACAAACGTTTTGATCAGTCCAGTCGTCATAATGTACAGAAGATTTTGAATCTGCGCGGCTTGATACAATTTCAGCTTTTTTGTTACTTTTAGCTTTGGATTGTTTATCCCTTGTTCCAGAAGACTTTTGTTTTGGTTTTTCGTGTTTTTTTTAAGTTTCTTTGTAAGGGATTCTTCCAAGTTCCAAGTATTGAGTACATCTTTTGGAGGGACCAGTAAATCACATTTATCGGACTTGATCTTGGTAGATGGAATTGATACAGATTTCTTAGGCTTAGAAAACAACAGCCAAATATAAAGTACCCTCATTTTCATTATCATTTGTTTCTTAGGATTGGATTGGAACATTGGATCCTCTTTTGTTGGTTTAGTTAATTTAATAAAATATGAAAATCACTGGGTAAAAATATCTGTCCGAATCCGCCCTGTTTATACGAGGAAACACTAATAGCTGTCACAACCGAAAGGAGTTTTCCTGTCTCTTGAAATGTATTTGCACAAACCAGTTTATTTCCTTTCAAGTTAATAATTTTACTTTGTTTATATTGTACAACCGTGATGCCTGTTTCGTCAACGTTAATATAATTTGTGACGAGAAAGATTAATTCTTTCCATCTCTTTTTGAAAAATTTCGAAAAATTGTGCAACATTTTCGGCGTTAAATTCTTTCACCATCGCAGTTGATATTGCCTGTGGGTGCCTGGTTAAAAAGCCTTTACGCCGTATACTTGTCATTTCTTCTTCTAAGACCAAAATACTTTCTTTTCATTTCAACGCAGTAGTCGGCGAATTGTTTTTCCAAAAACTCAGGTAAAGCTTGTTTCCTACCTAAAGATACTTTTGCAAGATCCTCTGCATTTCTGTTATTTTTCACATATCTTTCAATGGTTCCTACCTTAAAAAAATGCTTAGGAAAGCTAAATGGACAAAATGAGCAAGCTTTTATCCAATCCATTTCACTTTTTTGATAAATTTGCAAATATGACAAGGAAAGGTATTATACACACGAAAATGAATTATTCTCTGCGAAAAAATAACTACTTAAAATTATCAAAAAACTAAAAGCGCTCCTAATATGCGATATCTTATATTAAATCTCATAATAGGAACCTTATTATTATTTCGAACAATAAAGCAACTTCCACACAACAAAGCAAATAAGCAAAACCTACTTATTTTCTTATCTTTTCAACAAAAAAATCACCTCAAAGGGAACACTAAAAAAACTTTGATATTGCACAAATGCATAAAACCACATACACGTGCCGTGTTTTGACCGCAACTAAAACCAATTCCAGCTGATTTAATATTTCTCCTTCCTGTGAAATATTGGCCACTGTTAGTTGGGAAGAAAATATGTCTCATAGTAGGTGCCATCTCATATTAGACGCCTTTGTACACTGATACTTAAACTAAGCCAGTAAAATATTGCAAATCCGTCACTATTAACAAATACATAAATTTAGTGATAAAACCTTTAAATTTGACACTAACCTTACATTAAACTCACAAATCTATAAATACAACACTTACTTACATATAGAAACAATAAGAAAAATAAAAGTTGAAATGATCTACTGAGAGTGCTATAACACAATATCACATAGTGTTCGAGACACTTACAAATATCAATAAATTTGTAAAAGAATTAAACTTATATTTGGACACATATTCTGTATAAATAAAACAACTATTTTGAATAAAAAAAAACATATTTTTATAATTAAATGAAATGTGTTTAATATTCTTTAATTTTAATGTTGTTATTGAAATGTTAAAAGTATTTAATTTTAAAGAGCTTCTCGATTATAACCAGTTAAGTTCCAAAGTAGCAAATCACGTCTGATCTATGTAGTGTTTCTCTTTTGTCTACTACAAATTGCACCTCAATTTAAATCCTCTTCCACTTATGGGTAGATATAGCGTATTAAGCAAGCGTCTCATTGTATAATAGCTTTTGGTTAGTTTAATTAATTTAATTTTTTAACTTTTATGGTCACACTTGATTAGTATTGATGGCGCTCTTTGATTGTTTTTATTTAACCAGGTGACAACTTCAAAGTAGCTTAGCTTCTCTCTTGAAGTTGCTCTTATCGGAAGCAGTAGTATAAAGTGTAGATAGTATAAACCTTGTTAATTGTTCGGAACTTCATTTTTTCTGTCCTATTGCGCATAATCTGCCACAGCACTGCTAAAAATTAAGATTTAACAACATAATGCATTCTTTACATGCAGTGTTTATTTTATGACAATTTATTTTGCTACTACTATACTATAGTTTACTACTTCGTATCTATTACTGACTGTCGTTTCTTTGAGTGTTTAAATTTTAACTTTTTTTTTTTTTAAATAAGAGTATATAAAAAAGATTTTAAAAACATTGGAATGAAACAAAAGGAATAAAAAATTAAAATTATTTGGTATTTTCGAGAACGTCAGTAGCATTTAAAAAATAATAAAATATAATTTTAATTCAAATATAATCAAGTGACATTAATTATGATCACTCATTACAAAAATATGGATTCTATTGGAGATTTGCATGTCTAAAACCTGCATGTGATTTTTTTTAAAAGAAAAGTTAAAAGTGGAAAACAGAGAGAATGCTTAAAACCTGCACAAAAGCTCAAATTATTACTTATAATTGTGTAGTATACCTAATTGTTAAAAATATATATTAAATATTTCGTATTTATTATTCAAAACTGCGATGCGGAATTATAGTCGTAAGATTTTTGTTTAAAATGAGTGATAATATTAATCGAATTTTTGATGTTTTTGGAAATAATTTACGAAAAAAATATAATGTAATGTTTCGACATTTGTGATAAAAAATAACGTTTTAATTGTTTCAGTTGAGTTTAAAATTACTAAAACTGTAATTGTGAATCTTTCCTTAAAGGAACTATGACGCGTTGCATACAATATTTGTTTTTTTTTGTGACAGAATATTTATGCCCTATATGCATTTTCCTTTACTTTGAGATAAGACTTTTTAGTTTTAATTAATAATTTGCAGTTTTTTAGGTATTCAAATGAATATTAAAGCATAGCTTACACGGAGATAATTTTTAAAAGGTTCGGTTTCGGGTTGTGTTAAATTTTTTTCCATTTTCGCAAACCTCAATTAAAATTTTAAATGAAACTTTCAGAAAAAAGTTTCAAAGTTTAATCCCAATTACTCATTAGTATAATTTGCGATTATTTTAAAGTTGAATCATGCATTTGTTAATTTTTGCTGCATTTTGAAATAGCCTTTGTATTAGGTACTACTTATCTCTGCGTCATGCATATTTAAAATTCGATAGAGGATTGGTAGAAACTCGGTATAATTTGGAGCAATGCATGTTGTATTGGATCGGATGTACGTTTTAGTAAACTGTTGTAAACTGTCCATTGTCGCTACCAGAATGATTGAAACTAGTCATTCCAAAGTATTCAACCGATTTCTAGTGTTGAACAGAAATTCATGTTACTGTATGTTCTTTGGTTATGTTTGTGTATAAAACTTTAAAAAATTGTAATTTGTCTCGAATATGCGCAATATAAATGTGTTTGTGGTTTGATATGACACAAATATATCAACTGGTACTCATGTAGGTAGTTTTGTTAAAAAAAAAATTCTCAAAAATCAAAATGAAATATAAAACTGTATTCGAAGTGATATTACGAATTATCGATAATGTACCCGTATTAAAAAAACATTATTAGCCTGACCGATGTCATTTATCCAAACATTATTGGTTACAATCTAAAGGCACAATGTATGTTGTGTAGTTGTTTATAGGATTTAAGCAGCCATTCCAACCAACATGTTTAGGAGCCACCTAACGCTAGATGACAACTAAATTTACGCTAGGGTAGACTTTCGTTTGCTAGACTACTAAAGTTGTGTCCGTAAGACACTCTAGTCGATACCCAGATGTAGGTGCCCAATTTAGGCTACTTAATGCTCCTCTATCTTGGTCCAACTTCAAAATTAATATGAAACTTTGGAAGTTTAATAGATTACAATTTTCCAAGTGATATTCATTCTTTATTTATGGGAAGTAATTCTAAGAGACGCCCTGAATTGCGGCAATCAGCGACGTTATAGCTGCGGAATTTTGTACTTTAGCCTAACAATGAAAATCCGAAAATATGGACAGTGCAACACAATGAAGCTTAGGTGCCCCCTAGCTGACCCCTAAAATTTAGCTGTTCTCTAGTTATGCTAACTTTAGGGGCAGGTTGGCGGGGATGGCCAATATTCCCTAACGAGCGCCTTGTTTTTAAGATCTGTATGAATGATATTGAATGAACTTTTTGATGCCACGGCACAGAATTTCCATAATTGAATTTTCTAGAAATCATTTTAATCATCACAATGAACAGAATCATTCTGCCTATTAATTATTATATAAATTATTACCATTTCGATGGAATGAGATTTGTTTAGTATCAGAATTAGTCGAATATTGAACTGAGTTGGCTTTTACTTAATGAAAATCCATTTATAGAAATAAATAAAAACTAAAAGTTCAGATTTTCGCGAAATTATATATTTTCACATGACAATTGATTGACATTTGATAAAGACACCGTGTTGTCGTAACAATTGTCATGTCAAAATATATAATTTCGTGAAAATCTGAACTTTTAGTTCTTATTTATTTTCAGAATTAGTCATTTGTTGTTGAGCTTCATATATTCAATTAAGTAGATTCCCTCTTAGAATTTTGATCCAAACATGCGCATGTTATTCAACACATAAAATTTTGACGATTGCCCTATGTAGCTACTAGAAATATACAGAGCCTGCCTATGCCAACAATACGCGCTTGTGCGAGTCATTTGATAACTCACTTTCCACCGTATATTAATATTCCTAAAAAGATGAGTACCCTAGAGCAGACAAACGTACGAAACAACTACCTGATGACCCCGATGTTGTGTTGGTAAATTTTCACGAAGAAACAAGTTAAGTATGTGGATAGAGAAAATTTCGTAAAATGTAAAAAATGTCGTGGCAGTCTTAGGCGCGCCAGTTTTACAGCATTAGCTGCTCCTGTACTATCTCGTAGCTACATGGTTTACCGTCACTTGCTTGGTTGATTCTCGACACAGGAGAAACATTGAAGTTCAAATCTTTTCAAAAGGTTCATTAATTCGAATGTAATTAAGCGATATTGACCCTTCCTTATAGAAGATTTAGAACTGATAGATCATAAACATGCCAGTTCGCCATAGCCTGGACTTGCATATAAACTTTTGTGTTTGCAAATTTTACTACTGTATTGCAGCAATAATTTTAATTGCCATTATATTACGAAATATGCGAAAATAATTTTGACCGCGCAAAACTATATTAAAAATATTTGCAAATTTCTGCTCTGCTCGGCTTTGTCTTATGAAAAATTATTAGGGAAAAATACAATCTTTCAAATGTCCTGCGAAAATTGCCCAGAAAATGGTTAAGTATTCAATATATTTTACTTTTGCTTCTACTTTTGTGGCGCCGACTTAGTCATGAAAGTGGACTATTTTTTCTTCGCATTTTGTGTGTAACGCAACGTGTTGCATACTATACTTTTTAAACGACCATTAGTTTTTGGATACATTTTTATAAAACAGGACAGTGTTACCGTCAAAATAGCTAAAATCCACCGAAAGTACCGGAATTATTTAATTATTTGTTGCTCGTGACCGTGAGTAACAAAGTGTGATTCTTGCATAATTAGGAATTTATGAGTAGCGAGTAGAAAAATCAAATTTTCTTTATCGTAAGTAGGGGAAGGTTACCTAGAATGGGGTACTTAAGGTGTAGACCTGATTTAAAAAAAAAGTTTAATTAAGAAATCCTGGACAACACTCAAGATGGCTATACCAACTATAACCTTTATTCCAAAATCAACTCTTCATAAAAAACTTATGAATCATAAACTTATTTTTTATGTGTCCGTCAAACTTACCATTTCAGGAACATATTTATCTAAAACGGGATTAGTGGTGTTTCTAATATGGAATTATATTTTGAACCACAGATCACATATGAAATAATCAATTTCGTCGTTTGATGGACCGCAGGCTTTGTGGACCTATCTCTGGCAAGAACTTTATCGAATCCACTGGTCACCAGGTTTGCTGCTTTCAAAATTTGTTTCGCAATAAAAGCACACGGGATTTTTTTCATCGTCAGGGTTTTCTTTGGTGATGCTGGTCTTGTTTCTCCCATTCACATCTTGATCTCTAGGTTTCATCTGTGGTTTGGAGGATTTATTTACTGATAGGCCCTTTCCTTTCAAAGAAGGCAATTTACTGGTTGACACTCCACGTTGTTTCGCTGCCATACTGGCCAGCAATTTATCCTTATAAGGTGTGCTGGTTAAGATACCAGCTTTACCTCTGTTTGCATTTTTCGCAGGTCTTCTTGATGCTGCTTTTGGGTATGGATGAATCATTTCTATAGAAACATTTTCTTGGAGAAAATTTGCCAAAGCTTTTTCATCACTGGAGGAATTGTTATCTGATTCATGAAAATGAGCTGATTTTGATTGTGGTAGTGCGCGAGTCGAATGGGAAGTGGGTGGAGGTGGTGTTTGATGCCTGATTTGAAAGATTTATTTTGATTGTGACAGTGAATTTGAACTTGATGTTTGGTTTTTCATCACCACTGGAGAAGCTGTCGTTTGACTAAAGAAGACAAATTAGTTTTGATTGTTTCAGTAGGTGAGTTGAGTATGAAGTCGATGAAGGTGGTGTTTGGTGCCTGCTTGGATTGGATTGGATTAACGGGAAATAATCCAGTTTTGTCAAAACGATGAATTGCATTATTAGGTATCGCTGCCCTTAAGAAGGCCCCTCCAAATAAGCTGCCAATTTGTTGGTTTGTTCCTTAGAAATATTTCAATCTCTTGACTGTAGAATGTCGATAAAGGTGCCATAAAAGAAATATCAAGGGGTTGAATGATCCCTGACTTTCTGTATGACAGGTATGTTTTGTGTATGAGTTTTATGGCCGTTCATTATGAGCAATGAAGGATTTTCTTTTGATACATTAGTTGATTTTAAAAAATGGTTGATCCACATTTCAAAGAGATTCAATTGCATCCAACCAGAAGGATGGCAGGCGACTATGGATTTCTGCGGTAGTCCAATCGAAAATTCTGTCTTGACGTGAACTCGTGGAAAAATGACCATTGGTGGAACATATGTCCCTGCAGCACTCATATATATTGTACAGTTGTTAAGCCTGTCTCATCGACATTGAGTATTCTTGACGGTGTATATGTGTATTTATCTCGCAGGGGCTCTAGTCAGCTAGCATGAGCTGCCGATGTTGCTTCAGGTCTTCCTAGTGAAAGATGATTTATTTCCATAAATGACCACAGGCAAACCCAGCCAGCCATATTCTTACTCTCATTAAAATAGTGTTTTAAATTATTTCATTCCGCTAACTGAAATGGTAACCTGCGCACATCTATAGACGTTAATCCAAAAAGTATGCTCCCCATAGTTTTTATGTAGTTAACTAGTTGTTCTTCCATTCGGAGTAAAAAAGTTCGTTGCCTACACTCTCCAGGGTGCTTTTTGGTACTGAAAAAACTCGCCGCTTTTAAATAACCATATTTAGCACTTAAAACCGATCTTATTGCTTTGGCCATTGCTTCCTCAGTCCAAGACTGTCGCGTTGTTTTTCGAGGGGCCATATCTGCAAACTTGATTTCTAAAATAAAAATAGGTACCAACAATGTTTGCCAAAGTTGTATTTAAATTAAAACAATGTGTTTCTAAAATGGGATTTATCCCGTTTAACAAGCATTAGACAGTTCTCATCTTATCAACATATCAATATGTGAACAAACAATGCCCGCAAATTTCTGTATCAAAATTATATTCGCAAGGTGGTCGTTTATTTCCCAACAACTAGTGAAAACATTATCGCCGTCACCTCTGAAGAGATGAAGCTTATGTTTGCCGACCTAAATTTTTAAAAAGAAACATGTTAACAACGTAAAACTTACCTAGCCTAGTTGCAGTCACGACTTTGCTCCAAGTGCTAAAGTTTACTCATAGCATTATTGTAAGTATTAGGTCAGCTTACTTAGGTCACTTAGGTCACTGCATGTGAAACGAAATAATTTAGGTATCCCCAAAGAGTATAAGATAGAGGGGAAGTGCACGTATACGAATTCCATCTAATATTTGTGTAAGTACTAAAGTATTGTCATAGCGGTTTAAAGTGTGACGCATACACTGAAAATATACAGTAGCTTGTAACGGATAGCAGCACTTTATTTATATTTTAATAAAAAAAAATAAAACTATTGCGACATTTTTTTTTCAGATTTTACCTTTCAAACTCTAAATTAAATTGAACCGTACGTCCCGCGCGTTTTCGGTTTTCATGACTGGACACAATCACTAGAGGCGTTAAAACTCGTGTGAGCTTTTTAACATTCTCACTAATGGGAGCCTTCCCTTCTACTCTTTGGGTATCCCGTTTTAGGTAACCTTCCTCTACTTCAGCAGCACAGTGCAGAATAAATAGATATCATTTTCCATTTTGGATTTATTCACGAAAAAATAACCAATTGTGGCAAAAGTATTTATTTAAATTTAGAACAGACTTCAGGACCACCAAATAAGGTATCAAAACCTGTGTGGTTCAAATGTAAAACTTTTTTTTTACCAAATGTGGTGACAGGGTAATTTCGCTTTTTTACTTCGAATATGTATTATTTGTTACTTAAGTATAATGTTCAGACTTATCTTTTCTTATAGGGGAGTTTAAGAAACTTCTTTGTGACATTTACATTGGGTATTAGCATTTGTTGTACTGTGTTCTTTGGTTTGATATCTCAATCTAAATTCTAAATATTCGGTTTCAGATTTATATTTTTTTATAGATATATCAAAAACATCAAATGAAATACCCTTGTAATATCTTGATTTGTATATATTTAATTGGAATACCCATATAATGGAATGCTGTGGTTGGTTTAATTCTAGTCTCTATTGTACTTATTTTTATTTTTAAAGATATGTATTTAAGAAACAACAGTACGTTATTATTCTAAATAATTTGTAGTGTTTAATTTAACCTGCCATCTCAAATTTCGGACAAGTGTTGTTTCACCACCATTTTCTCTCATGAAAATGTCCTTACCACAGCCTGACCATTTTGTGTAAATTCGACTAATATCACTGTAGCGTAAATGTCCTATTTCAATGAATTGACAGTAAAATGTAAAATATTTTGATATATTGATATACCCAACCTGACACAATTAAATAAAGCGACGAAATTTTGTGCTCGTGTTCATGTAATACAAATAAATTAACATATATTGTTGTTTTGATTTCGCTTTTAGCTTAGAATGCTGCGATGCTGAACAAGTACTACATACACATGTGACTCATCGATTACAATACTGGTTTTCGATTTAAATTCGGACACATTTTCGCGTGAAGTTTCAGATCTTTCTCGACGTGCAAACGTTTTGGTTAGTCTTATACCACGGTATGGTCTAATTGTTTGAAATTTGTAAAAACATCCAACAGTTTAATCTCCCCTTCTATCTAAAAATTCCGGCTGATTTTAGTAAGATTAATATTTTATTTTAAGTCACCAAAACTCAGTTTGTTGTAGTTTTCTCCTTGAATAATTTGCAGCAAAATAAAATTAAAAACAAAAAATATGTATTTTGAAGTTGTTCGCTACATAGTCGCGTTTGCATAAATAACTTTTAGATACGATCCCATAATGAAAAAAATGGGATTTCATGGAATTTAATCTCGGTTCGGCAACAAAACGATAGCTAAAATTAAAATTTAACAAAGACCAAGACAGGCATATTTATGCAGACATCCCTAGTAAATAGTTGGGATTAGGATGAGGCTGAGGATGTTGGGGTAACTTGTGATATGGGTGACAGTTACAATCTACAATCGCACCATATGATGATTTATTGCTGTCTAAAGAGCAGTTGCAGACGAACAAATTTGAGTTTTCAGATTTTTAAAGTAGAATAAAACCTAATTTGAACTAAAATCTTGTCGGATAGCGAAGAGTTGATAAGTTTTTCAATCTTACTTTTTGAGGCCAAAAAACTGAAAAATCTTTTCGTAAAAAAGTTTGTATTAAACTCTTCCAATTATTTTATTTTTATAGATATATCTCCCTAAAGTTTTTTGAAAAATTGTTTTTGAATATTGCCATTACCAGAAACGCATGTAAGAAATATGTCGAAAATGATCGAAGATACCATATTGTAGTCTTAAAAAAAATTAAATTTCAAATTAAAACTATGTTTAACTATGTTAAAACTTTATCGTCAAGAATCACAAAATGCAACTCTGATTTAACCGACCTCTTAGCACTTATCATTTCCGAGGTAGCAAAATATTGATACACGTTATTCAAACAAACTTATGCGTGCTAGCATTAAGGGAAAATCAAGTTCGCGTGGATGTCAATACAGATCTTTTCACTGCTACCTACACCTAGTATCCTTCTTAGCTTTATTTATATAATACATATAATTACTGGTTTTGGTTTTTAGAAAGAATCTCAAGAAATAAGGTTTGGGTTAGTCTTGGCTAATTCGAAACTAGACCCAAATTTCTTGTTTTTAAATGTTACTAAAGGCTCGTCAGAGATTGTCAATTTTGCACACTTCGTTTCTCAAAAACGGCCAATTTTAATAATTAATAGAATAATTTTAACAAAAGGAGTTCTAAACTCTTTTGATGATGGAAATAACGTTGTGGTGCGATACCTAAATGTATGCAATATATTTAGAGTAAAATAAAACATTAAAATTTCTTAAATAAGACATATTTATTACAGTTTGTTTAGTTACATACTTTATTTTTATTCATTTATTTATGTATTTATAAATAACGCGGATTCAATACAGGCAGTTTGTTTGTTGTTAAACTTACTTGCCGAGAACCACACAAAGTTTCACAGTTATACAATATTGACGAAACACTGAACAAAAAACTTAATAAAAACCAAATATACAGGTTTTTCAGGTCGCAACGATTTATACTGGAAACATTCACCCCGTTCACACTGTTTGCATTTACCCACATCCTCCACACGTAATTGCTTGAATTGCAGTTGTGCTCGTTTGTGACCCTTTTGAGTCATCTACAGCCAAAAAAGGACAGATTCTATTTACCCAACAGGCTACTGCTAATGTCTGTACACAATATTCCCTTAAATATAAAAACTGATTTCCCAATAAATAGCTTATTTAAAAAAAGACCGGCAATAAATTTAGTTGCTAGAAAAAAGGAAATGTATACACATTTTTAGCTACGCCTTTGAGATAGCGTTCAGTTGATTATATAGAATAATTAATTTATTTATTGGGAAATTTTAAAACATAAAAAAATTAACAGTGTTGAAAAGATTGGGACTAGAAAAAAATTAACGAGAAAATGAAATATCGGAGCTATCAATTATCAAATTCGCTCAATACCACAGCCGATAAAATTAACCCACGAATCTTCTACAGTTATTAACGTCAAGCTAATACGAGTTAGAAACACGTAAATAAAATATTTTCCTGTCGTTTCTGAACCTTGACCACAGCTCACAGACATATTTATAAATAATTTAACAAATATAACATTCAATAGTTTTTACACTTAATACAGTGAAACCCGTTGTTTATCCAAAATTATTTTTTTGCTATTATCACATGCACAAAAATATGTTTTGCAATTTTTTTATCACAGTGCTTAGCCAATCCCAAAGCCACCCTCTTAAACAAAGATTTTATTTACCAGTCAGAGTAGTCTTACGATATCTTCATACATATAAGCAAATAATTGATAAATTTTGATTATTCGGAAATATTTAAATTAAGATTTAATCAGTAGTATAAGAGGCTTTGCAACGGTCTGGCGACTTGTATAGCGAATTTCGTTGAGACAAGTCAGTGCGCACTAAGTGTATTTTTATCCTCTATTAGCTAATATCTGCAAAAAATGACAGGGAATATACTCAGTAACGTCAATCCACTTTTAGTGGTACGCTTTGTTGCGCATGTTCTGTCTGTCTGGCAGCGTTTGCTTTAAAGATTTTCAAAGCCATCTGCAGGAGGGGGACTTTTCGGCAGAGGAGTTACGACTTTAAATGTCGCTGACGCAATTAGTGTTGAAGCCAACGTAAACTAAATGAAGGTAAGTAGGCCAAACATAAGTTTGTCCGTAATTTTATATTGTAAATTTTGATCTGCAAATCCTATTTGTAGCAGACATTATTACAATTGTTCAAAATAAAGGTGCCTTGGTTAAGAGGGTGTTACTACCACAGTACAATTAATTATTAAAAATTACTCAAGTAATTGCAATTATGGCAAATTAGGAGTGTATATTTCAATTACATTATTTAAAACGCAATAAAAAATTATATTGGCCTAATGCACATTTGGTTATTTATTATTTAGACATCGATATATCAATATTAACACTTTTACTTAGGTCGTGTGGATAATTTGATTTAAAAAAATATATATATTAACCTGTTCAAACTAGCCATTTTGCATTTAAAATAATTAGTGTTCATACTTTTCAGAAGCGAAAATCTATATACATATATGTATACTTGAGTAACTTCAAAACCTATCTAGCAGAAGTTTTGTGTGCATATGTCAATAGACTTAATTGCCGATTTGAAAATATATACAAGTCCAAGAAAAATCAGTTTCACTGTTCAATTCTTTTACGATTAGCAGCACATACACAAATTTTATCATTTAGTTTCTACAAAATAAAGGCGTCAATCTAACAGTGATTTATTATACCCCATCAAACTGTTGAAAAGTAGATACATTTAACCAAATATAAACTTACAATGAATGAGTGATAAGATGAAAAATATACAGCGAATGAATGTGTGACAGTGCAAAGATCTCTAATTCAATAATTTTATGAGGTGGACATTACTTGTACCAGACGCTAATTTTGACAATTTAATTGAAAGAATTCATTTTTTCTTCTTAGATACAATCATGATACATATATAATTGTTATGGAAATTGAATATCGGTCACAACTATCTTAGGATATTCAGATTTCATATAGTAGAAAATTGCCTAAAAATAGGTTGAAAATAATTAACATATAAAGCCCAATGTGCAAACAAACACATTTGTTATCGCAAATTTATATGGTCTACATCCAGAAAATCAAAGTTAATGGAGATTGACCATTAACCATTTTTTTTGTTATTGAGAAACAAGTATTTCAAAATATTAGAACTGATTGGTATTTAGTTGGCTATCACCAATGGAGAATTCAATTTATGTTCAATAGGAGTAAAACAAAGTCACTATGTGACGCTTGAAAGGTGGTACGCAAAGCAGCTTACAAAAAAACGAAGAGAAACTAACAAACTATCCAAAACAAACAAGGCTAGAGATCGTTGTCAGTCACAAAGACAAAAAAACATTTAAATTGCATGATAGATGACAATGATATATCGACAGTGATTGAGAGGTTATATCCATGTTTATTGTTGTAAACTTGCTAATTTTTTGCGACATCCATGTGCATTGCCTCAGCTATACTAAAATAAAAAGTATATTTCCACCGCACAACTTTGTTAGTTTGGTAACATAATATTCATCCAACCAATTTCACCAACCTGTAGTTGGATACTGGTCGCCTATGGATGTACCCTATCAAACATTTTGCTATCGAAATGCAACTCAATATGAGATACCTAGAATATATACTTGTATATACATCAAATGCAATTCATCTTCAAAATCTCAACATATTTCTCACATAACACAAGCAGAGGTGGATTGTAAGATAACAAACATCTGATATTTCAACAGAAAGCAATAAATATAAAAGCTTAACCAACAGTACAGTGTGTTCAAATGGACAATAAATTTTAAACACTATTCAATTTACAAATTATTTTAGTAAGTTGCTTTTACGGCCATTTTTCGTAATGCTTAAAAATCACAGAACAGCGATAATACAATAAATGTTTAATTATTATGAACCCAGAAAAACATCTAATTCTTAAATTTGAAAGAATTCAGTTGCATTTTTTTAAGGTAAGGCAATATTAAGCTTTTCTTTGCTTTCTTCATTTGTTCGTCTTATTTTTAAGTATAGAGATTTTTCTAAGAAATAGGTATACAGACGCGACAAATTTGGTTATCTAAGACTGAATTTTACAAGGCAATCTAGATTTCTTAATAAATTGTTGAAGACTGCCTATATTAATATAGCAAATAGTGAAAGTGAAAGATGGCCTCAAAAAGATCATGCAAATTTAAAAAATTTAAGCTTTATGTATCACTAACAAATTAAAATCACTGTGAAACTTCTATATGTTTTAAATTTAAACAATTATTTAAAACAAACAAAAATTTCATGGAATATTAAATACGGTAGGGCAATATCATTTCTAATTTTAAAAAATCTACATAATGTTTTAATAGATTCCAAAAACTAGAATTGAAATTCAAAGCCAATTTTGAAGTTGAAATTAAACACGGAACATGTGCGAAATATTCTATGAAAATGTGACCAATAAATTCAAAATTTCTCATCTAGTCTAGGTTCTACCCGAGGACACATGAATATTATTAACTTTTTAATTTTGTTATATAAAAGTTCCACTGCATAAATGAATTTCATAAATATTTACCAAAAATATTTACCTGCGTTATTTCTTAATTTTTTACACTGTCAAGCAACACGATAATCACTGATCCGTAGACTATGCCAACTACTAACATATAAAAAAACAGTATCCCTTTGAGTAAATAAAATATCTAAACAAATTCTAATCAAACCATCATATATTGATCACACTGTACAGTAAACTTAAACAAGCAGTAACATGTAAAATAAACTTTTCTAGCTAACAGGCATAAGTAAAAATATTGCACTATTAGGATAAAAAAGAAGTCAACAAAAATAAATATAAAAAAATGCTCTTTGTATAAATAGGTTAACATATGTGTACAAAAATATAAACAAGTAAATAATGACAATATTTATACCTCCGTCAAAGTTATATGAAAAACAATGCAATACATTTGTTGAATTTGGATGTCTATTTTTCCAAAATATTAAGATCATCCCTTAAAACTTTTCGCTTGTTTCGCAGCCAAAAAAAACAAATACCATTTGAATTATGGATACCTTCCTTTTAGGATAATTCTTAAAATTAACATAACCTAAATTTAACTAGTTTGGCACTACAGCGTTCCAAAATCATATGTTTGCAAAAACAAACATTTAAAAGAGACCACTACACAGCATTCATATTCGGCCACACAACTTTTTCTTTTACCATAACATCGATAACAAAATAAGAACGGGGAAAAATATACAAAACATCCACATTTAAAATTACAAATTTAAATTTTAATTCGTTAAAAGTGAAAATGATTCAATGGTATGCAATGTAAGTAAATGACGTTTAAATCAGAAAAAATGCGATTTTTAATAGATATTGACAAAACACAAAAACATACATTTTGTAATTGGTGTGTATTTTCCTAATATTCTAAATAGAGATGGTGTTTATATTGAAACCTCACAGAGCTAATCCAAAGATTTGTAAAAGAGATAAGACCGTAAATGCGTTAAAATATAAAGCAATTTTACTATTTTTATAATATATCGATTTCAAACATTTTTAAATATACATCCAGATATACTGGATTCCCAAAATTAAAACTATCCCTTAAATAACAATAATGTTCCAGATTGCAGGCAGAAAAAAACTTTAAACTTACATTTTCGGTACAATCTCTTTTTTTTTAAATTATCACATATCAATTCAAGAAATAGGTGGTACATACAAATCTACTTATCGCTTAAAGTCGCTTAATGAGAGCTGCTTTTTGAAAATTTGTTTCAGTTATTCTATTGCACGTTTGCTATGCTTCGTATGTGTTGACCAACCAGAGATTACTTGCCAAATTGCAAATTTATATACACTTTTTTACATCTCGTAAATTATAAGTCACCAAAACTTATTAAAGTTACATCGCAACATTCAATAAAAAATTTTAACGTCGTTACGATGGGTGATACTGACTCCCGTAAAAATTTAACTACATATAAATACAACACAATTTTGGTTAAAACAAAAAAAAAGGAAAAATTGTACTCAACTGATAGACTTTCTAGATTTGCAGTATTTTGAGATGTTTTTTGTATATCGATTCACACATTTGACAAACATTCTTTCATGTTACGTATGATTGATTCCCTTATATCAAGACAAAATAGTTTTTTCTTTAATAACCGGCTTAGTTGAGTTATAACTAAAAAATGTACTTTTATAACATCTTTGCAAAATTAATTTGGGGTCAGTAAAGCTTAAAAATCTTGGATATAGAAGTAGATTTGCATATTAAAAACTAAAAAATGTAGCGTAAAATTTCGATTAATTTTAAACTAAAAAAAAAAAATTGCCAATATTTAGATGAATTTTAAAATGACTAGATTCTAGTATAAAAATGCATTGAAGTCTGCTTTCTAAATCCTTTGAATCTGTTTTTCGAGTCTGACCCTTAGTTAAACTAAGCAAAACTAATCATGCTCAACTGAAAACGTAAAATTTTAAAGTTTTTTTTTATTAATTTGGATTTACTAAGTTATTGCCATGATTTAATCCAATCGGTCACATTTTGACAACACATTGCTTCGACACGCCTTAAGTTAAATTCTATTAGATTTTGCGTTGTATTGAGTTGGTCCTACAGTTTTTGCTTTTACTCTGACGTTCCTCAGAAAGTACACCTTCGGCGGCATATTATAGATCAAGCGATCATTTAGGTAACAGCGGGTGTTGAAACAAAAAGAAAAGGAACAAAATAAAAAAAAGAGCTCTCGAGTTTGCTGATAATTATGGTACAGTTTGTGCTAATGGGTCGCTATTTTCGTCCAAGTCCTATTGTTGGAGAGAAAATAGTGATTTCTATTTCGAAACGGACACCCTACTCCATCTACGAGTACGCCCTAATCATAATTGTGTTCATAAATTATAGATTGTCTTAAAGAATAAATTTCTTTCTTACATAATTATACATTTTGTGCTTGTCATTGGTTTAGTTCGGTACCAAACGGTAAACAGAACTTTGTCCATAAATAAAGTGACCACAAACCAGTTCATTTAAATAGGAGCCCAACAGACTTACCACTTTCCATCCACAGGTAAAAAAGAATACTTAAGACAGGCACAAACCATGCCAGAGATGCTAATCAAAACATTTCATTAACTAAAAAAGCGTTGAAGACAAAGAAAAGGTTGTCACCGCACGAGGTTGCAGTAGTAATGGTAAACGTGGCAAAAAAGAGAGTGCTCCAGAAAATAGGGATGCCTTAACAAGGGGGAGCGATTGGAGAAGTGGAGGCAGTTATAACAGTTCATATTGACGTAGGTGCATGCGCTGTATAATGTCGCGGCAGTCATTGAACACTCGCTTAATATTTTCTGTGTCCACAGCACATGTGAAATGGGGATAGCAATAGTGTTTGCCTTCCCCTGAAGCTGTGCTAATGCGCTGAAATAAAACAAAAAAAAATTATAAATAAAAAAATAATATAAATTAAGATCAAAAATTATTTTGCCACCATTATCTACGGCAACTAATCCAATCCGCCCCAGCTTTATTCCTACACATCAGGTTTTTAATATCAAATGTAAGTTTAAACTTGCACTGTCATACCCAATTGTTGAAACACTCCGAGTTTTTATCCTAAATCAGATTACTTTTTTAAATTTAACTAACTAACCTCACAGAAACAAAACAAATCTTTTTTAAAAAATATCTTTCTTTTTTTTTTATTTCTAACGAAGCATCATTTGTAAACACAGAAATATGGTCTGTCGTGGTAAATTTACTATTCCCAGTATAATTAATGATTAGGGGTGGAAATTAAATTGGGCGATGTTTGATCATTACTAATTTCCGCATTACTCATCAACATATTTACGGGTCTCCTTTGAAGTACTCGAACCTTCACCTAAAGTGTAATTTTAAAAAATAAAATTTTGTTTGGAAATGAAAAGAAATATTTTGATATATTTTCGGCCGAAAAAACTAACGGTTTTGGAATTGTCCTGTTTCAAGCAAGTAATGTTCTAGGATGTTGCGTTTTACATTTTATTTCTTGGTTTTAGACCTTTCAAGTGGGTTGTTCGACATGTAAATGGCAATTACCGATGTTCCCCCAGTTTGACAACTCAACAGATTGTGTGGCAAAATTACCCTTTTTCATTAAAGCTGAATGAAAAGAAACGCCATTTTTACCACTATTCTTTAGCACAATTTTGGTGGCACTTAAACAAATTGTATGTTGCATAAGTGTGGACATTATATTGTGCATCAAGATTATTTAGGATTTATAATTATCTACTTGGTGTTTATTTACTTGCTTACCACATGCATTAACACATTAACAAAGGTAACTCAGAAAAATAACTTTACCAACTTGGAAGATTGTTTCGAAATATGCCATTGGTAAGAACCTGGCACCTCAGTATGTCCTACTCGCTAGGTGTATAATCAGAGCCTATTATTATATGAACCTGATCTAGGAAGTACTTTTGAACATTCAAGAAACAAAAAAAATATTTTTTTTACAAATATCTAATTTTTTAAAAATTACTGACGAAGTATTATTTGTAAACATAGAAATATGGTTTATAGTAATTTTCCTATTCCCAGCTTAATTCATAATTAACATATTGAGTGGTGTTCGATCATTACTAATTTCCATATCATTCCATTTGTTCCCTTTGCCACAATGAAAATGTAGTCACTTTACATTTGCACCAACATATTTATGTGTCTTCTCTGAACTACTAGAACCTTCATCTAAAGTGTAACTTTAAAAAATAAAATTTTGTTTGGAAATGAAAAGAGAAATATTTTGATATATTTTCTGTCGAAAAAAAAACCAACGGTTTTATATCAATTTTATTTTTACTTTTCACAGTCCAACAAAACGTTTTCCTAATGCTGAGTTTGGCATTAGTTTTGTGTTGAAATTGCCACAAAGGTATTATTTGCGGATAACAAAACAAAATTGATGCTCACTTCTAAGTCACGGATCAGATGCAAACTTGTGGATGAAATTTTCAAGTATTTAGGAATTGAAATGTCTGGATATAGAGACGTTGAGACAGAAGTAAAAAACCTAGCTACAAGAGCGTCTATGGCGGGATAAATATTGTAGAAAATTTTATATCCAGTTTTCCTTTAAAATTTAGATCTATTCCCGATTTTGCAATTACCGTCCTAGAACTGTCATGAGCTTGCTCAATGCAAATATAGCAGTTCATTGATCACAAGTTTGGTATTCAATTTAAATTCTGAAGAAGGTCATTGTGATTGGAATTGTTCCTGTTTCAGGCCAGTATTGTTTTAGGATGTTGTTTTCGATTTTATTTGTTGGTTTTACACCTTTCAAGTCGACTTAGATAATACTCACGAAACTTCATGTCATCATCAGAAAACAAAGATTTTGTAGAGGCCGTTTTAGATGTTATTTTAATTGAATCTTCATATTTAGCACAAACAGATTTGTGAACATTTGTTGTTACCTTTATAGATTGTCAATGAAAATTTTGTGTGGCAAAAACCTTGATAGTTGAAAACGGAGTGAACTACTTGAAATTCAAAATAACTAATTTAGGTTATGTCACAAAGTTTATGAAGCGATCCTAAAAGGCCGTTAGGATTTTTACCAATTTTTTGTACATGCTTTGCGATCATTCACGTCAAACAATTTGTCAGCAGACAACTTTGTGTGAGACCGCACCTGTTGTTGCATTAGTCATATGGCATTAGTCTGCAGTAGTTTCGCATATATATAACAAGGTGACCCTCGCCCATACGAAATACGTAAAAAGTAAAACAAACAAAAACTGGTAAAAATTCATACTGCCTAATAAAAACCCGTTAAAAGCACTTCATAATTAATTAATGGGTACTTACAAGAAATTCATCCCTAATAAAGTACTTTGCTCTAAAAACCTCAGGGGGTTCGTTGCTTTCGTTAGCTACTTCTACCGGAGGTTGGTACCTCGAAAATTCCGCGAAGTACTCCTCTAATCTGCTTTTCCCTGCAAAATTGAAAATACGTTTTTTTAAATATAAACTATACAATCCATTAAACTCGCAAAATATAGTGATAACAAATATACCTGCGAGAATTTTTTCAGCTAGCAGATCTTGTTTGTTAAGGAAGAGAATCACCGAAATGGTGCGTAACCATCTATTGTTCCAAATAGATTTGAAGAGATCTAATGATTCCCGTAACCGGTTCTGTGTTGGATCCTCGCGCAACACCATATTGTACGACGAACAGGCAGTGACAAAAATGATAGCAGTCACATCATTAAAGCATTGAATCCATTTCCGACGCTCGTCTCGTTGGCCACCCACATCAAACATGCTGTGGAAACTCGTAATGTTGTATAATGTATATTTTATTTATACAGAGTGTCCCTCAGAAAACTTCACTGATCTCTTAGGTGAAAGCTATATTTTCACAACTAACTACACTAGAATAATACCAATTTTCGGTCGAACACTCTGTATAACGAGAAAATGAAACCGCAAAAAGTAAATAGAATTTATTATAAAATAGCTCAAATTAAAAAAATTTCAGGCTTTCGATCTCTATTATCGGGAATCTGCAGCGCCAACGAGTGAGCTCGGGAAGTAAGGGTCCTGTGTATGTACTCAGAAATTCTCTATTACGGTATGTATTAGGATCATTTTCTCTTCGAGCAGTCCCAATAGTACTAATGTACTAAATGATCTTGAAACTCATCACATTTGCTTTAAAATGTGTTGCTTTCACAACTAATGGGTAGTTGGAACTGCTGTACACACTCAGTAACTTTTCAGAAGAAATGTAGTGCTCAAAAAGGTGTTGGTTTATCCAGTCTATCTCATTTGTATATCTGTAAATTGTCTTGTCTGGATGGATGGATGGAATCAGATAGTCCTTATTTAGCAATTTCTGTCAAAAAGACAAAATGAGGCTTACTGTTACCCACCACTTCAAGGAATTTATCTATTATCCAGTGAGATTATCCTCCCATTGAGGTTGCGATCCTCTACTTTTCGTAATTGATTTCAGGTACTCCCTTTGGTCCATAGTTTGATTGTACTTTAAGTATTTGCTCGTGCCCTCCAGGCTGCTGAAATTATTTGTGAGCATTATTTTTGCTTGGCAAGGTAACTTTACTGATTTTATGTTGGATGGGTCAACATTTTTGGTGACAGAATGACACACGCAAGTTCTAATTGTGCTATTCTCATTCTGCGTTTGCTCTCCTGAATGGCCAATTGCTCGATCCACGTTAGCGTCAGAGGCAGCCCTGTTAGTTTCGACTTGACTTTCCAATATTCCAATGTTGCTTCTGAGGCTAGCAACATCAGCATTATTGTTAACTTTATCTGTCTTAGGGCCATAATCGCTATAATTTCAGAAGACATCAATCCTGTGCATTTTCTGTAGACTGTTTGAAACAGGTGACAGGTAGCTTCATATATCCCTCAGTACCTTTATTCTTGGTAACATCAATAGTATAATAGTAATAACAACGATGTTGCATGTGGAACTGTAATTTGTGGTCTTATTTGATAGTTATAAACGCCTGTTACAACCATGCAACCAGAGCAATTGAAATGCAACATAACTTTGTTCCTCCTTTGCAGAAAAAGTTCATACCATTTTTTTTTTTAATGTGAATAAAGATACGTTAATATGAAATATTTGTCGCAATTAGTTGGCAGCATTGGGTTATTTGGCATGTATCACATGCATGTATGGCAATCACCGATGTTCCACCAGTTTAATTCAACACATTGTGTGGCAAAATTACCCTTTTTCATTAATGAATGAAAAGAAACGCCATTTTTACCACTATTCTTTAGCACAATTTTGGTGGCACTTAAACAAATTGTATAGTTGCATAAGTGTGGACATTATATTGTGCATCAAGATCACTTGAAGTTTAAATTTGGGATTTATAATTGTGTACTTGTTGTTTATTTACTTGCTTACAGCATGCATTAATATATTAACAAACGCAACTCACTGAAAATTAACTTTATCAACTTGGAAGAGGGTTTCGAAGATACCACTGGTAAGAACCCGGCACCTAAGTATGTCCTGCTCGCTAGGTGTATAATCAGGTCGTTTTATTATATGAACCTGATCTAGGAAGTACTTTGCGCAATCTATGAGTTGGTATTCGTTACTTCTTTCAAATGTTGCCTAAAAAAAATGAAATCAATATTATCAAACATTACCTTCAACAATGAATAAGAAAGCAATAACAATTTTCTCCAATTAATTACCTGAACACCTCGGTCCTTCCATAGCTCCTCAGTGTGTTCATAAAACTCAGATGGATAATCAAAATCTGGTCCAGTAGCCACATCTTGAATCCAGTCGACCCTTACTTGATTTTCCGGCTTTTCCAATTGGACGGGAGGACTAAGTGTCGACATTGCTCCCGTTATTGTCTATAATAGAAATTAAGACATTAATAAATGACAAAACAATATACAATATGCTTACAATTATGGCATCGCGGATATTCTTTTTTATGTCTTCTATTTTCTGTTTTTTTTCTCTTTCACTGAAACCGTTTACATGAAGAATCCGCATCTGCTTCACAATGGTTGATTTACCCGATTCACCTGCTCCCAAGAGAAGCAAACGGTGAGTAGCTCTGTAGACCTATTTTAACCAATAAAAATTTAATTATTTTTTAAACATTCATGGGTTGTGAAGTTGCGATTGAAGAAATCCACACTAATCAAAACCAAATTTTAATTGTCGCTTCAATCATTAAATAAACAAATAAAAATTTAAAAAAACCTCTATTTCAGTTAAGTGTGGACAGCCACTAACCACTGACAAAAAGAAAATCTCTTAATTGCGATTTTTTTTACATTATGATTTAACCTACAATAACAACCAAGACATCAATTTAGGTTTGTTTGGTTTGGTTTATAAAAGTAAACAAATAAAAAGTACTAATTAAAAAATTAATAACTAAAAGTAATACAACTTGTGATATCTAAAGCTAATGTTTTGATGAGTTGCATCAGCGGTCATCTATAACCCACAAAAAACGTTAATTCTTATGTTGTAGATTTATAAGCAAAATAAAATATAACACGATTATAAATAAATTTAAAAAAAAATTAAAAATATTTTTTTTTCTGTGGTGTGCAAAAACCATTTGCTACTTAAAAAGCTTGCGGATTTATTTTGATTTGGCATGCAGTACTGACTGAGTTGCGTTGATAGAGGGGTCACGACATAATTTTGTATTATTTATTTATTATTACCACAAAAAGAATAACAATTTTAAAGAGCTGAACACATATTTCAAAAACTCTGCTGCCATATAGAATTATTACATTACATTTATGAATGTGATGTCAGAAATTCACAGATGAGATAATTCTTGTTTAAGTCTTTAAGAGCTATTTCTTAAAGAAACTCGGCCGATATTAAAAATAAAACTATATAAAAGGTACCTGTTTCTCTTTCGCCAGCTGTCTATTGATTTGATCGCTGATCCTCTTTTGACTTCGAATGTCTTCAGTAGTTTGAGCTGCATCTCCTCGGTCCCCGAAACAGCCCATGGCCGCCAGAGGGGCCCACCTGTACAGCCAATATTTATAAAAACGTGGACTGCTCGGAACTGGATGAAAGGTTTATACGAAATTCTCTGACAACAATAAAGAAAAATTGTGACTATTCAACCACTTCTATGACTTATGGTTAAATTTTTCTATGTACTTCTTTTACAATATGGATTATGAGTTAGAGGAGAAACAAATAAGAGGAGCTCATATCAAAATTTAGAGGATTAAGTTGGTAATATCTTAGCAAAGAATATTTAAGAATGCGTTTTCTTTCAGACGAATATAAGCATAAGCATTTTACAATGTCGCAATGCAATCTAGAAGGTGACTAAATAGCAGTAGGCTCTGGAGCGACAATTAGGTTGTCCAGATGGAATAACCTTGGCGAACTAAATATGGCACTTGTAAAAACCAGGACTGTAATATTTCAAAATGTATTTATTAATTAAAGAGGTGAACCACACTCCCACTTTATTTATAGTACCCCATATACCATTAATTAACCAAAGATATTCTAAAGTCATACTAGCCCCAATCCAGGAAAAATTCCGTTGATAAAAACAATGACACTTTAAATCCGTTTGTTGTTACAAAGAAGCTGTCTGGAGAAATTACCCTTTTTCATTAAAATTGAATGAAAAGAAACGCCATTTTTACCATTATTCTCTAGCACAATTATGGTGACACCTGACCAAATGATATTTCGGAAAAGTGTGGACATTAAATTGTGCCTGAAAAAGTGCACTGATATTGTAGCCCAACTTCTTGTATTATTGTTTTCGTGTTCAACCTCAAGAACAATGAGAATACAGAGAATATTTTAACGGTTTAGTTCTATGGCACCATTACGTTTTCTGTTTTTCTAATATGCATTATATTGAATTTTCAACGATATCTGAAAAAAAATTGTCATATCTAAAAACTCAATAAACATGTTTTCATATTAAAATTAAAAAACAAAATATCCTTATAGGTAATAGTTCAGTTTTTACCATATATGTAACAAATAATTTTAATAATAAGATGGTATTAGGTTTTTACTTATCGGTTTAAATACAAACTAAGTTACTACCCCCCTACATCGTCATAAATGTAAACAAATTAGTGAAGAAAATTACATTGGAGTTCAGTGGTTAGTCAGTAGTTAAAGTTATCATTTTTTTATTAAGTTCAAAAAGAATTTTTACTATTGATTGTGAAAGATGTCCACATAGTAGACTAATAACACATTATAGTTACATTATTATAATAAAATTCTATGTAGTTGAGAAGATTAAACCCAATATTGTCTTTTATTGTTTTAATACCATGTTTATTCCACAATGGTGACAGATTTATAACAAACATAACCATTTAAACCGAATATGGCCAAATGTAAAAAGAAATGTGATCATGGTTGGAGGCAAATGAACAGTTGCAAATATATTTTTGCGGTTATTTTCAAAAACGTATTGCACACTTGACTTTTTTTTAATTTGGCAATTTTTAGATTTGAAAGACATATTAAAAATATTCTAATGCTTACTTTTTACATAACTTCTGGATTCCTCCTGCGTCGGTTTTTGCTGAGTCCAACTTGGTGACGTGTCGCCAATCATCCTGTTGGCTTCTTCCGAGCTTGACTGAAACTGTTTCATATTGGCGAAAGGTCGGCAAGTTCGACTCAGCAAAAACCGACGCAGGAGGAATCCAGAAGTTTTTTAAAAAGTATTAGAGTAGCCTGTGGAAGTTTGTTTGAAAAATTCTAATGCTTACCAACAATCGGCCCCCTTGTCAGCGGCCACGGGGCCACACTCCGGGCCTGAAGCCACCGTGGCTAGTTTGCCAGATACCTAATTAGTTTCCTATCATTCAGGTGTCCCAGGCAATGGCTTTTTTATGGTACACTCGTACACATTGTTTTCTATTTCAACATTGCATCCTCACTGAAAATAAAAAAATCGAATGTGTATAAAGTAATTTAATTCTAAACTGTTTGGTTCACGGTCTATTAAATTATTTTTATCAACATATCAGTTTTATGAGTACTAGCATATTTACACAATATGTACAAGCGAATGTTGTGGCAATCTCGATTCCATTCTACCTAGGATCAGAGTTCACGACCTGGCTACCCCATGCTGCTTAAGACGAGCAAAAAAATCTTTTGGGTAGGGGTGAAATGCTGGTATATTCCACAATTTAGTAGATTTTTTTTTTACATACAATGAATTTTTGTTATCAATCAATAACACCTATTATTCGAAACCAACCAATAACACCTAGCGGCGACAGATTTCTGTTCAGATGCAGCATTTTTTACAGCAGTACTTTCTCAAAATATGACCAGCTCTCGCTAAATTTTCTGCGAAAACGAGTTAAGCAGAGATCACTGTGTCTGAAAGTGAAAATTGACGAATGCAATTTAGAGGCATAGTTGTTTCTTGCTGGAGCAATTGCTTTTACGTTGAGCGTTTTAAACTAAATAGGTAGGTTTTGATGGCCGCTCCTAAACAAAGACCGGAGAGGCAAAAGCAAACTAACCATATGTGATCCGCGCATACACAAAACAAGGCGGAATTAAAACTAAAAAATGCTTGTCGACCAATTCACGTTTGTTTGAGGTCCGGAGTGAGGTATAGAATGCTGGAGGAAATAACTTCGCCGCGTATATGAAAAAAAAATCGCCTTTCGAGGTGATGACTACAGCTTAAGGTCAGCGCTCCTTTAAACGTCTCTATCTTCTTTGTATCTTCACGGCTTCAAAAGTGTTCAGTTTTCTCAATCACCTGGGGTTGGTCAATTTCAATCCGAATTTAACCTGAGCACCGATCGCGATTCGTCATGATTAAACTCGACCAATCGGCTCTGGAAACGGTGTGTCGGCGTTTACATGTAGGGAACGGTACCGATCAGTCCCCTACCGGTATATGGAGGGAGGCTATTGATGATTTTTTTCCATAAAATGAACGTGGCAGATAACCAATTTTCTCAAGAGTTTGATTTATTATGCTTCTCCGTCTGCGGAATATTACTAATCAAAACTTTAAAAATTGATTTTAGTTAATGTTGCCCTAAATGGGGGGATGGTGAACGTTTCGTGGCCGAGATCGCGTTGAAACCAACAAAAAAAAAACAACTAGAAATAGAAAACAATCCGCCAATATCCGTGAACTTTGGGGAAAAAAAATAGATTCGCGGTTCGTAGCGTGAGTCCGGTTCCGGCTCGAAGAAACATACGGGTGGCGTACAGTTGTCTGAGTTGACACTCCAGTGACTGTATTAACGGAGGCCTTACAACCGATGCCGCTGTAGCTCACGCCGCCGAACTAGCCAAACCAAAAGACGAGGTCACCAAAATTGAATCAACGGAAGAAAAATCTTATAAAATTCAAAGAACAAACAAGATTTTAAATCCAGGCCAAACTGCTTTTTAAATTTTAATCAAAAGTATTCATTCAACTGAACAGTAATTTAAGCGCAGCTCGAAACACCAACAGTCAAATATTTTATCACTTAATTATTCTGAATTCCAAATAAAAAATTGGTACCTAAATAAAAATTAAAGTTCCCAACTGAGGTGAACAAAATTATGCAATAAAATGATGGGGCAGAGTGGTCTTAAGTAACTTCCACACTCACAACGACCACAACCTTAACTGGTAAGTTACAAGCAAGCCAGCCTTATCCAAGGATTGCAAACAATATATTGTACAATACTTTTCATGCAATTATTTGTATTTAGGAAATATAGGAGGGTTTAATGTGAACCACAAATTGTTCCTTTGGCAAGTCAAGTTGAAGTAGAATGTTTTGAGTTCAAATAAGCTTGACGTTTCTACTCCTCATTCCTAACCCTTCCTCAAATTGTGACAAAAATGACTCGAAGAATATGTTATGGTAGATTTAATTTTTATTTCAGCTCTCAATAATTATTAGATTATTGCAATGTAGCTACAAGTAGTAACTCATAAGTTTTTGTTATTCAGAGTCACTAAATCCAATGCCCCTTATTTAAGTAGTCTTATACCTTACAAGAATCTTTTTAAGAAATCTAGTCTTTTAATTGCATATGAAAACAAGAAGCTCAGAAAGGTAGATTACAATGTAATTAATAATTCGGCAAAACTATTAAAAAAGGTTACTGTTTCACAATTGAAACTCACAAAGTTATCAAGTTATCTCCTGAAATATGCATATATTATTTATTATTCGAGTTATTACTGCTAAGTTTATTACAACAAAACTACAATATTACAAGGAGCATAACAAAAAAATAAAAAATCCAAATCATCTAGATACACAATTATATCTACCTAATTATCTATTTAATTAAATGAGCTTTAATCAAGGAGTTGATATATTAATTTCATAAAACACCGGATTTTATTTCATACAACAGTAGTTAAAGGTTATTTGAAAAATATACACATATATTTTCGTTCGGATTATTAAATTTTTGTTCAAAATTTTAACAAAAAATCGAAACGTAACTAAATACCTAGTTACTAATAGCTTCAACAACATCAGATATTAAAAATGAATTTGAAATATTTGGTTTTAAGGTTATATTGAAATTTTCGGAAAAGTTGAAAATTATATGAGATAGCAAAAATTAATGTAAATCCACGTTTTGTAAAACTGGCAACAAAACTACACCAAACAGGTGCATCGGAATTACAGAAAATGGATACTGCTATAAAACAAGTAAAAATTTAGTTAAACTTATCTTTAACTAGGTTGTAGGTCTATTTTACGAATGTAATACCTAAATAAATTAAAAGGCTTTGAATGGAACTAATAAATTTAACACTACTTACGTTGTATGTAGTATTTGGATGAATTAGCTAAAATAAACCTTGGATTTTAGCTCTGGGACACAAACACTTATGCACTTGTGAAATGGTTGATTGAAACTCTTAGTTTATATACGTAAATTAATTGCCGAAAATGTAACTTAAAAAATGGCCTCACGGCAACATCCTCCACTCCACTGCTCACAAACTCGAAGGCTATTATTACCCCAACCGATCGCGAAAATAGCTTAGACTGCTCAGACAGATATATAATAATCGTACACAACAGAAAAGCGAATTTAAAAATAGATATTGGCCAATTTTTTAGACGTTTTGATAGCAATAACTCTGTCGGGATTTGCAAAAACTACTTCGATACACCCTGGCCCGAGATCGACTTTAAGTAGGCTTGCACTGTGGTTGCACTTTAATTACCGGGTACGTTACGAGCGAGCAAATGTTTCGTACATTAGGGACAGTTTTATTACGTACACTGCATAATGATATTTTTCAAAAAATATTTAATTTTGGAAGTACACTAGCAAATTTAATATGTCGTCAGACGAACACGACAAACTAAATCAGCCTTGTCGTTTTTTTGTTAGTTATGAGGGCGCCACTTGCAACCTGACATTTGTGCGCGGTTGAGCTGAATTGACCCGCCCGTAACAATTTGAATTTTTAATTCTTTGAGAATTCGAATTTTATATTTTTATATTCGGACTTAGCAGATAAAATGATATATGATGAATCTTTTCAAAATAATAACATTAAGAGTTTAGTCAGAGTTTGTCAAAATTATGTATGTAAAAAAACTTAACCTTTCTTTTGGTCTAGAAATTTAAAGTTAAAGATATAGTTAAAGGCGATAGCAGTTATAACATGGTTATAGTGTGGCGCACTCGAGGGATTAAATCAACAGTTCTTACAAACCGTCATTTTAGTAAGTGGCTCAAAAAATTATTTTTACCAATAGCACAACTTCAGTACAGAACTCGGGACTTTTCTGGATGACAGAATTGAATAAAGTACATATAGAATGACGAATCGTATCTCCGTAAGCAAAAAGGAAAAATTTCATACTCTTCAACAAAAAACAAGGTGTAGCTAAGCTGGGGGTGGGGAGCACTTACTAAAAAGCATTATAGCGATACAAAGTTTATAAAATAAAATAAAAGCAAATAAAAACAAGATTTGCAGCAGAACTGAACTGATTCTTGATACTTCCCAAATACTATAGACAAGATATATTCGGTTTTAGTTAAACAACAATAAAAAATGAAAATGCGATGCATAGAACCTGCCTTTATAAATAAATAAACAAATATTTGCCATTATTTTATTGATTTCACTTTTAAACGCCCTTAGATTGGAAATCACAAATGTGTTGATAAATTTCACTGCAGGTATCTAAATTTGAATAGCGTTATGTGAATATTAAAAGTGTTGAAAATAGTTAAGTAATTGGGCTCATCGAAAATAATAAATTAGTCTAAACTTTATTTTTGAGGATATTTTAACTTTTAAATTCTGTCATGTTCGACCAAGTAATAAACGAACTGGAAGAATTATGCTATGTTATTGAGATAGTGGGATGGTTCCTTAATAAGCTGCATAGATAAATAACACCCAGATTAGTGATGTAAGTAAAGACGACTTATTCTGTGGTGGAAAATGCATTCGTTGAAAAAGTCAAGAAACATAGACTATACTTTCGGTTTGGTTAGTTTCGGTTTACTGAAAAAAAAAACTGTGGTTCCGTAACACAATTCCTAAAAGTTACCAGTCAAAGTCGTCACCAACGCAACTCGCTTTGATTGAAAGTAAATTTCAAGACCACTCAAAAGTGGACATATTGCTTCCTCAGACAACAACACACAAGTGAAAAGTGTCATTTTGAGCGCGAACGATTATGAAATATATCAAATAGGAACTATTTTAGGCATGAATTAAAATCGGACTCAGATAAAATTTTTACTATCAAGTAAAAATGAACCTAACAAAAATGTCATTCCACTGCAGATTTCTGAAAGCGACTGTTCATTTTCGTGCCTTCTAAATTTCGTCCTTCGACCACATGCAGACACAGCGGTCAAAATTTCAGAAACAGAAATTTTCACAATCTTAGGAAAAGAGACTTTCATAATCTAGTCCTCACTACTCGAGTACTCAAGTGATTTAAATAACCAGCAATCATTGCCAAGTTATCGGAACGCTCTACTTCCCAAACGTAGATATGGGAAGTACAATGGCAGATAATTCGCGAATTTATTCTCCGATGGTGGCGCTGATGATAGGAAACACACCTGTGGACATTTGCCGGGCTTATTCTCATTGCTTAAAAGGCAATAAAGCAACATGGGTGGTTCTTCTAACATGAAACCTATTTTATCGTATTTAAATTGTAATGTGGAAGCCGGTGTTTTGTAGAAGATAAAGCATTATCCAATGCAAAAATGCATTTATGAGCAATTTGAGTTCTGTTTGTGTTTGACAACGGTAAACTTTTTCATTAATGTTGAACGCTGGGATGAATCCATAATGTCACTGAATTGCGAACGACACTAAACGAACAATTTTTTTAAAGCAATATCAACATAAACCATACAATACAAACATGAGACTTATATAAAAACGACGCCATTTCAAATTTTACTTCCTACTTCCAATAACCCTTAAATTTCACCTACCAACCTGCACTTTGCCATTTTCCTTCTAAATAGCGATGACCTTATACTTATTTCCACCCTGAAAATTTAATGAGATCTGTCATAATGAGAATTGAAATATTTGAAATAAAGCGGCATATTTCGAAATGACTCGCGATGCCGCATCAATGTTCCTTCTCAACATTTTTTTCATGTTGATATAAAAAATTTCTGTATTCTCAGAATAGGCGGGATCAATTTAATAGAGGCAATAACAATAGTTTTGATAATGTGGTTTCTGAATATACCATATCAGTCACAATTTTTTGAAATAGTTATCGCATGGTTAGATGGTTTTTGTAAGTCTTTTAATCAACAATCAAATACAGAAAGCCGAGAATGTAATTGGTAGGCACTATATCTACATATTTTAGCAAATTCAAAGCATATTTTTCTTTTCTTTTACCTAGCCTCTAGAATTGATCGGCTGCCACCGCAAATAACATTGGGTGTCACACTGTATGTTACGTAGTCTGTTGAATGACCCGTACAATAAAATCCAGATAAGTAGGGAAACATTTGCCTTCCTTACATAGATAAACAAACCTTACTTCGTAATTATCGTGATCGAAGTGATGTCCGCTATTTCAATAATGAAGTATTCGAGAGATTTATTGCATATGGGGATAATTTCAAGTATAATTGACAGAAGTTGTGGCAGATATTTTTCGCATTATACTCAGGTGATCATATGACTTTTGTTCCTTGCCACAGCTATAAGTTAAGAACGACCAGTTCGGATTCTCTGCCATTAGTTTTTTTTTACTTCGATCTCTGCGACTATTTGTTAATAGACTGTAACTCTTAGTCTGACCTCTATTTCATCGTCGAGCGCCTGCACACGAAAGTGTGGTGTTGAATAAATTTAAGTATCCAAGTGATTTGCCTACTTTTATTTCAAAAAAACACTACAAAGTATTGGCTGACTATTGTATATGCCAGGAATTGCTCTTTTACAATGCATCATATTCCACAATCATTTTTTGATAGGTGTTTTATCTTTGGAATCACAAAAGTTTGAATTTGTTTTTTCAATCAAAATCGCTACCATTGTAATAGAAATTTGGATAAGGCTGGAAATAACGCGCGTAAAGTAAACTCTTTGTTTATGGTTCGATTCTTAATAACTCTTCTCCATATTTGACATAAAAAATTAGTCCCTGTTGACAATAACGTTAGGTTGATGTATAAATAAACATAAGGTGCGTTTTTGATAGATCTATCACACAATTTTTTTTTTATCAATCAATCAATCAAACCATACACACAAGATACAAGATATACAGCCTTAGGCAGGGAGCAAAAATTGGTATAGTTGGGTTGTACGTATTCAAAAGAATAAAAAATTATCAAAATCGAACCATAAACAAAGATTTTACGAGGGTGTACAGTTCTTTAGTGAGACACACTATATATACAAAAATAAAATCCAAATTTAATACAAAATACTATTTATTATCACAAAAATGTATATAGATAAAGTAAATTTTTATGTACAGAATCTAGATTATAGCTTTTTAAAAGCCAATATGCAGGATTGCACTAAACAAAAAAATCAGTCTCAATATAAACAATAATATTTTAAATAAAATAAAAAAACAAAAACTTATTCTATTATAAGGAGAGATTGTTTGTTTTGTTCGAGAAAAGATAAAAATTGCACTGAAACCACTAAATGAATTATTTATATAACAAAAATAAATGATAAAATTTCTAATTTGATGCCGTCCAAAAATTTGTGTTTGTTTTGTTTATGAAAGGAGAATACAAATAATGTATTTGTAAAAAAAAAACTGCCTCTAAAGAGAGAATCATCTTACATTCATGGAATGCATTACTTCTGATTCAACTGTTTAGCAACAGGTAAATTAGAAGTATTTGGTTTTGGTATAGTTCGTACTGGCCCAAGAGAAAGCATTTGGGTTGAACCTAAAGCTTCTATGTTCCCGGGATTTCTTGTACTAATAATAGGCAAGGCAAAGGAGCCAGAACCAGATGATGGCAGGGGGATATAATTGTGAATACCCATTTGTGACAGTTTTTGTATCATACCCGGCTGAAATTAAAAAAAAACATAATTTACCCATTTATAAAAATTCGATTAATGTAATACAATTTAGTATACTGGCGATTAAATCAAAAATTATAAGTATACATGCATAAAATAAAAACTGACACCGATAGCGCTTAAATATCGATGTAAATACCGACATTTTTTTTTAATTTACCATTTATCATTTACTACCTATATTTTGTCTTATTGATTTTGCTAAAGAAAAAACATTACATTCAAGTGATTTCTGCCAAGATTTAATATTTTGTTTGACCACCTCTACAAGCAATCTAGTACTTAATCAACGCGAAATTAAATTAATTAAAAATACAGCTCTGCAAAATTTCGAATAAAACTATTTCAGGCAAAATTTTTGGTTACATATCGCAAAATGTGTACCAACTTACTTATTTTAAAAAATTCTAAACTTGTAGCTAAATAAAGTAAAGTAAATAATAAGTAACTTTGTTGAAAATGGTCCATTCCACGAGTTTAATTAGCAATTTCGGTTATGGAAAAAAATTACAATTAAAATGAAATTGAACAAACCCTCGACATTTGTTTTTTCAATTTGGAAATCCCATCCCATTTTTTAAATAATTTTATTAAGTTAATTTATTTATAATTTCAGAAATATTAATTATCAATTAATTTTAATTAAACAGACAAGTTCTATTATCTACAGTTTAAACTTCTTAATAATTAAAATATTGAAACTGCTGTTTTGGATTATTTTTTTAGTTATCCAGATAAGCGGCTCTGAATTCACGGTGGATTGCAGGTTAGGCGTTTATGGTGAATGAGAAGTTTAGTGTTAGTGTCAAATGCATAACAAAACAAAGCTAAATAGAAACTAAATGCAAAAATACATATGTGTGTGCCTGTATTAAGCACGCAATTTACCTGCTTCAGATTGATTAGAGGAATACCTAATTCACACATGCCTCCCGTCGTCTTATGATAAGTCTGTCTGTGTTTACTTAAGCCTGTGGAGTTGGGATATTGGGCCGGACATAGGTCACAGCGATATGGGAGACCCGGTCTACTAATTTTTTGAGGAGATCCAGCCTGTTTGGCAGGAGTTGTATCATCAGTCAGATCTACTGTTGGTAAATTGTCAGTGGCCGGCTAAAATTAACGAGAAATAAATAAAATGGATGCCTGGTTATTTTATAAATAACTTACTTTTGGCGAAGTGTTAGCCTTCGGTGCAGCTACAATGCTAACTGCTCCATTCAAGCTCAAAGCGGTCGGCAAACTGGGTGCCTTTTGGGGCGATTCCTTTTCTTTGGGTTTGGCCGTTGCGGTGACTGTGATCCCGCGTGTTGCCAAAATATTTGCAACAGCTTTTGCGTCTGATTTCTGTGGAGATGCTGCAGGTTTGGGTGGTGGATTACGAACGGAAAGTGTTATGGAATCTGATAGATGCATTATGCTACTTTCCGTTGTTGCACCCTGGAGAAACGTAAAATCACATAAACAATGTTACACACTAAGATTAGTTTTTGATGGATAAAAAAATAAGACGATTTTAGCCGAAAATTTGGTAACTTTTCTACCTGCACACTTTCAATTTGAGGCAATCCACCGTCAGTGTTTTTTGGTTGCATGCAAATAACTTGACAGTCGTCATCGTCTTTGTCGGATGGAGTTAATATGTCGAGTCTCTTTTTTTTGGCTTGAAGTGTCTGCATTTGTTCCGGGGTTCTTTTCAAAGGAGATGTTTGCTGGCCAGGTCTCACGCCATTTTGGTTGTTACTAGGTCCAGCCATCCTAGGCCTCATAGCACCTCTTACTTGTGCCACACCTGTAAGAAATAAATTAAATTGGCTTGGCACCAGTGGCCCAGAGTATTTGAAATTAGAATAAATGTATATACAGATTATTATTATATTGCTATTCGTTTGCGATCTTGGTTAATTATGTAAATAAATAGCAAAAACATAAAAAATATAACAATAACAAGTGACAAACAAAAATTAAAGCTAGTCATGGTAAATAAAACTAAAAACAAACCATATTCACAATAACGATGATGATGATTTTCCGTATTCATACACAGTGTATCCAAAAACCATAGGAGATACAGGGTGGGTTAGATTAGAAAAGTTTTAAAGTACTTTATGGGAAACTTAAATCTGACCGCAAAATGATTCTAGCGTGAATCGTTTCTGAGAAATTCAAGAAAATATATCATTTGTTTTCGAAACACAGCATAAATTTTAAATTTCTTATGGTCGCCAAATTGAATATTTTCATTATTAGATAAAGCGTAAAAAACAATTTAAATGATGTCTCACAGCGTCACAAAAGCAAAATTTGTTCCCTCACAATAGGCACTCGGAACAACAAACATTTTTATTATTATTGTTATTAACCATATAGCTGTTAGTGGCCCTATTACGGTAAAAATTAATGGGTCCGCAGAATCGGTATTGATATTTACGAAAAGGTAATAAATTTCCGCTACCATCCACCCACCACCTGCACTTTGTGTCATTTTCTTTCTAAACAGCATTTTCCATACACTTAACTTTATTAAACAAAACATTTTGAAGAAATACTGCCGCAAAAATGCTGCATCCAAACTTATTGACAATCTGTCAGCGGCCACATTGGTTGTTGAAAGCGGCAAGGTCGGTAAAAAACGCGATTTTGAATCTTGCGCATGCGCATATAGAACGGACCTTTTCACCTGGACCTGTTTTACGTAGTTCCTTCATACGTTCCTGTATTATCGGCATGCTATGCAAACATATGCCTTTATGGCGGTTTATTGACAGTTTAACTCATAACACAGAAGTTAATTAAGTACGTAGCCTTTAAATGTATTTAAAAATGGTAACATTTTTTTGTTAAGTGTTTTAGTGCTAATTTTATAACTGATACCGGTATAAATGTAACCCAAATAAAAATAAATTAACCATAAAACCAAACTATCTTGTGTGTATAGCAGAATTGCCCACCACTTTAAAATAATCCAAATAACCATAACCGCAATAATTGATATTATGTAAAACAAAGAAAAAGGAGAAAAAACTATAAAAAATAAAAATGCACCCACAAAGACGACAACGCGGAGCTTTATAAAAGTAGAGTCCTTCCCAATAATGAAGAGCCCAGTGACGTCAGATGCGCAGAAGACGAATTTGAAACGGGAATCAGCTGTCGTTCGAAAATGCGCCGCCATTGGCGTGGATCGAATCGTTCCGGTTGTTTACATTTTGTGGCTGTGTTTTGTGTTTTGTTCGTTCATTTTTATAGACTATTATTTTCGTTTTGGTTGCACTGTTTTTGTTAAGGTAAGACATTTTAATGAAATAATATTATTTGCGTCAAACCGGTACAACTTTAATAAATTTAATAAGTTAGGTAATTTACATGGCGACCATAATTGCTAATTTTAAAATAAAAGAACTGTCAATAATTTGTGAGCCCATTAAATCAAATTAATTGAAATAAATGCAGCGCCACTGTTTCACCGACACGATGAAAAACGCAATAACGCGAGGAGATAGGGCGCTCTTATTTCGCGCATCAAACAACACGTCACTGGGCTCTTCTGTATTGAGACACACTTCTAGTCTTCTCTAGCACACTTTGCTGTGAGGTGTTGTCATTCACGACACGGCGAGTGCAAAATACTTAGTTCGGTATAGGGCACAAATCTAGCACGAATCGCCTTTCCCTTCGCGAAAGCTCGTTCGTCTAAATGTAAATTCCGATGGAAAGCGTGGCGCGTTGTCACTTCCAAAATTGGAAAGGATGACGTGATGTGGAAAAAATAAAATAGTACCCTTTAAGCCCCCCACAGACTTCGGTTTATTTTGTGCGGGTCTAAGCAGAAATTTTAATCGACAACTCAACACGACGGGTTGTGGAACGGTGAAAAAGCAACCAACATTGAGACCAACTCTTTATCCGTACTGTTTTGAATGAGAACGTAATGAGTCGCTTGTTCTGATATCTTTTTCTAATATGTCATAAGCAATTTGGTAGTTGCATTCAGCTAAACGAATAGTTTTTAACAAAGAAAGAGTTAAGAACAGCAACAACTGAGATTTCTCTATGTAGTTTAGATCAGCATTGTAAAGACCATGCCACTGTGGCCAATTCTTAAAATTGTCGACAATTTCGGCTGTAGAAATGATCTAGAAATCATTGGAGGAGCTGGAATAGGTGTCACGTAATTTTCGGAGGTAGATGTTGATTGAAAGAGGTCCTATCAGATGTTTTTGAGGATCCTCCTTCGACTGAATTGCAACTTGATGTATTTCGTAAAACTGATATTAAGAAACATTTTGATTGTAAATCGTTATTCTAATTTTGTTAATTTTGGAAAAAAATATGTTTTATTGAAACAAATACGGTATTCGAAAACTAACGATAAAACTGGGTAAGGTTTAAAAAAAACACACACACAGGCTTTCTTTGGTCGAAAAGCTTCGCGGAGTACCCGTCGCGATAGGTATAAAAAAATATCACGGGCATTTTGACGCGTTTAATTCCGATGAAAATAAACGAAAACAATCTTTCGCCAATAGTTGCTCCACAGACCTTATTATTATTATTATTACATTACTTATAAATGCAAAATGCACCCAATAATTTTAATTTACTATTATGACGCTTCTAATCGAAAGGTATTATATATTATTGGAGAAAAAAAAAACAAAACAAAAACGTGTTGTGGAAGAACACATTTTTGTTACAGGTGACAATTATTGACGATTATTCCAGCTTTTGTGTAGTATTTTTAATGGAAAAGAAAAATGAAGTATTAGAGAAATTTAAAGAGTTTGTTGGCTGAATCCAAATTTGGAACAAAAATTTCTAAATTACATTGCGACAGTGGGGGTGATTCTATCGATTTTAAAAGTTATTGTAGGAAAAAGGGTATAATATTAAAATAAATAAGAACTAAAAGTTCAGATTTTCACGAATTTATATATTATGACATGACAATTGTTTCGACAACACAGTGTCTTTATCAAATGTCGGTGTTGTCGAAACAATTGTCCTGTCATAATATACAAATTCGTGAAAATCTGAACTTTTAGTTCTTATTTATTTTGATAAATGTATTTTCATCAAGTAAAAGCCACCTCAGTTCAAGGTATAATATTAGACTACACAGTACTGTACACCCCACAGCAGAAAGAAAAAACAGAAGTCTAGTAGAAAGAAATAATAGAACAATCATGGGCACCAAAGAAATATATAGGAAAAGCAATATTGACAGTCAATTACATAATCATATATCGTATAATAAGATATAGGTAACTTTAGAATTTAGAGATAAATTTGATTCTAAGGCAGAAAGATATATATATATATATATATATATATATATATATATATATATATATATATATATATATATATATATATATATATATATATATATATATATATATTATGGTAGGCTATGCTCCTACAAGGTATATGCTTTGTAGTTTTGATCAGGAAAAAATTATTATTGCACGGGATGTCAAATTTAATAAAAATATCTAAATATATAATAAATAAATAAATATAGGAATAATGTATTAAAACGTTTTGAAATGTAAAATTGTAATTGTAAAATTTCAGACATACTGATGTCATTACATATAGAAATCTAAGCAATACAACAAATAAGCCATTTCGAGAATTCGTAGGTTGTTTAATGTATTTGAAGCTAGGCAGTAGACCCGACATTTGTTTTGCAGTTAATTTTTTCAGCCGATTTCAAGATAAAGGTACACATGAATTGTGGTGCTACATGAAAAGAGTTCTTAGATATCTAAAAGGTTCAATTAATTTAGGTTTTGAATATCGTAGAAATAATGGTTTTTCTTTGCGTTGTTATGTTGATGCCGATTGGGTTAATGACACAATAGATCGGAAATTCGTTGCTGTTACAGTTGTATGCGTTATATATTCAAAAAGTTAAGTTTCAATCGTAACAGACAAAACTGACATTCGAGACGCACATGTGCATAATATTTGATTTTACGTGAGAAATTAATAACCTTTTAATATTAATGTTAATGCAGTGGTTTCCAACCTATAGGGCGCGGACCCCTATGCGGACGCCAGACTGGTGGAAGGAGGGTATGCAGTTGGTTCCAAAATATCATTTTGTTTTTGTATTTTGTAAGGTTTGTTTTTATTACATTTAAAATTATTATTTCTTACAATAAATAATTATTTTTTATGTATATATGATTTTGATTAAATAAATTAGTATTTATGAATTAGATTGCTAAAAAAATTAACGGGGAGCAAAATTTTGGGGAGTGCAGGTACAAAAAGGATGGAAACCACTGTGTTAATGGTTTAGTGGAATTGCTTGTTCCTCTGGCTTCACTAAAGAACCATTTATCTTTTTAGTCTAAACTTTAAATCAGTATTAATGTGACTGGACACTTGCGTGAATCCATCATCATAAAAGAATTCTTCGACTTGAAATAAACTCCTGGACGAAATTAATGCAACAACATAAATTTGACACATTTTTTATGCTTTTTTTTCTTCAGAAGTTATGATTGATTTGAATGATTTTTTTTTGCGTTGTAGGTTGGTTCCTTGACAAGTCTTCGCTACTAATTATAGAAAGTTTATTTTCGATTTATACCCGGTGTAATAAAAATGTTGTATTTTTACGAAAATTCATATCACCCTGTGAAGTATACTAGCAACCGAAACATATAGCAGTTGACATGGTAGCTCCATCTTTCGCCAACATTTTCTTTTTTAGTTTACTGCATTATCTCTGTTTTTAAAAGAGATATGCCATTTTATAGAGTACCATGTTTTTACAGATTTTATGATTCAATACATTGTTGCATTGTTAAATGTTTGAAAGAATTATTTCTTATCTGTATAATTTCTTTCTGCTCGCTTTGATAAATTACATGTTATATTAAATTACATATTAAAATTACATGTGAGTTTATTAACGACATTTGTTTTGGAAACGAGTGAAACTGTGAAAAAAAAAAGAATGGATAATATAATGTTAACAGTGTGTACATATACCTGTACTATGCCTTGGCATACTGGAAATTAAATTTTTAATTGTATCTTGGGGAATATTTTTCCATTCTGCAATTACTGCATTTACCAATTGATTTTGGTTAACCCGGGATTGGGACTTTCAACCTTTCTTTTTATAGATGCTCTATGGGATTTAAATGTGGACTGTGAGGTGTCCATTCCATCAATTGAATAGTTACAGAGTTCATGTAATTTATAACTTGTTTAGCCAATTGGGAACGAGCATTATCAAACATAAATAAACCATTCGGTCCCAGCAAAGGAACAAACGGCATTACATATTCAATTACAATAATTTCTAGACATTAATCGGAGTTCATTCATCGTACACGTATAGGGACTAACTCTGCGTGTCCATTAAAACATATCCCTACCAAAAACATTACAGAGCCTCCACCAAACGGGATTTTTGAAAAATGAAGCTACCTCCTAATGTCAACTGCTATATGTTGCTAGTATAATCCACGGGGTGATACGAATTTTCGCAAAAACAAAATTTTTAGCATTGTCAACAAAAACTATGACATTGTCAAGGAACCAACCTACAATGCAAAAAAAATAATTCATATCTATGATGTTACTTAATTTTGTGGAGGAGTTTGTTTTTTGCCGTGAACAATAAAGTGTATTGTTGTTATCAGATATCGAAAAATAATTGTAATTATTGAGAATACCTGGTCCTCGTGGTCTAATCATGGGTGCTCTTTGTCGCTGAAGTGGTTGTGGCCGTGGGGGACCTCTTGGTCCGTTCATAGGCATCCGTTGCCCGGGCCCTTGAGGACCTCTAGGAGGATTTGCTCTAGGAGGCATGGGTTGCCGGTAGGGTTGCGGAGCTTGCTGCATCTGATTAACTTGTTGATTCTGAGATGAGGGCACCTGAAAACCAGATAGTTTACATTTTAAATATGCCTAAAAACACTTTTCTACCCCCTACTCTACTACTAAATTATGCACTGATTTTGCAGTTTCAAGCGGTAGATTTAAAATGCAGATGGTATTTTGACTTTGCTTAGTTCTGATGGTCACGTGAAACGTTACTTAGTAGAATACGTATAGTCTGAAACAGTTTACTTTTTCAGACACCCACAAGTTTAGAGTAGGGAGTATAAAATATACTATCTGAGCCTCTGTTATTTAATATGTAACTTGAAAATTACAGTTTTGGTTACATTTCTCTTTTTAAATCAGATGGGGATGATGCCAGGACATTAGTTTCAGTGACCTAATAGTCAGTAAATTGCCAAAAGTGCTCTCCAGTTACAAGAGGTTTGCAATTTGTCATTTCTGCTTGCTTATTAGAAGGCTTTAGGCTTACCATTTGATTCGGGGGTTGACTCATAGGCGGCTGTTGTCCCACATGAGGAGGTGGTGGTTGCAACTGCCCCATTTGAGGTGGAGGAGGAACCATGTGTTGAGACGGATACCCAGGTGCTGGTGGATAGTACATGGGATTTGGTGGTCTACAATTTAAGAACGAAATCAGTGCTGTGCTGGAATTGTTGATTCAAATATTTTAATTTTTGTAAAGTTGTGTGTTCCGGATAATGAAATTGAAAGTTTTGGTTATGTCTCCTTGACGGCCTATGCAAAAATTAAAATTTATGAGATGAAAAAATATGACACCATCAAATGTAGAAATTTTATATTAACAATGTTGACTGTTTGAAAACCTACTATGAAAGTAAGAGATATAAATACTAAGATAAGACTTACTGATAAGGTTGGTATGGTTGATGCATAGGGGGTTGTCCTGGGTGTGGTGGATAATGTGGCGGATACATGGGCGGTGGTTGATAAGATGGTTGCGGCGGGCCTGACGGAAATTGTTGAATGTTAATCAGGACATTCTGTTGATGTAATCCATTATTATTATTAGGTTGTAGTCGAGACACTTGTTGAGCAAGAGCTTGCATTGGTAAACCAGTAAGAGAATCCAGCGAAGAAGTTGAGGATGTACTAACCGCATTATTTGGATTATATAATTGCTACAATAATCAATACTATCAATGGTAAAATAATTAAGCCATTAATTTTGAAACTTACCATTGCTCCGCGATTTCTTTCATCAAACCTATCCAATGATATAAACTCATTTTCGCTGGTAGAAAAACCAAGGTCTTTGGCTCGATCGTTATTACTAAATAAGGACAAAAGGTTGTGGTCATCACTATCTGGCAATTTTAGCGGATCCTCTAAGGAGGGTGTGGTCCACATTGGTGTGTTGCTGTTACCTATAAACCGCTTAATATAATTATAGTTCACCCTAACCCTTATAATCTCACACACTAGATTTTTTAATTAATGATTACCATGGATCACAAATGACTTGAGATGTGAAAAATTCTGAGCCTGCGACTTGGTACTAGGCTCTAGTCGTTGCATAAATACACACCAAGTTTTTACAAACATAAAAACAAGGTTATAGGACCAACATTTAAAGAATAATTTGACTAGTTACTATATATTAAATTAATTTTGCTAACCCGATTTCATTACGTACCAATGTGAATTTTCAGTTGGCAAGAAACTAGTACAAAACCTAGCACCGCAAGAAGTTCAATTTGATGCAACCATATAGTTACTAGAGATATAGAGGCCCTGCCTATGCAGATAATACATGAACTTACTAAGCAACTACGATTTTTTTTTTCAGAATATCCAATCCCAAAATGTGCAAAGATCTTTAAAAACAATTACGTAAAGTGCTGGTTATTGGGCGAAATGTACAAGTATGCGCGGATAATCATTACCTAGTAGTTATATTATCTAATAGCTATATGAGAGCAAGGCATGAGAACGGTCTTGGAAGTTTTGTAGTCATGACGATAAATTGCATCATGATAATCGGGCTTAAAAAGTAACGTGGACCAAATATTTCGCAATTGAACAACCTTTCAAATTGTATCCAAAATCATCAATTTCTTCTTCTATGTTAAGGCTACTACTACTTACCTACACTGGGATCGCCGCTTGGGTTGTCATCTGTAATTTCCGTTATCGTGCATCTCTGAGGTTCTGGATCTTTAAATAACCCAGTTGTTTTAATTTTTATTTTTGGATATTCTGGAGATGGTTCTGGAGGCGGCGTGGGCTCAGCCCCCGGGATGTTATTATAATCTTGAGTGGCATTTTCGCCAGGACCAATAGCGTCTACCTGCGTGTACAGAAAGTATTTTTTTGGTTATATTTCCGACTATTGGAACTGCATCATCAACTGCAATAACAGATGCTTCAAATTTTTGAATGTTGTTTACGTTAATAGGTTATTGACATTTTGAACAAATGTATTGATATACTCAATGGGTTTTACCAAGTGATTTACATTAATCTGACCATTAAATAATGTATTATAATCCATAATTATTTTTCCAAAAAAAAACCTTGCCGACAGGCAAGTAAAAATATTGTTGATGTTGATCACTTATCAAATGGTCAATTGGTTGTTTATTAGTCTCTGATAATTTTTAAAGCGGTTAATGTTAATTTTTTTGGGGCCGTCGGAGCATGCGCATTATTTATAACCAACGAACAAACTGGTTGCTGTTCGCCCACCCATAGTTAGAAACGACAGTTTTTTCATTTTTTAAATTATTTTTAATTAAATTACGCCTGCCCATCAGGCAAATAACCCATTTTTTTCATTAAATTGAATTCTCCAAACTGCCGTTCTTGTTTCTTGGCACAATCCGCTTTATTTATTTGAATTTTACAAACTTTCAATACAGAAAAAAAAAATACAATTCCGAAATAGGTAATTTTTGAGATATCAAGACTTAACTTGTTTTAGTAAGAAACTGCAAAAGAAAGATTATTTTCTCATTTTACAAATTAATCAGTATCATAATCTGCGATTTTTATCAGTTTCAGTATGATTATGAAAAAAAAATTGAAAAAAGTTGTGTTTTCACAAAAGCGTACCCCCGCCGTGGTGCTGCCTGTCTCGCTTTTTTCTTCTGTACTATGACCCGTCTCTTTCGGAGACGGTTGCCCTTCTAGCGGAGAGTGTGTACCCGGCGCAACTGGTGATTCTGCGTCACTATCCCCTTCCAAGAAATCACCCCCCACGTCTGTGAAGTTTGGCGAGAAACTAACGTTGGCACGCTCTTCCTCGCCTTCGTTTGCTTCGTCTTCCTCCGCGTCAGCGCTTTCTAGTGCTCGATCTAATAGAGCGTCGTCAATGCCCTCAAATGGATCGTTTGGTTCTTGATCCTCGTTTTGATCGTGATCAGTGTTGTAGTTTTCTGTAAGTGTTGAAATTACCTCGATTTTTATAAAGTACAATTTTGAATCTACATTGCCACAGAGAAAAAATCTCGAATCACCTCATCACAGCTGCGGCTATGCCTAGTGAAATGAAATGGGAAGAATCAATTTTATGTTTGGACACAGTATTCTAGCGACTATGGTTAAAGCAGAATAAATATGGATCTGACTTCATGCATCATCTAGTTTGTTTATTTCTAAACCAAAATTGACCTGAATTACTCAAGTTTTAAAAATCTGAGTTATATTGTAGTTTATCTTAACAACTAAGGTTTTTGTTTGGTTAATGACATACCTTAAAAAACATTTTCATTCTTAAAACTGGTAGTCACAAAACCTCTTGTAGAAAACTTGTTAAGCAGTGCCCAAATAAACTCATCACGTTAACAAAAACTTTGAAGAGATGCCAAAAAATCAGTGGTGCCAAAAGATTATATTTAATGAAACCAACTAAATTGGCAACAGTTACAAACTAATATTTGAACTTTAAAAACAATTCTAAAAACTTTGCTATTGTGCAAACAGTAAGCGTACTATATACCTTTAACACTTCTATTATTTATTAACGAGAATATTAGATCACTGCTTGTTGTAAACCACACCGGATATTAACTAAATGACAAGTGTCAGTCTCCGCTCGCGAGCAAAACATTGCCGACCTCTCCGCTTTTATAAACTTTTTAGGAACACTCGCTGTGTGTGACTTTATTTATGAAAATGTTCAACCAAGAAATGCAAAACAAAAAAAATTGTTAGATTGAAAAAGTTAAAAAATAAAGCTATATGAGAGCTATATATTAGAGAACAAAATCAGATTGGAAGAAAACTAAAACATTTATTTAAAGATACAACTTTTAAATAATATTTTTGTAAAAAACAAAATTAAATATTTTTTTTATTTTACATTTAGCATTACTAACCTCCTTCGTCCGGTTCGTGGGCAGAGTATTCGTTCTCGTCTGGGTCTCCTAAACCCTCGACGTCACCGGGAAGGTACTGATCCTCGACCTCTCTGTCCTCCAGATTGGAGAATGATTTAAATCCGGAATCGGAAGTCACAGATGATGAAGGCGAACTTACGATTTCGAAACTATTGCCGCTTCGATTCTGAAAATTAAGTTTATTGTAACAGCTGGTAATCCAGAACAAACCCTGCATTGTGAACGAAATGAAAGAAATGAAAAGAAAATTTACGAAAAACTTAAGCGGAATAAGTGATCTATCAAAAATGTTTTGTAGAATGCCTCTTCTTGCCTAGTTTAATATCCACCCACCATCTTTAACCGATTACAAGAAATGTTAATATCCATTATTTAATTTAATTAAAAGGAGAGACAACAACTCATTCATAAAATGGGTTGAATCCGGTAGCCAATATCAATAAATGTTTATGAATGGTTTGGTTCCCATGCTTGTAGTCATAAAATAATTTTTCTATTTATTCCATACACTAAGTAGCGCAAACCCATTTTAAATAATTCTTTAATTAATATTTAGAAGCAAAACACTTCCCAAATCATAAAAATTACAGCAATTAAATTCGGCGGCCAAATTCGAAATGTTAACAATCTCAAAGCTTCCTATGATAGGTCAAAATTTTTACCCATGGTAATACGCGTGCTTAGATGATCGTGTGTGAGCTCGGACTTGTCGGGTCCCTTGGATACAAATGTTATCGAAAACCCGAAAATTTTCACATTGTTGATGGAAATATACAATGTCAACCAGTAATTATTACATTCTGTATCATTTTCTATCATCTATTTTCATATAGCTATTAGATAATGCAGTGGCCTAACTAAACTAACTAAATGATTCGTCTCACACAATAAATAACATGCGCTTTGCGCCATATTATTTCTCAAGAACGATCTCCACAGACCTAACTTGCATATTTTAAGAAAATCTTGCCGTAAAAATGCTACATCTATTTAGGCACTAGACACTTAGAGGCGCCGCCTATGCTGATAGCTTTTGAAGTGATCACGAAAAAAAAGTTAAGACGCATTTTCTCTAAATTTGCCCAAATCTCGTTAAATGTTGTGAGAAAACAAGTTAAATTTGTGATTGCGCAAATTGTAGGTGCGCAGAAAATCATTCCCTTCTCCAAGAAAATATCATTGCCGCATCAATTTTTAGCGTCATTAGACTATTATATTATCTAACTCTTATTGGTTGGTTTGAAATGACAGATGTTATTGGTTGATAACGAAATTTGTAATCACTACCGATGTGCATTTTCAATGGCTCCTCTCAACATTTTCTTTCATCGTCACTTTAAATGCTCCCAGACCACATACATATATTAATATTGATTAATGAACTGTAAAACTTGGTGATCTTAGCCGTATGTCATAGGCGTAGTATTGTACCAGTGTGTAGTGTAGTGTAGTATTGTGGCAGGTAGACGGTTTAAAATTAAAATTGTAGTTACTTTCCGATAGTTGTTGGCAAAATTCGTTCTTGAAAATGGCTGGAAGAATAATAAACTAATACCAATTACTTTTGTATGGCAAATAGATTTTTAAATAAAAATATTTATCCATTTTCATATTACTCTCACTTCTGTATAAGTATTTATTTACTTAATCTTGGAAAAATTGGTAACTCAATTATCTGCCCATACCTATTTTTTACCGTCTTTGAAATGGAAATTATTTTTTAAAGAAATATGTTCAATTCAACAGAAAGTTTTTGTATAAACACCAAATTCAGATAACTTACCTTTAGTGTGATCTTTAGTGGAGGATTTTGAGAGGTTTGAACCCTTTGCAGTCTAACAACTGGCTGCTTGATGTGATGGTAAAGGTGGTTATGCAAATAATGCTCGCTGGTGAAAACGAGATCACATTCGAGACATTGCAAGATGTCGTTGCTTGCTACATCTGCAAAGTAGATTTTATTTTTCTAGCTATCGCAAGACATGTAGGGGCATATTTTCGATAAAGATTATTATTTTAAAACTACTTTTTTTATTCAGAACTGGGCAGAAGCAACATAAAATTAACACTACGAAATCTTAAAGAACATTGGTGCTAACAGAATTGTCAAAGGTCATCTATTAAATTTAGATTTTAAATAATAAATTAAAAATAAAATTTAAAATAATACTTGGTATACAAATTAAAAAAAAAATATATCTGAATGCTAATAATAATATTTTAACATTGCATGTGTACCCTCCCTCCATCACATTCTAGTCTAACAATCATATAATAAAAATATACGTTTTAAGCTTTATTAAAGAAATAACAAATTCAATGTCGTTTTGGAAGTACATAATTAGAAAAGAAGATACATCCTAAACAAAAATTTAGACAGTTTTATGTCTGGTACATTGGTCTTGACATTACAGAGATTTAAAAAAACAAAGACGGTTCGTAAAAACCGTGAAATAGTTGTGAAAAACGTGTGAGTGCCTACTTTAGGGAAGGATGCCTTAAAGAAAATTGTTTAGATTGTTAGTGTTAAAATAAAAATAAACAGATTATATCGTGCATTTTTCAGTTTTAAATATAAGTAAATAATATTGTTTAGTTTAAAAAGAAGGTGATTATAGTAAGATTTCCACATCCGACGTAATTTACATTTTACGTTATTTAGGTGTTATTTTAAATAAACTCATGTAACACAAACCGCCATACTACACAGAGTGGACCAACCAAGTAAAGTGATGTAACAAAACAATTTTTTTATGTGGTTGTTATACATTTTTGAAATGAGAAACTAGTTACTATAGTTAGACTGGACTCTATAGTTAGGCATATATAGACAATTAATATAGAAGAAAAATGTAACTTTTATAACCGCAAATGTAGGGTAAGGTGCAAAACCAATAGTCGGCTAGTTTCATTATATATATGTTCATATAGGGTGGCGAATTTTTCAAATTCCAACAGCAGTTCAGTTCGCCAGGTTTTATAAAAAATGTTTGGATATACCTACCACCCTACGAGGAGTAGGCCTCCGCCCATCTTGGTGGACCCACCCTGTATATAGTCACTACAGCGAAAGACCTAAATCAAGACCACAGTTCCACTTTAGAAGGCTTTTCACCAAGGTACAGGGTTTTTGGAAAAATAGCGTCAAAGTTTTACAATTTTGCAAATTGTAAAGGAGTTTACATCAAGTTTCCTTTTTATTATTTCCAATTATTACTAATGTGATGTTTCCAATAAATTTAACTAATATTCATTTCGAAACAATCGTTCATGTATTTTTATTATGTATGTATTTTATATTTCTATAATAATTTATTATTGGGACAACAAAAATGAGAACATTTACAGAGTGGTTCATTTATATGTCACTACTTTTTTGTTTACAAACATAAAATACATAAAATTTTGTGAATAAGATGTTTTTATATATAAGTGCACATACTAATAAAAACAATAGCAAAAGAAAATAAACATGCATACAAAATACATACCAGTTAAAAAAGGCGACGTCGTAGCAACAACCGATGCGGATTTCATGGTTCGCCTAAAAAATAAAAACAGGAAATCGAATTGGTAAAAAAAACAAAATTACTAACCAAGATGTCAGAAAAGGATGTCATTTCAAACGCAAACGATTTCAAAATATTCGTAATATAGAACTTGTCAAACAATAATCCTAAGAAAAACTTTAATCAGCCACAAACAAACGGATAACTCGATAGGGATTTTAAAAACCAACAGCCTACATCACAAACTCAAATCAGCGTTGCGCAATAATAATTAACTCACGAGCATTGTTCACCGCCGGCTTCAAGAAACTGCCGCACAAATCACAAATTCCAGTACGTGAGTGACGTCACAACGCGGCGAATTAATTAAAATTTCGCCAATTCAAAAACACGGAAATGACTCTAACTGATATCCGCAATAACAAATCTACGTATCGCATACTACGATTTCACTCGCTACGGTCTCTCAATGCCTTGAAAATACTGTGCATTTGCCAGAGCAAGCCTAGCGACATGGCACGGCTTACCAGGGATGGTGAGGGGCAGGAGGGAGCTCCGAATGGTTGCCGGTTTGTGAGCGCAAGCGAACCATCTGAAACCATCGGTCTTTGTTTGTAAAACCGGCTGCGATAGGACGGTTTCTCGCATAGCAACTGCGGGACGAGGAGCGGGGGCACGGGTCAAGCTATCTCTCTCAAATAGTGGAGGGGGACGGGAGGAGGTTAGTTATTTTAGTGATATTGCTGCTAATTTAAGTGAGTCTCCTGTCTCACTCTACGTACGACTTGAATAATAAATTGAGGACAGAAATAACTCAGCGGCCTTGAATTTTTTATTCCATAGAACTGTTTTTATTGCTTTTGAGATAACTTGACTCACGTATTTATCCGTTTTAAAGATAAAAAATATCATTTTTTTGCGTTGCAGGTTTCTATTGATTTAACTCAAATGGAAATATATTTGAACTCATTTTTTATATCTGTGAGCGTTATTACTTATCAAATATCACTTAAATAGTATCTCATTAAAATCGATTTAATACACTCAGATGATTAGCAGTAATAACTATCAACGGTTATATACAGCTGTTAAATTAATGGTAAAGTGGGACGGCTAAATGCGGCTATTTCACTCTTCCGCACTCAAGGCTGATGCGGGTTATCCAACTTTCAACTGCGGAAAGCAGTATTGAGCGTTTGCAGTGTATACGCTGATGTCAGCATAAAATTTCAAGTTGAGAACACGACTTTACTGCAGCAGCAATGTGAGGTATGAGGCGATGCGACGTATCGTTTTGTTCCGGTCGCACATTCACATCGCTCAGTGTCTCTATCCTTTTCTTTTGGGTTGTGCCGAATAATAATGAGTACAATGGAATTTATGATAGGTTTCCTGTTTTTCTGTCGATTACTAGATAGGAATAGGTAGCTACTTTTGAAAATATCTTTGAATATCGGAATTTTAGTGGCGGTTGTACTGAATTTAGTGTGTCAGAGAATATCGTTGATATTATTATTATTATTATTGTATGTTCTTTAAAAAACACATCGTACAGGTTATAGTAAATTCGTGCTATTAAGTCGGTAATAATTATTGTAATGACTCAACATGGCCTCCTATGTGGTTGCATTTTTGTGGTTATAATATACAAGGTGGAATTAATAATGTGTATTGATTTGTTTTGGACTGCTTTCGGTTATTTCCGAGCAATTAAAACCTAATCGTTTATCTCGAGGTCTATTTTCATGAATTAGTTTATAACCGTTTGTAAATCGTTTTTTTTTGTGTGTACATAATTTGATTCCCTATGTTAACCCCATGTTGCTGGGAGTGTTTTTCGGATATCAAGGTACAGCGTGAGTCAAACTAAGGACGGGAACACATTTGGAGCTCGATTTATCCTAAACAACGTTTTATATTTTTTTTATAATGCCAATTACATATTAGAAAAAAGCTTAAAATGATTTTTTCAAAGGGTAACTTTTCAACACATTAAGGCTTATGGAAATATTTTATAGTTTCAAATTGACAAATGACAAATACGTATAAATTAATTTATCGCGTTGTATATTACCTAATAACTTTTAAAATTGCTTAAAACTTAGCTTTTTATCGCGTTATCAAACAATATAGTTCGTTTTTCTTGCTAAAAAAAATCGCCAGATATAGATATCAGCAACAAATTTGAATTCAAATTAAAGTCTAGGAGAAACACAAATACTAATGTAATAGATGTAAATAAAGTACACAAACAAACAACTACAAGATACAAAACAATTAACCTAAAGTAGATGTTCGAATTTTCGACAGTTTTGCCCCAAACACAAGACCGATTAGTGGATGTCCAGTGACCACTACTACCACTAGAGAATTTTTTCTGAAAGAAAAACCGAAAATTGTCAAGGCGAGAGATCTTGTCTGCTATCTTTCCATGTTAAAAAATTCAATATTTAAAAAATTTGTTAGGTACAATTCTTGCATCATGACGTGGAGAGCCGTCTTACAAAATATTTGACAAATTCGATGTGAGGGCAAATTGTCCCCTTAGGTTAAATACAATGTGTGCTTATTCAAATAAGTAAGATTTTTTATCTGTGGCTCGCATCATAAAAAAAAAGAAAATAAAAAAGTTATATGCCACTGAAGGGGATGCGTTCCTACATTTATTAGAAATGCGTGATTATTCAGGCCAACTCAGGTCTTTATAGGCCTTTGTTTAACTGCTTGAAAATAACATTTTTTAAAACAAAGTCTTTCCAGGATACAGGGTGTCAAAGTTTTAAGATTTTTTGTGTTTTTAAGTTACCTCTTATAATTTTGAAAATAATGATTTGAATGCACCTACTATAACTGAAAAATTTAAAAGTTCAAATACCATACTTTTTGGGATTGAACTTTTTTGCTCACCGTTCCTGGTCTCTAGTAAACTGTTATTTATATTCTTTCTTTATATACTTTTTGGCCATTTTATTTTGTTTTATAAACTGCACAGATTTCGTTTAGACAAAAGGCAAAAAAAGACAGTCTCCATTTTCTCATTGAGCGGTTAGATGATTGAACAGTTCGAGAAGACGACTGGTCGACATTTATCTGCTTTCACCGTGGATGTTAAAATCCTACCGCCGTCATGCAGCTCGATCCTCTGTAATAGACATTTGTGTAAAATGAATGTTGCCGACGTAGAATACAACTTTTAGGAGAACTTTTTGTGAAGCGATTGATATCGAGCTTGAAGTACAGGGAAGAGAGGGAGAATTTTATGTTTTGTTAAAATATAATATAATGATAGTATATATAGTATCGTATACTATTCTTATAATAATATTTTATATATATATATATATATATATATATATATATATATATATATATATATATATATATATATATATATATATATATATATATATATATATATATATATATATATATATATATATATATATATATATATATATATATATATATATATATATATATATATATATATATATATATATATATATATATATATATATATATATATATATATATATGTATATATATATATATGATGACACTATATTCCGGGATATCATCCGTTCGCTCGTTGAACTCCGACTGGAATCCTGCATCCGACTGGAATCCTGCAAATCCTGCATCCGATATAATCCTCTTCAAGGAATACCAGAATACAACACAAAAAAATTGATCGGTCAATTCCACAACCCTACGCATGCGCATTTTGAACTTATCTTCCTCGATTTTTTCATAGTTGCTTCATAAGTTCCTGTACTATCGGCATAGGCAAAGCCTCTATATTTTTAGTAGTTATGTGATCTAACCGAATGGGTTACTGGAAGGGGAGCCCTAGGCGCTAGCTAGCTATAACTTTACGTAGAATACATTTTTTGTTGGGTTTGTAAGGAATGAAAGAATTAAATTTTTAGCAGTTGGCTAAAACATTGTAGAGCTGTTGGTAGCACCGAATGATATATGATATCGACACATCCCTGAGGCACTTTTTGCGAAGAATAGAATAACTATAACAAATTTATTTTCTTTTGTTTTTTGGTTAAAACATAAAGTTGTTTTTTTAAATTAAACAATTAAGTTAAAATTAATTAAATTATCAATATCATGGAGGTTGAAAAATTATTAAGTTACAATTTTCAAAATAAAATGTTGTCAGAATTGTCTGAGACATTTCTGTATTACTATTCGTCTAGTAGGAGTGAATATCATAGTGTGAGAAAATTACTGCCAAAGCTTGTTAAATAACTGTACATATTTTGTCGTGCATTCACACTTAGTACTCTTTAAAAATAAATAATTAAGTTAAATTCAATATTATTTTTAATTTAACAAAGTAAAATTAATAAATACTTAGATAAAAAAAGACAGAGAAACAAACAACAAAAGTTTGCTAACCATGAATACACAAAAGAAGAAGTTAATTGTAGTAATCAAAACCAGCAAATATACATTGGAAGGATTAATATTTAAGCTTTAATTCTTGGAACTTTCTGGCCGAAACAGTATGAGCCTAAGGCTGGAAAGTTTGAAGAGCCCTGCACTAGAGGAATGAGATAAATAGTTTGTGATTGAATAATATAATAATAATACAATATACATAAGATGTTCGAGGAAAATAGAAAAAACCCATTTTAAGAACCTACAAAGAATTTTAATATCAATAGTGCATTTGAATTTAATACATCTTTAAAACCTTTCTATATCTGTAACGGTTTTAGTGTTCATGGAAAAAAGTTATGCTAATCCCAATATTTTTTTAAAATATTTTAATGATGATTGAAGACTTTAGCCAAGAAGGGTTTTATTTGAATTAGTTGTAAGTTATTTTCGTTTCGTTTTTGTGGAATTACATAGATCTTTATCTACTTCCAAGCAATTGCGTTTTCTAATCTCTTCCAACAAGTGTCGGCCGTGTCTATTTCTTAAATCCTAAACTTTATTCAATTGCTCTTAGTTAAATGGAAAGAGTATTACCTTAAATGAACGAACGATTTATTTGACATCTGTTTGTTCATCTTGCTATTCAGTCAGCTTATAGAAGTTGGGGTTCTTATTATTTGATTGATTGTTGAAAATTATATAAATGATATCGATCTATTATATTTTCAGCATGAGGCGATGCCTTCTTCGAAAAATTAGCGTCAACTTTAATATTATAAATGAGACACCCTGTATATTATTGGTTTTTCCGTTCCGGCATCAATTTCTGGTTACTTTTGTATAATGTATAATATCTGTCTTTAGCAGTTTTCGAGACATTTATTTTCAAGATTTTTTATTCAAACATTAACTTAAGATGTGGTATTATACTGGTGGAGAAAAAAAATCTCATTTTGTTATATTTTATCAACTATTCTGGAAAACAGTTAAAAAACCTCTTCAAATGATGTATCATATCTCTATACCAAGGACTCCGAAATAAAAGCAAGTTTCTGTAAAAATTGGTAGAACGTACAGAAAGTTCAATAAAATATGTCTAGGTTTCGAATCAATGAGCGATTACAGAAATGCGGGACAAGATCAACACTTAAGTTATGCGTCCATCCAAAGGAAAAGTTCAAAATAATTAGTTTCTCGACGACCGCTAAAGAGAGGTTTTATCTATTACACAAAAACTAACAGCAATTGATGACAGAACGGAAAATACAATAATATACGGGGTATCCATTTAGGCTACTTTTTAGAAGAAGCGGCAACGTCGTATCGCTAATAATATATAGATCATCGCCGACTATGCAAACGACCCAATTTTTAAAATGGTCCTACATCTCGTTCACAATAAACGCCCAACCTGCCATACACAGCACAGTGAATCACCCTATAAAGAATTCTCAACTATGCTGACCATAAAGGAAAAATAATGTTAAGGGGCATTCAACATGCGTACTAGAAGTTGGATACTAAAGACTAATAAAATATCTTTTGGGAACTCTGTGAGCATAAACTCAATAAACAATTTTGTTGCTAAAAATCATATTTATCGTCTCTGTAGAAAAGACTTTACCAATACAAGGTGTTTCCAAAAACATGCGTCAACGCTCAGTTGGACATCATGCCATTATATAAACATATGGCCGGGAATGCTTAGTTTGTTTTAAAAACATAAATAAGAACTAAAAGTTCAGATTTGCACGAAATTATATATTATGACATGACAATTGTTTCGACAACACCGTGTCTTAATCACATTTGATAAAGACACGGTGTTGTCGAAACAATTGTCATGGCAAAATATATAATTTTGTGAAAATCTGAACTTTCAGTTCTTATTTATTTTGATAAATGGATTTTCATCAAGTAAAAGCCACCTCAGTTCAATAGTTTGCTTTAGTTGATAAAACGTAGTTTCATGAACATTATTTTATGAACCCTTTGACAATAAATCCGCACTTTAATTGCAGGCATGTAGTCTAAGCATCTGCGCACAAGTTGTTATTTTATTAAATTTTGAACACCCTGTAAAGTTCAAACCAAGCATTTTCGAGCTCTCCCGTATGTATTTGAAACACCTTGTTACTCACTGCCATTCGAATGGTAATGGAAAAGTAAATTTTCTGGTAAATTTAAAAATATGGCATTATATTCAATCCCGTTATAGACTTTTTAAGTTGTTATTAGATTACATGAAATTTTTAGACACCCTGTATAATTGATTGAACGTTCGAGATCACTGATTCATTGCCATAATTCGCTGTAAATTGTTCTTGCTAATTATTTCAAACAAATTTCAAATTATTTGAGAAATTTTAAAATAATATTAAACTTAAATCAGTTCGGTATGACTTTGTCACTTGCCTCTTTAATATGAAACTAAGCAGACCATTATTAGACCCTACATTTTCCAAAACTTTTCGAAAGCCACAAGTATTTTTCCACATATTCGCATATCATATACACAAAAATGTAGCCGTTCAAATAAGAGCTTAATCATAAAAACTCTCAGAATTAGACTTTTCAATGATTTTATGCCAAATATATCAAAAAATATTTAGTGTAACTAAAGACAACGCTGGAGACTATACCAGTCATCAAATCCCCCAATGCCTAACGAAAAATAAGAAGAAATTTATAAAACAACATTTTTTAAATCTCAAATTGCTGCTGTACAATTTTGTGTCTTCCTGCTAATGCCCAAATGTACTACTTTTACACCCGGACATACTATCTGACATGAATTAAAAACTATGCCTAGGATAGAATAAAATACCCTTATAATCTAATAGATTTAATCAGTATGTAAATAATAAACATTGTAATTAAAATCAAAACCTTAAAACTAATTTTATAAAAGAATCGCTCCAAATATTCAGTTTAGAATTTAGTTACAGTGAAAACTGGGTTCGTATTTCTTGTAAAATAATCGAAACTAATTTGCTTTTTAATATCGTATTAGAGATTGATCATTTTATCATGTTAAATCAAGGATAAAATCATATTAAATAAGTATTACATCCTTATACCCTTTTAGAAATAGATAAGTACCGTACTAAATTTTTGGAAATGGACTTTACCTAGGTAGGTACCTATCAAATGTAATCATTTTAATGGCGGTAATAATAACTAGCAGCTAAATAAATGTTATTATCGTTTGTGTAGATTTTTATCAATATTAACGTATATATAATGTTAACGACGTAACTATTCATTGTTATCTATAAATAAGTGCAAAACTCTAATAAATATTAGAGTACAAATTATTAGTAAGAGAATAATGACGTCATCGCTTCCTGGACGATAAAGATTGTAAGTACATGAAATACAGAGAAAAAAAACATGTCTGAGAGACAGAACCTTTTTGTGCATAGGAAGCGATGACGTCACTGTACTCGTTGCTAATAATAATTCTACAGATGACGAAATGAAACTCTCTAGTAGACAAACGGAATGTGACTTACCCCGTCCAATATTTTTAAACAGCATGTGAATTCGTAATTTGGACCCAATCACATTTTAAACGAAGTCTTTCTCATTACATTATCATGCATGACAAATATTTACATATACACCTAATATTGTTTGCACTGTGTAAGAGAACGGCGCAACCAAAACAATATCAAAACTTATTTCCGTGTTTAATTCTGTTGGCGTCAGCCTGTGCTAGGCAGAATAATTGTCTATTCTATTTTAACGATGGGAAAGTCCAATCGTTGTAATAACATTACTGAGCCGCTTAAAAAAAGTTGTTCCAAATACAACTATTAGCACGGAACTTATTATCATAAAGTATTACACTAATAATATTTTTCCTAAAAGGAATTCCAGGTAAAATTTGCTAGCGTTTTACTACCTGATAAATAATGGAAAAGCCCAAAATAATACTACCTTTTATACTTAAAATTCTATTTCAATTAGGGTAAGGGATAGGGTGGGTAATTTCCGCCGTCTCTTTCCTCTTACCACCGCCCTATCACCGAAGTTGTGTGGGGGTTAAATCAGTTCTCTACCCCTCCCTTTGTTTCCCCCGAAGCTATTCAGAATGCCTCAATTTCAAAGAAACTGGGTTCGCTTTGAGCCCTAGTGATTCGTTTCGATTGTTCATGATTGCTCATGTTAGGATCTTGATTTTAATTAATTAATCAGAAGAGTAAATATTTGTTTTATAATTTATATTTTGTATTTTACAATATACTGTTTTGTGAACCATTTTACCACTACACTGGTAGTGCGACAATTAAAACACACTCTAGTGAGCAGTTTCGTAACCACTTTACAAAAATTAAAAGCTATATAAGTTGATGCTTAATCAAGGCGATAAAGCTTTCATATATCAGTGCTAACGTTTTTAATTACACCTGCATCGAAGCACTGCGTTTGAAACCTAAAGAATTTAGTTTAATAGTACACACCGACACTGCAGATTGCTTGGTCAAAATGTTAAGTCAAAATTCAGTAAGTGTCCAAATGTAAAACTTTCAATTCTACAATTAACTTCATTTTCGGAATTGGCTTTTTTCATTTATATTCATATTTGTAGATGTAAATTGCTACGATTTAATAAAAACATTTAATTAATTAAGTCATTGATATACACAATCTAATGGTCTAATATAGAAAACTATCCATCATCTTGATAATTCGAGTTTTACCGAATGGCATGTTTGACATCGGTTGGTGTAAATTGGGTAGGTAATGGTGAAAATTAGGGAAAACTTTGAATGCCCCTTGAATATCCAACAGACAGCGGATTATACGGTTTTCTGTTCTGTCTCGCCTTAATGTTAAAAAAAAAAGGTTCGACAAAAACACGAGTTTTTATTTAGGGGGGAGTATCTTTGACAGAAAAAATTAATCAATACATCGAGTGAAAATCTTTTTGTTAAATAGCTACAACTCTAATTTATGAGAGTTGCTTCATCTTTCATAGAATAACGGACAAAACAAAGATGACCTGCATTTTGTAATACTCACGATCCTGCACTTAAGAGATGAATCGCAATTATTTTCGAAAAGGGATTTTAAATAAATGGCCTCCGAATGGTGTAACAAAATGGAATCGATAAGAGAAGAACGCGCAGAAGGGAACATAATCAGCTGTGAGAAAAGAGTAATGCAAGCTCATTTCAGGTCCGAGAGAGAGTGGAGTTTCACAAGTACACTCGGGGTCTCGGCATGTTCGATATCACGGCATACTAGAGGTCGTTTGAAGGTTATGATGTTGGAACTACGGCGCAGAGCAGACCGTCTTCCCCCGCCTCACCTCCCCGCTGAAACCATTTCGATAGCATGGGTTCATGCCAGGCCAAGGCGAGTTGGGTGCGGTTCGATATTTTTACAAAACAAGCTGGCTCTCTATCTCTCTTTGCACTATAGCTAGATTTGTGAAACGAGTCTGGGGCGTGTCATTTTTATCGCAGCTCTTTTATATACTTCGTGGCAAAACTGTTTTATTTTGACGTTTTTGACTTGTAACTATTTAATTACAAATTGAAATTACTTTCAGTTCACTTGTTCCATTCACTTGAGTGCGCTGTTTACCTGTTAATATTATTTTCAGAATAAATTAATTATAGGCGCTTTTTGGTAAGCGTTAGATCACGATAATATTTTATTTGCCGCGGAAGCCTGTTATTTTACCGAATTATGAATCGATCAAGTAAATCATGTAGATATCGCAAGCGTAGTTTGGTTGCTTATTTATCTACAGATGTTATACGAACTATCCAAAACTTGGTATTTTTTAAAATCTTCCTGTATATTACAGCTAGTGTGGTGACATATAAGTATGCAACGGATGGGATTTTTTTTATTATTTGCTCGAACAAAATAAAATTATTATTGGTGTATGTTCGACAACCATTTTATGTGCACTTAGAATGGTTCTAAGTCAAACTGTATACACGGTAGGTCATAAAAATTGCCCACCCAAACCCCCTAACTCCCTAAAATTCAGCAAAATGATTTTAGGAAAACTTGTTTAGAATTAAAAGTTATATTTTTAAACTGGGATTTTTTCGTTTTATGTTTTTTGTTTAACACAACTTTGAATAATTACACCACAACTAATAGTTTAAAATTGCCATTTCAGTTCGAGTTCTATTTGAACAGATGTAAATTACATTAAGTGCTGCTTGCGTTCGGAAGGAGAATCTAAGCAATGATAAGGTCCCAAAAACTTATAAAAGTTATATATTTTTAATGAAACACTCCGTATATACAGGGCGTTGCGGAAATCACCCATAGGTAAACGTTATATATTTTTAAGGAAAAAAAATCTGCACATGTCTTGTATAATATGTCCTATACCTAGATCCAATATTTTTTGAGATATATGCGCTTTTAACATAAAAGCAACATTCAATATTCTAAAATCTATAATTTATATTACAGGTGGCTGTGAAGTAGGTCGTCACCAAAAAACAAAATGTTTATTTATAACTGGCAGTAACATTAACAGATTTAGCAAAACTATGCTCCTTTTCTCATATATAAAATGCCTAATTTTGGAAATCTTTATTAAACTTTATTAAATTGGCTGCAATGGAACTATGTGTAATTGACCTCCGATGGCACAATTTAGACAAAAAAGTTTCATCCTATCAGAATCCAGCCTATCCAGAAAGAAGAGATAATTTCGTTTAATAGTTCAATTCACTAGTTTTGGAAATATTTGTTAAATTAAACGCAACATTAAAAAATATTCTAGAAATAAAAGATTAATCGACTTACCTGAAAGATTAATATTAATTTTCGGAGCTTGTCACTGTAGTTTCCGCCCACCATGTTCTTGATCACGACATTTATGGTAAAAAACGATTTTTTTTCCACTTTTTTTGTCTCCGCCGAACGCCGGCCGATCTGGCCTGTCAATTCCGTTTTGAAACAATATCGCCTAGAGCAGTGGTTGCCAACCTCTTCAATGTGTTGAGCTACATTGTTATTTTTGGAATAAACAGTGAGCTACCCCTATGACCCCAAATTATGACCATTACATTTTTTGTGGAATTTTGAAGCTTCTCTGATTTTTGCAGTTTGTATTTTTAAAATTAAAATCGTTGTGAGAGCTACCAGAATTGTCTATTGCGAGCTACCGGTAGCTCGCGGAGGTTGGCGACTTAGGGCTTAGAGGGTATCACTGGGTTTGTCTTCCAGGTAAGTCGATTACCCTTTTAATTTTCCTTCGCTTGTCCTTAATACAATTACCACTGTAGATGTTCAGAGTGGAAGGCGATTTTGCTGCAGCTGGAGCTGGAGGTATATTTCCAAAATTTATATAAATATAAACCAAAGCAATATCTAATTAAACGAATCACTACTGTGTAGTTATATCTAGGCAATACATATGCAATAACCAATATAACCGATTATCTCTACAATGTTGATGTTTTATTCTATGTTCACTACTTTTTTTGCGACCGTTTCTTCGGGCTCTATTAATGTATTCAAGGATGGTGTCCAACCGGCTTGAAGCAGCCGAAGTTGTTGCATGACGGGTGCTTTGGCCGAAAAAGATTTTGGTGTCAATTCCACCTAACTTTAGGACCAGTAGGACCAGTTTTACCCAGCGACTTTTGGTCTGCGAGGATGCTGGGTGAAATGGTTTTTTATGCGTTCGTAGTAGTTGCTCATAACTAGATGTCTAAGTTGTAAGCTACGCCTAGTTCTGCCATTTCGTGAATGTAAGGAAATATCAGAAGCGGGTTGGTTTTGTTTGAGTCGATGTTTTAATTCTGTTTGTAAAAGTTAGAGATTCCAATGGATATCAAGTTTTAAAACCGCCAGCACCGAATTCGGATTCCACGTGACAGCGTATTTAGGCTCTGGAGGTCTTATGTTAGCAACACCTTTTAAAAATCCCCCGTTGGGGGAAAAGATTAAGTTCAGAGTCGATCTGTAGTTCTGTAGTTCATAACAGAAGAAGACAATTACTTATGTTATAGGAGGGCGGGTCTGTGTTGTGTTTTTGATGAAAGGAGGTTCAATATTTTTTGAACGAACTTGAGTACTGCTTGAGAGTGCCTTCTGCTAGCGATTTGACCATAATGAATATTGCCGTCTCCGCTATGCCTTTCTTCAAAAGAGAGCGCCGAATAATTTCCCTGTCAATATGGAAAGTTTCCCAGCTAGTGGGTGGCTGGTCCTGAAAAGGGGATGTTTTGGCAACAGTCTTTTAAAAATAGGGTACCATGGTTGTGAAGACCAATTTGATACAACTACAATACCAAGCGCCTTTTCTTGGATAGGTTTATCCAACACCCGAGTAGCCCAAGAAATAGCTAGGAAGGCGTAAAAGTAATATTTGTTCCACCGAATAGTGAAAGTATCTACTACCAAAGAACCTGGATCGGGAAGTCAGGAAATATACCTTTTGCACTTATTGTTTATTCGTGAAGCGAATAGATCTATTTCAGCTATCCTGAATTTTTTAGTATTTTTTTGAAAGCATAACCGTTTAGTTCGTATTCGGTATCGCTTTTAGCTTTTAGCTTGCAAACACCGTTAAGTTTTTTTGTTCGTACCATTCCCAAAGTTGTTTTGTTACATCATTTAAGTGTTGAAATTTTAGGCTGCCTCCTCAATTGACACAAGATATTGTGCGAATATTACTTTCATTTTTCGTAATTACCTTAAGGCATAGTAGGCTGCTTTTATTTCTACAAAGTTTATCTAAATTAGCGTTTCTCTTC